ATGAAAGACGCAGTAGACGCCGAACTTAGGGATCATCAGGCTGGATTCCGTAAGGATCGGTCGTGCACAGACCAGATTGCGACACTACGGATCATCGTTGAACAATCAGTTGAGTGGAACTCATCACTATACGTCAACTTCATCGACTATGAGAAGGCGTTTGACAGCGTGGATAGGAGAACATTGTGGAAACTTCTTCGACACTATGGAGTTCCTCAGAAGATCGTCAACATTATCCAAAACTCATACGATGGATTACAGTGCAAAGTGGTGCATGGAGGACAGCTGACAGATGCATTTCCAGTAAGGACTGGAGTCAGACAAGGCTGTCTACTCTCCCCATTTCTCTTCCTTCTAGTGATTGACTGGATTATGACGAATTCGACATCTGAAGGGAAATACGGAATACAATGGACTTCTCAGAATCAATTAGATGATTTGGACTTCGCAGATGACCTAGCCCTCCTCTCTCATACACACGACCAAATGCAGATAAAGACAGCAAATGTAGCAGCAGCCTCCGCATCGATAGGCCTCCACATTCACAAAGGAAAAAGCAAGATTCTCAAATGCAACACGGAGAACACCGACCCAATCACACTTGATGGCGAAACTCTGGAAGAGGTGGAAACATTCAAGTACCTGGGGAGCATCGTTGATAAACAAGGAGGATCGGATGCAGATGTAAAGGCAAGGATTGGCAAAGCAAGGGCAGCATTTCTACAATTGCAGAACATATGGAACTCAAAACAACTCTCAACCAATTTCAAGGTCAGAATCTTTAATACGAACGTCAAGACAGTCCTACTGTATGGAGCTGAAACGTGGAGAACTACTACGGCCATCATCAGGAAGGTACAAGTATTTATAAACAGTTGTCTACGCAAAATACTCAACATCCACTGGCCGGATACTATCAGCAACAGCGTTTTATGGGAGAGGACAAACCAGCTTCCAGCTGAAGAGGAAATAAGGAAAAGACGTTGGAAGTGGATCGGACATACATTAAGGAAATCACCAATGTGCATCACGACTCAATCCCTAACTTGGAATCCGGAAGGGAAGCGGAAAAGAGGAAGGCCAAAAACACACTACGCCGGGAAATAGAAGCCGATATGAAAAGGATGAATGTTGACTGGAAAGAACTGGAAAGGAAGGCTCAGGACAGAGTTGGATGGAGAATGCTGGTGAGCGGCCTATGCTCCTCGACGAGGGGTAACAGGCGTAAGTAAGTAAGTAAGTATTTATGAAATTCCTTCCGATTCTCTATAATTATCAAATTGATGTCATTCTATGATAAACACCACGTTCCAATAATGAAAATATTTACAAATCACACAATTGAATTCTACTAGCAAATCCCATGGAATGAGTAGAAAAATCTTCGTCTTACAAAACTTACTATTTTACACCTATTCAATTCAGTATAATTCATTTAAACAGTAGAACATTAGACACAATGTTTGTTAGAGTGCTAATCGTACTAAGCAAGTGTCGAAGAAAAGTGGAGAGGATTTAATGAACTGGCAAACATGTGTTTGTTCAAAGGTGATGGTCCGTATACATGTAAATCTTATGGTTATCAGTTTTGATTGAATTCTTGTATAATTTTAAAACAAAGTTTTTAAGGAAATCTTGATATACTTCCAGAACTATCTAACCTCATATGAATGATATTTTTCAAAATTAATTTGAATGACTGCAAAATAGACTTCGTTCCGTGGTGTTTTTTAATTCACTACTGTTTAACTACTAATGAGTAGCTTGACAATTTACAGAAATATAATGTGTGTATGGATCAAGTACAAGTAGAAATATCAGGTATAACAAACTTGTTGTTACTATATGAAGAGACATAATCCAGTCATCTAAACTGGAGTTGTAAACTTAGTCAATATGTAAAGACAGAAGTACTATACTCAGTTTTGTAAGACGAAGATTTTTCTACTCATTCCATGGGATTTGCTAGTAGAATTCAATTGTGTGATTTGTAAATATTTTCATTATTGGAACGTGGTGTTTATCATAGAATGACATCAATTTGATAATTATAGAGAATCGGAAGGAATTTCATAAATAGTTCACCTTAATTCGTGACCATTAGTAGTGTGTTTCCATCATCATTCAAGAATTCGAAGCTGGGAATTACAACTAGCGCGATACCATTCAATGAACGATTCAGTCTAGTGTGAACATAACAATGTTGTGAACATCTACCACTGACATCCACTTTATCTGTAGTCATTAAAATTTTGGAGACTTATTAGTCGTTATTACCATGGAGTGGTGGGGGACCCAAACATCCCAAGAGTTTGTTCTGGAGCTGACCCAGGTTCTTTAATATAACCATGATCCTACCCCCATCTCTTCTTCGTTATTTCACTTGAGCGCGTGACCGATTGATTTGTTCTTACATTCACTCTGACCACAATCTAGCTCAACATATCTTATAATATTTCAAAGCATTTATCGGAATTCTTGTTCTCTTCAAACTATCTATGATATTATTCATGAATATTTAAGATCATAGCAACCACATTTACGATTTATTACATGAAGATAACTTTAATCAACGGTTCATAGTAGCGTACACCGCAGGTTTTCCATCTGAGAAATAATTCAGATAAGTAAATTATAGAACTTTCACAACTTTTGTATATACAATGTTTTGCAAGTCAATTGAAAGAATAAAAGAGTAATTTTTTTTTTTTAAGAGTTATGCGATCGCCGAGGTCAATCTTAAATAATCAGTAATGAATGTTTCATAGAAAAATTAATTAACTTACTAAGCTCAAATTCTGAACGTTTATAGTTTTGAGAAACAGGTTATTTCTCTTCTAAAAAGATTAGGATATTGAATATATAATCATCAACAAAATAGTGCCTACCATTAAGATTTATCAGTTTAGTGCCCAGGAACACTGAAGTAATCCAACATCAATAGATTATATTATCTGATGTAGTAATCAAATATAAATACCTAGTGTGCTGTGATCAATAGATTAAATAAATTCATTGTTTGTTTCGAGTTGCGTAGAAAAGCGGGTTGCCTAATTAATGAGTCATTATTATTTGAAAACATTAAATATTGGTACCAGGGGGGACCGGATATATATATACGCCACACAAAACAATAAGATTAGAAAAAAATGTAAGGTGTGCATGAGGAAAAAAAAGAACAATAACAACCACAGATAAGTGCATGTTAGTGTAATAATAAGAATAATAATGAAAAGGTACAATTAGGATTCATTCAGTTAAGGATGTTACAACCACTTTTCATGAAGGAAGTAAAAGAAGCTTACAGTAGGATTGCCACTGACTTCTATTCTGAACCATTTCTGATAACGTCTCTAGCCACTGTGTTGCACCATATAATGGACCCCAGTCAGGGAGTCGGGAAGGACCAACAGAAGCCAGTCCTTTGCAGCTTTCTTCCACACCACTACACCATGTCATACACTGACCACCTCTCCGCTTTTTTTTCAACCAGTCCCAGCGTCGGCAAATAATGCACGACGTGAAATTCTCTGCGACGACATTCAAAGAACATGTCCAAGCCACTGAAGTTGATGTTTCAAGATAGTGACACCAGTTGGATTATCGTCTCTGCGCCCGAACACACGATGCATTGATAACATGGTGTTGCCACTCGATGTAAGCAATCCTCCGAGGACAACGATAATTAAACACAGAGTCACCCAACATCCTCCATTCGGAAAGGCCAGTTTTCACAAACATAGACTAAAACTGCTCTTAACGACACGTTGTGAATCTGATCATCTACAGCCAGACAAACATCACGAAGGTATCAAAAATGACCCAGACTAATAAAATCCACAATACGTGAATCGATTCCATCACTCACGCCACCATCAGTACTTACGTAGCTACCCAGATACACGAACTTCTCGACTTCTTCTATCTGCTCACCACCCACGGTGAGTGCAAGATCAGCGTCCTGACAGTCTTGTAACAGTACTTGCACATCGAAGGTGCAAAGCACATGCCATATGACCAATACATACTCGACCAAAACGAAAACCAGCCTGCTCTTCGCGAGTCAGTCTTTCTCGGGTTTTAAGCAATCTACGATGTATTGCAGAAGCCAATAGTTTGGACGCAATCGGAACTAGACGTTTCCCATGATAGTTGTTACAGGAACGATGTGAATCCTTTTTAAAGATAGGAACAACTATCGACTCATTCCATGACGTTGGAACACTCTCTGGCTCCCTGACCTTTGTAAACAACATAGTCCATTTGTTAGTCAGAAAGTCACCACCATCTTTAAAAAGAGCCGGAGGTAAGTCATTTGGGCCGGTAATTTGTAGAGCTCTAAGAGTTGGAGTTCCTCGCGGATTTCCGCCTCGTTTGGTGGATCAGTCGTCACCGGACATGGAGGGCAGAACAGTCTGATTGATGTTGTAAGGAATGTAGGCCAGTTGAACGGCCCTTCAAAGAACTCTGCCCATCAAGACGTCGAGGGATGTTATTGATTGGCGAACAACTTCAGGACTGAGAGTGGTATGATTCTAATTTTATTACTTCATCTTCAAAAGGCACTATCTGACCTTGGTTTTGAGAGGTGAATTTTACGTAATGCTATCAAGTATCTTTACATTTATGCTAATAGTAGTACTGGATTTTAGTATAAAGTTTCCCAGCTTTCACTAATTTAAAGTGACTAAACCAGCAGTTAGCATATAACTGATGTTATAAAGTTTAAAATTAACTGATTTCAAGGCGAATGACCAATAAATCTCATTCTGCTAAAATAAACAGCTGGATTTTGTGTCCGCTTTCGTATTTGATTACGAAACATTTACAAGATGTAATCCGGCGACAAATAAGATTATCGGAAGGAATGGTGATGTGTTTAAAAAAGACTGCGGTATGAAACTAATGAACAACAGCTGACAACGTTGACTTGATTCAGATATAGATTCTGAAAGACTTGTTTTCAAGGCTTTCTTTATCGCATAGAGGACTAGTAAATAATTAAACTAGCAAGCGTATTAACGTTAAAAACACAAGCAACATAAAAATATACACATCTAGAAATGTATTAAAATAAATGTCACATGACGCAAGTCGATTGAATACGATAAAAGAAACACAATTTCAATAATTTTGCCTGTTAGTTACTCGATTGGATATTGGTCTTCTCAGACAATGATATTACGTTCGGCTGGTTTACAATGGGAAGTATTTTAATTGCATTTGTACTTATATGATCGCACTGAAACTGTATATTAAACATGTGCACTTTAATAAGAAGAATCAGAACTCATTGGACTGATATTTTGAACCTTCTATGTAATATGTTATACCGATCTTGATATTGTTCAACGTATTTAAAAAAAATGAATACTATACTAGTATTACGGACAGTAAGTGAATTATTAAAATTTAGGATTCATACACCGCGCTCAAATCTTAGAAGGAGCATCAGTTTACTGGGAAAAAAAGATCATTAGCTCAGTGATAAGTGTTAATCAGTATAAAACCATTCTATTCTATATTTTACGGACATTTAACATTAGATACAATAAACCATAAAGTTCAGAAATCATCAACATCATGGTTGTACACAGGATTCTTAGATCCGTAAAATTGGATATAATTGATATCAAACCTGTTACAGATTAATGTAGTAGTTTTAGTACATATGATTCAAAATAGTAACAATAGGCATATAAAAAAAGGACATTGCAATGATAAGAAACTGAAAAATCCGTAACAAAGATAGTAATAACATACAGAACATTAGCGCATTCACTATTTGTATCAAGATTAAATGTTACTGGGCAACAGTAACTGATTCCGACTCAAAAACTGAATTTCAATAACTTATCGGAACCCCAATAAGACATTTAGGCATAAAATAACAATTCTACATTTAATAATCGATACTGATTTTCGCTGACAAAAACAAAAGGGTTAGCCAACAAGTTGGAAAGTAATCATCATCCGCATATTGAAATACATACATCAGGATGGATGAAATAAGACAAGATAAACGATAAAATGAAGAAATGCAACAAATGAGATATTGTTTCTCAGAGATAAAATAACACATCAACTACTTCATTGTAAGATAACTTGTAATAAAATTGGCCAAAAATGGAGAGACGAACAGTAATGACAAAAACCAACAATGAAAATAAATTAACTGACAATTTGTAAGGACAAATCTATAAATTTGTACATAGGGTAAGAATAAAAAGATTAATTTGTTTTTAAACGAGCAACAAAAGTATCTAAATTATATTCAGCTTCATAACATGCTTCAAGATCATCTAGTGAAGCAAATTGAAAATCTGTATGATTATCTCTAGACATTCGATTGTCGTTGTTCTCTGTTAATCGATCAAATAAATGTCCTGTATCCATTTCATTCAAACTTTTATTATCTGCTGTTAAAACTGTATTGGCTAAATGCAATTTGAAGGCTTGTAAATTCATAATTTGCTCTTCTATGCTATCTTCAGTAATTAGACGATAAACATTGACTGTGCGTCGTTGACCGATACGATGAGCTCGATCCATGGCCTAGGGATGGTTGACAATTTAAAGTTTGAAATAAATCTAATATATCGTAAAAATAATAATCAATAGAAAGAAATAATCTTAAACTAACGCCTACCTGATTTATCACCGTATACTAACAATACATATAAGCAAGGATAATTTGATGAGAAGAAAAGGAATTGATGTTTCCGGCTAATTCATCAATTTACCAATTTATTGTCAATGTCAAAGCTTTTGCCGATAACATCATTCAATATGGGGCAAAATGGCTGCACCTATTTAACCGACGTACATATATTTTATTGATTGATACTTAATAACTTACTTAAGCCTATTACTTCTCGTGGAGTATAGGCCGACAGCCAAGAATATCTAACTTACTCTAGTAGTTTCTAATTACCATCACTTACTTCGATGTCTGTCCCAGAATCCCAGCGCCATGTTGATGTACAGAGACGAGTTCCATTTAACGGATTGTTAAACAATGGCGCGAAGCGTCACAGTTAGCTCGTTACGAAAACCAGCTTATTGGTTTTAATGTTGAGCATCTACTTAATCTTTCATTCGGTTCAAAGACAATCTGTCGAAAACGTTTCCTGATGCTGATAATAGTGTAATGTCCCTGTAGTCGTCAAATTCCGCGAGATCTCCTTTCTTTGGTATCTTGATGCGGTGTACATCTCTTCAGTTTGTTTGTCCTTGTTTTCCCTTCTGAATCTTCCTAGTAAGAATGTGGAGCATCTTTGAAGTTACCTCTACTTCCGACTTCAGCTGGAATATTGTCTGATTCTTCAACTAATTTCTTTCAATGTTGGTGGACAACTGTATATAGAAAGGTCTGTATGTGTTTCTTCGATGTCCGGCGGTGCCAGTAGAACTGGTATATTGAAGAGCTCTTTAAAGTGTTTCACCCAATTCTTTTCCTGCTCTTGAGCCTCAGTGATTGGCTTGCCTTCTTTGCTTTTGACTGCTAGCTGTGGTTTACTATAAGTTCCTGCTAGTTTCTACGTCATATCATATAGGTAGCTTACAGTTTCCTTCTCTACCAGCTTTTGTTGCTGTCACTGCTGGGTGTTCCACATACTTCTGCTTAGCGGTTTTATTTATCCTCTTGACTCGCTTATTTGCTCCTACGTATTTGGTCTGTGTCTTGACTTTCTCTAATATGTGGGTGTATATAGTCCCGCCTACATTCATTATGATAAGGCACAAAGATTAGCAGTAAATGTTTCACAATTTTCGTTTCTTTCTCTCAATCCATATCATCTCATGATATCTTCATAAACAGTGTTGCCCATTATAACTGTTATGTAGTTCCTTTCTCTCAGTCCATGTCATCCCGTGACGTCATCGTATCCAGTGTTGTCCTTTCCAACCTTGGCATTGAAATCTCCCATCAGAATGGTCAGGTCCTTGGTTGGGCACTTCTCGACGATCGACTGCAGCCTATCGTAGAATTGGTCTTTAGCGTCTTCATCGTAGTCATTGGTAGGCGCATAGCATTGGATGACGTTCATTGTAATGCCCCCTCTCTTTGTTTTGAAGGAGGCTTTGATGATCCTTGGTCCATGAGATTCCCATCCAATAAGTGCATTTTGTGCTTTTCTGAACAGCATCAATGCAACTCCTTGTGTATGTGGGGCATTTTCTTCTTCATGACCGAAGTATAACATAAGTTCTCCTGAAGACAGTCGTTGTTGTCCAACCTGCTTCCAAGAACCTCCAGGTTGTACTTTCTCATTTCTGCAGCAATTTGGAAGACTCTGCCGGTCTCCCACATTGTCCGGACATTCCATGTACCTATAAAAATTGTTGCTCTGGTTGTAGGAAGGTGCATCGGCCTCATGACTTCCGAAGGAGCTCGGCTTTCATCATGAGACGTTATAATTATTCCTTCTACTCCCAGGGCAGAGTTTAAATGGTTTGAATGATTTTTTCTGGTTAGCGTTTTTTTAGCGAGTTAATTTTCTACGGGATGGGGTCGCTAACACCATGCCCAACCCTCCTCCTTTACCCGTGCTTGGGACCGGCAGTAATCCCCAGAGGAGCTACAGGCGTTCTTCTAACATAATGGTCAGGTAATTTAATGGACACTTCTCTACGATCGACTTTAGTTAACCCTTCATAAAATTGATCTCTATGGTCTCCACTCCTATCATTCGTGGGTGCATAGGACTGGATGAGATTCCTTGTAATACCCTCCTTCTTTGTCTTGAAAAAGGCTTCGACGGTTCTGGATCCATGACATTCCCATCCTATAAGTGCTTACCGTGCTTCTTTGGACAGCATCAGTGCAACTCCTTGTCTGTGTGAAGCGTTTTGTCTTCATGACCAGAATACGACAAAATCTCTCCTGAAGTTAGTCTCTTCTATCCAGATTGTATCCAATGAGTCTCACTTCATGAAATCGGTGCCAAGTTTTATCTTCTCATTTCCATAGCCATTTTAATGGTTCTCCCTGTCTCCCAAATTTTGCATACATTTTGTGTACCTATATTAATTGTTGCTCTAGTGGTTAGAAAAGTCATCGGCTTTGTGACTTCCGAAGAATCACGTCTTCCACTATGAGGTTCTTCTAGGTCTTCTGAATGAACATTCTTTTACTTCCAAGTCAGGGTTTAAGTGGTCAAAGTGATTTTTTTCTGGCTAGGTTTCTTTTTACTAAGGTTCTTTTTAACGTGATTCTAACCCTATATCCCAACCCTTCTCTTTTATGCGGGCAGTAACTTTAGAAAGGTCAGTCATGCAACACAAGAAGCTAGTCTGATTTAGAAGCATTCTGTAGGCTATGGGAACCAAGTGAGTTTTACATCCAACCACATGGTCAGTGAAAAGATGGCGTTACGTGATGGAAAAAAAGAACATATGGAAAAAAATTGGTTGTTAAGCTTTTTGTCTCCTACATACCTGTAAATCTTTACTTGGGTTCCAGTCATGTTCCACAAAGATTACAGTATCTGCACCAGTCAAATTTAACCCTAATCCGCCAACAGCTGTTGTCAATAACATCAAATCGATCGATGGATCTTGATTGAATCTAATTCAATATGAAGCAAAAAACAAAGATAAAATTAGAATGAATAGTTTGGATTTCAGTTTACTGTGCTAACTGAATAGCATTTAATGATTTTGCCTAGTAAATATCCACAAAATTGATAAAGAAAAGAAATCTCAATGAACAATAGGTGAAATGCTTATAGGGATACAAAATATTACATTAAAAAAACAGGTTGGTGAGTCTTTGACCGATAAACGTATCTGTATTCGCCATGACGGTTATCGCTTGGCATAGAAGACAAAAGTAAGTTAAACTGTGGTTGCTATCTTGAAGTTAAGCATGCTTATTGTGATAATTCAACAAGACTGATCTGACTAAAACGGTTTCTTCACGAAATTTCGGTGAACTAGGAGAGGTGATAATTTCAAAGTAGTGTCAATGCACAGCGGAAAAATAATTGCGACATAACATTTCCAGGTCTAAAAAATGCGGAGATTAGTTTCGTCGGCAAAAAACATGAGTTTTACAAATAGTTACACTTTCTCAATCTCGACAGGGATTTCAAAATGAAAGATTTTCTAAAAAAAAAGAAAGAAAAATGTAGCTACTATCAAGGCGATATGCAAGCACGCAGATAACCGAAACCCATAACAAAAAGCTTCTTAATAAGAGTCAGCTTTTTATTCCAAATAACCATCCTGCATAGTGCATATCAGGAAATGTCAACTGTCATCAAGTAGATCTTTTAGATTCACATTTAAATAAGAAAGGATTTACTGCATTATCATTAAGAAGTTTACTTTGATCACGCAAGTAACATTATTACAAACTACGATGTTTCATTTAAACAAATTTCCGATTTGTAAGATGATTGGAATACTGTGTTATACAAGTAAGTGCAAGTGGTGTACCAGTTTAAATAGTGCTGACAATTCAATTCAAATTAACGTCATTCCGCTATGCTGATAATTATTCCGAACTTCTGATAAGCATTAAACAATACTGGATATAGAGATTTTAAAATCATTAGTGAAAATCACATGATGACCAGTAGCAACAAATAGTCAACCTGGCTGATCAAGTTTTTATTTGTATATCGTTTCATATATATATACATATACTCCAATAATGGTAAGCTTAATAATTACAAAAACATAGAAATCGCAGATAGGTTTACGCTATAATCCATCACAGAAGTACATGCATATTGAGAAGTCACAATAATTAACAAATCTTGTCTGTGGACATTATGCTCGTTAGAAAATCTTGTATTTAGTGGAAGAATTTGAGAGAAGAAACCTTATATTTCTGATTTTAAAAAAAACGGGGAACTCACTTAACCACACGATTGTGCCGTTCGTTCACCGGTACAGTACCATCTAATCGTGTAGCAGTTATCCATGGAAATTGTTTTCTAAGTAAAATAAATCAAAGTTCGTAATAATAACAAAATGTAAACATGTTTGTGATTTGCAATTCAAAATAAACTTTCAAGTGAACAACGATTTCATTTTAAGTTGTTTAACATCAAAAAAGGACTGCTAAATTAGTTTTTTTTCTTCTGAATGAAGTTGGATTAATGATGGCGATGTCTGATAAATAGTTTAGCTAAAGAAGCGAATCAGTCTTAGCATTCTCATAACTTATGTTGCCAATGATAAACTTGTAGTGTTAACAATTACTCCATAAAAGCATACAGTGACCTAACCAACTAGCCGTCTACACAATTATCTAATCATAAAGTCATAGTCTAAGTCACAGCAGGAGGAATGGACCATTTACTTATTGAAAATATAACTGAGAGAATATATAAATGAAGTTAATAAGTTTTTTAATATGAGTGCGTTATATCTGATTATCACAAGATGGAACTTAGCCTACATTTAACATTTATTTTTGTATGAACGCCTATTTGTTTTCTACAAACTTGGTGAGTTTTCATTATATTCTTATAATTCAGACTTGATATTCTATTAGTATAGTTGATTTTCTAGCTCTCCCTCTCTCCACTCCGTTTTGTAAGTTAAGGCACTGAATAACTATTTATTGGTCAAAAGCTACAATCTCATTTAATTTGTTGGGTATTACCATTAGGCCTAACATACAAGATACATCTTGCTCTTGAGTACATGCAATAATGTTTGTTCATTATGTTTTATTTAAATATTTTATTAATAAAGAAAGAGCTCTCGGTAACTAACATTTACAGTGGACAACTTCAATAGGGTATTTCAAACAATCACTTTTTATTAATTGTGAATGTCGATTTCACTACAAACACTTAGAGAAACTAATACACAAATCCCATAGCATAGCGATTTCCTATAACGGTTGATAACATTATCTCACTAATAAAGTGATAAGTTGAAAGGGATTTGAGGTTTGGATACAACTCTATAACGCTCGATGATAGCATAAGATTTCTATAACCCCATGGTAAAAAACTATATATATATATATATATATATATATATATATATATAGTTGTTAGATTCAAAATAAAGTTTAGTTGCCTAAAAGATGACTTGGTGGTGGACACATTGGTTCACAATAATACTAACTATCATCAAGAACCAAGTAAACGTAACTAACAAAGTGTCAGTTATGTGAAAAGCTTATCCCATAGCATGATAAAACAATTCTTCAGCGCTTCCTAGTTTCCACTGATTGTTTAAGTAAATTCAATCTATGATGTGAAACTGAAAGTTTAACAATCTCTACAACACTATAAATATATCAGTTTTCTAACAGAACGCGTGAAAATTTAACATGGAAAAAGGTAAAAGCAGTGTTATTCACTTAAGCATTTCTCCAGTCAATTGTAACATTTCACGTGTTTGAAAGAATATTAAAGCTCTGTGCTGACTTAGTAGACCTGGATAAGAATCCAAATAATGAGATGAAGTCGATGTCGCAGACGTTGATGACAAAGTGGTTGAATAAATATTACCACTACTGCCAACATTTGAGCCATTGATTGAGTTTGGACTCCCGAAGCCACAATCAGTTAGAAGACGGCTTTATTAATAATAAAAAAGCATACAGAATTTAAAAATATATCAGTAACGAAAAGTGACTGGTGATAAGTTGGATACCAATTTCTACAATTCAGCTGATAGAAAAAACTTTTTTACATGAAGTTTCGCTTTTGTTTACTTCCAAAATAAACAAAGAATATATATTGCCTCAAACAGTGGAGACTGAAATCTATCACAATTGATTGATCACTAGGTGGTGGATCAATGTCATGCGTGTCAAGTCCTTCTTAGTGCTGATTGAATGCTATCGATCAAGTTGCAAAGTCGCCGCTAGTCTAGGTGGCTCGATACTGCGTGCACTATATAATGAGATAAGATGGTGGTTGGAGGTGGTCAACAGGAAACCCTAGACCCGGGTTTCCTGCTGACCACCTCCAACCACCATCTTAACTGAAATCTATATACAAGTGGATCGGGATACGAAAACTGAAGTTTTCAAGCTATAAATCACACCTTATACGACCAGATGAAAGGCGTGAAACTGATGTCACGTATTTGTTAGGTTTTACAATCTAAGAATAGTTGAACTTATCAAATAAAGATTAGCTTATGACCATTTAAATTGAGTGGGATGAAATTATAAATGTTATTACAGACAAAGACGACACAAATAGCACAACTATGTTCTGATTACCTTTATTCAGAAATATTTCTATTAAGAAAAAACAGTGATCTTATGAAAAAGTAATCATCGTCGTACCGGTATACAAAATAGATAAAACTAAGCGATGCTAATATTGAATTTTATACAATGGGAAGTGTGATAACATCATAATCAAGTTCATGGTAGGATTACTGTACATGAGACCAGTTAAGTTCTTCCTAAACTACATTTAGACAAAGAATTAAAGTAGAATGTAATAACCTTAATATCTCAGTTTAGTTGAAGATCATGTTTTTGACCAGTAATCTAATAGTAATTACAAAACAGGAGCCTGATGTAGTCACAATAAAAAAATCAGTTTGATAAGAGAACTGACAATGCAAACTGTTGAATCTGCAATTATTGGAATTTTAGAGGAAAATAATTGTATCACTAATTATAACAATGATAATCACAATAATAAACAGGAACACACCATAAAGCTAATAGTTTTCCACTATAGTGAACTGTTCTTAACTGTTCCATTGAATCTATGCATAATTCTTGTTTAACCTCATCAAGTAAAGGGTGATTAGATTTCAAAACTAAACATGGATGATTGCAAACTGCTTGAAAGTAGCGTAGAGCATGAAAACCATGTGATGTAGAAACGCCACCAAACGAGGAAGAACGACATTCAGAATAGAAGTCACCACTACTAGTTGATACAAAATTCATCACTTTTTGTCCTTCATCGGTTTTTTGAAATGATTCATACAGTTTACGCTGGAAAGAAAAATATTTGATATACTTTAAGAAGTAAATTAAAAACATTCGATGAAAAGTAAACAGTGCATAAAACAAGAAGATAGTAATATTCGACAAGTGATCCACACAGAAGAAGCGATCATCATTATAAATTTCAAGGTGACAATGGTGGAATGAATAACAAATAATTAAATAATAATGCATTATGAGGCAAGAAAGAGAATGATAGCTATTCAATTGAAGTTATCGTTTGTCAATCAAATGGATAAGAATAAAAAGGTTACTGTAATGTTGGATATTTTGAGCAAACACCAGTTACTTGATGAGAGATTTCATATAGTGTAAGCTAGTGAAAATCTCACTATGAATTAGATAGCTCACATTTTTACTAGGATTTCGGACTACTGTAAGTGATTTCAAAAATATGAGTGAAATTGAGACCTTTTATAATAAAAGCGATGTTTGTGGAAAGATGAGGAAGTTTTCAGGTTTCAAAGATCCCGGACTATCTCATAATCATAATAGGTCTGATTGAATTAACATTTTTAGTGGTTTAGATCGTTACTAATACCAGTTTTAATAATCAGCGTATATACTAGAACAGTTGTTCTTCTTTTTACCTACACTAATACAAATTAAATAAACAAAAGACAAAACAATTAGAACAAAACTCACTTGAATCGGTGTCATTTTACAAGCGAAATCTTGAATAATCTTCGGCGGTAAATCTTGCATAACATCCTCTTTTAACCGTCTCAACATAAATGGCAATACAAGTCGATGAAGTTTCTCTAGTGCTAATTGACCTGCAATGTATCATAGAAAAAAAATTGACAAACATTTATTTGTATTCAACTTAGATTGATTTAAGTCTCAGAAATATCCATCGCTGATCATCGAAATAAATAAAATATACATTTTTTTAATAGTTTCCTCTTTACCCTGATATTACTGAAGAACAAACATGTTTAGCCGATAAAATTTCATGAGATTTATTTGTTTGTTGTGCTTATAATAAGTAAATATCCTACTGATAAATCTAAATATGTGACGGATTAAAAGAAATTTACTTATTAATATAGAACAGAGAATAGTTTGATATACGTCAATTAAATGTAAATATCTCGTAGATCGGTTCATGAGAAAACACATAAATCAATATTTTTATAGTTTAAGTAACGGTTTAATCGTAGCTATACCACCATCGGAAATTAACAAGCACTGAAAAACGTTTTCGTCCTATTATTGGACATCTCAGAAGTGTAAATCTACGATCACGTCACAAGAGATCGAACTCTGGACGTACGGTCATACGCGAGAACACTTACTTCCTAGATCACTGAGTCTGAATCCAATCGTGAACATGTTTAACTTTAATCAACTTGCAATATTGCCTCTCGTGGACCTCGTTATACAACTATTTGATCACATTTGTAGATGAGTTAACAATGACAGCTACCAAAGTTTTTTAAAAGCTGTTTCAAATTCCAGGTTATCATGAGTCACAACACTTTCCAATTTTTATTTCTTGAATATCATTATAAGTATGATATTATAGGGTAGTTTCAGAGTTGTTGAACTTTATACTGAGAAGCAGATTGATAATGCCAAGCACTTACATAATACATATGAAGTAAGATAATGCTAAATCTTTTTGATGTTACCTTCACGATCATCTATGTACATAACCACATGGATGCTGTGAATTAGAGCTAACAGAATAGAATTTACGTAAATAATAAATAGTAGGAAAAAAATAAACATTTTAAGTAACTCAATTGTATAGTGGTTAAATTTATGTAGGATACAGTTAACTACACTTATTATAAAACCAAAGCTATTTACATTAGTGATACTTTTTGGTGTGTGAGCGACAATGATTGGTTGTCTTGATGAGTCAGACATTAGATAGGATGACAGGTGTTATATATATATATATTCCCCTAACCTTATTATGTATTGACCGTTATTGATGGACTGTTATTGATTAACTGTTTCTTGTGTCAGATTTTGGTGTGGAAATATACCGACGTTGTAGTCAGGCTAATCTCGTGTTCTTGATCTGAGTTGTGTCGAAGTCCTGTAGAATAGACACTGGTTGGGGAATCTAGTGTAGATATTCGTCTAAGGTAAATTAGCATCCCACATACGTGTAAAAGGTGAAAGGACTGTTATAACAAGAAACCTTAGAGTTATAAGCAGCATCCTTTACAGTTTATAACACTTTTGGATAAATCAGTCACTAAAATTTTAAAATTTACGTGACCATAGAATAAAGCAGAATACCATAACTAACCTGCTTGTTGGTCAGATTTAGAAGCTTTCGGATCTCGACTAGAAGCCACAGGACGTGCGAATTTCGCTAAAAAGTAATGTTCTGTACCCAGAAACTCGGGCATAAGAAAGTCGAATAGAGACCATAGCTCAGTAACTCTATTTTGAATAGGTGTTCCCGTCAAAATAAGACGATGCTGAGCAACTAAATGTTTCACTGCACGAGTGACCTAATATCAAACAAAAATAGAACGATACATGTTCACACATATATGATAGTAAATAATCGAAGTTAGCAACTATTAAGAGGGTAAAAATTTCAAATAACTAGTAATAAAACAAATTCTAGCTGGGAAAAAACAAATGAACAAACCTAACTTTTAGCTCAACACCTGAAGTCACAGAAACGAAGTGTCAATACAGATTCATGAGATTTGTACACTATAATAATTATCTTCTTCGAGAATTCCCTATTTCGATATAAATTACTTTAATGATATCAATATCAGAAAAATGCAAGAAACAATATAAATGCATGACTAGATGAATTTAATTAGAAATAGTAGTACAGCACAGATTGTCATCAAGGTACTTAATGAAGTGATGGTGTTGATTTTACGTTCGATATGATTCGACCAGAACAAGAAAACTTGTGTATAGTTTTATTCGAATAAACTGATTTTCGAGCAAATTGAACATGATACGAAACGAAAAATTTCAGGTTAGAAGTTGTAAATAAACTTTTAAGAAAGCTATAATACTTTTCAAAATTACTATGGACAAACTGAAAAAAAACGGCAAAGTTGTTTTCCAGTACACAACAAGTAGTGATTCCGTTTGCATATATAGAAATATGGGAAAAACAAACAGGATTAGCTGGTGACTGATTGTATAGTTTCTAAAACGTTAACGAGCAGTATTGAAGATTAGAGACAAATAAGACAACTTAAATAGAAACCTAATTAGTCATCCCTTACCAGACGAACGGATATGAATCCCTCCAAGATATATAACTGGGAAATGCTTTTGCATAACTGAATGTTCAGATTATCCTATGTGATCTGTTTGAAACAAGTACATGCCAATAAGCAAACTCAATAGCTTCTATGTAAGACAGACAATTAGTGGGAGCACGGGATCAGCTACAATAACAATGCTTGCTGGTACAGACTAACATGTGAACATTTTAGACTGACTAATTAAACAATGTAAGCCACATGATACTAAACTAACAAATTAGAAATTGCAGGGAGTTATAAATTACAATATCATTGAATATAAACGATTACATAAACAAAAAAGAAAGCTTAGAGGAAGAACTATTTGATCGTTAAGTATTCATTTATCATTAGGGAAAATGCAAATACATGTAAGGAAAAACAAGAAAAGAATAAGCAGAACAAACAGACAAATCCAGTAGTGAGACATCTGTGTGCAAACACTCAGATAATTACCAATACAATTTGCACGTCTCATGCTAATAGACAATGAAAAAATACCATAGAGAAAACCATAATCATAAATTAATAAACTGAATTTTACACGTGATATTAAAAAAAAATGCAAGTCGATGGGAGGTATATTAACAAGAGATTTTAAAAATCTATTAGAACAATGAATTTCCAAGGTTATGACAAATGTTTGAACAGAAAGGAAATGAAATATATATCAAATATAGAGTAAATCAACACAAAGCTTACCTTTGATTTACTACTTTTGATAATATGACCCTCATCTAGAACAATATAATTCCAGTTGACTAATCTATAAAGGTAAACAAACAACCAATGATTTAGTGAATATATGTGAGATAAAAAGGGGAAAGATAAATGAAGAACTCAATAAAAGGTGTTTGATCTGTGGTAATTAAAAGAATGAAATAGAGGGAAGGAATGTTTCAGGAGAGATGAAGACTGGGGTTAAAGACGCGGCTATTGAGCTATTCGAACTATAACTGACCAACTGTCAATTTTCGCACAGTGATTGCTTCTCTTGGTTTTTTTATCAGATGCTTTGGAATCAATGCTTGATGGGTTAGCAAAAGAAATCTGCGTAGTAATACGTTTTGTTTTGGATTAGAACAGCTTTAACATAGGTATCGCATACTTACAGTAATGTTGATGAGCTACCAGTTTTTTAATGTAGAGAAAAATTGAAAAGCTTCAAACGTGGAATAGAATAAAATAAATAACCATATATTAGAGCATTAATAGTGGAATGAAAGTTGATGTGAATTGCCTACGTATGATTGAAATCTTTTAATAATGTAGAGACTCGTCAAGACTAGCAGGTAACTACGGTAAATACGAAAGATACCAAAAATAAGTAGATTAATTTGTTTAATTTAACCCATAACGTGAACTTAGTGCAATCGACTGAATAATGCCAGGAATAACGAATATAACCAAAATCACTCAGAAATTGTATATTGATTTCAACAATTTCCTCCAAGTACTTTGTTTGCGGAAAAGGAATTTATGGGCAATGGTTATGTTCCGATAAGTATAGTGAATGGTAACTTTACGATCCATTTATGAACTAGTACTATGCATATATTTTTATCGTATAATTGTTAAATAACTAAACTATTCATATTTATGTCTCTCTTATTATGAGCTTTATTTCGACTTACGATTTACCATTCTTGAATTACGCCCTGTCTATCATTTACTGTCTCTCTTATTCAAAGCTGCATCTAGCTAAATCTTGTACAAATGTTGTTTTCGTATTTTATGGTACGATATGGTCTGTTTGATTGGTATATAAACCCCAGTATGTTTGAAATAAATGATTCATATTGCAGAGGCTGTTATTGGTGTTCTGGACTTAACTGGCTGGAGTAGGCAAAAAGCAGGTCCGATAAGTACTCTAAGACTGCTCGCACGTGTTTTACGCGTCGTTGGTCCGATTGATATATCACTGCCCTCTAACTGTCGGTATTATCGCGTTATACATCCACAGGGTATCCAGACCACAAGTTATAACAGCAATAATTCTCAGTAGCATTCCAAACGATATAAGTTATTGTACCTCAAAAATCAAGCAAATATGAATAACCGAATAATCAACAGATATACACTTTACATATGTAAAATTCGTACAAGATAATCAAATAGAACAATTACAGAATGAGGTTATGTAAAGATCTCAGGAACTGTTTGTAAAGAAATAACCGAATATTAATGCGGAAAAACTTACTCCAAAAATCCTACATCACTTCGAACCAAGTCATACGACGTAATGATTACATCATACTGATGTAATTTGGACTGAAGGCTGAGGATAAAAACAGAAAACACCATCTATTGTTAAGGGATTAAATGAACAGGCGTGAAATATACGATATACACAGTGGGTTTATATTAACTTGAATGTCAATTGTTAAATCAGAAGTTTGAACTTATTACATCATCAAACACAATTATCATGGGCGAACAGTACCACTAACTCGTATACACGAAGTGTAAACTGGATTGATTATGTCCAGAACTATAAAAAACTGTTGATAGACTTGTATTAGCAAACTACCTATAACAAACTTCAGTCTAACGATAATAATTTTAGTAGTACGCGTTCAATATACCTGACCAGAATGGTATAGATAATTTGAAGAATATTCTATGAATTATAACGGATAAAAGAACTGCGTGATTACACACAACTTTCTCACAGACTGAGGCTAAAGTCACAAAAATACATTGCAAATAAAACACAGAAAGTAACTAGATAGATAAATTGAAGAAGACGAAGTGGAATTGAGGCTGTAATATGAGTCCATTGTTTGTTGAATAAACAAAATTAATAAGTAAGAAATTGGGGAAGCATATAGTATTTTTTTTAATACAACATATGTGCAGCACGGCTTATTCAACAGGTGACAAGTAATCAAAGAAAACTTTAAATCATAAGGCTTTTTCCGCTAATCTTAAGCATTTTACAGAGTTCCTTGAATAGCTAAAATAAAATCGTGCATAATTAAACCCAAACATTTACGACAATTAATGTAACGCAATCAAACAATAATATTGAAAATCCTATAACTAAACAGTCGAAAAATGTTTCGGTTCATACAAAACGATCGTGTTTAAGTTAATAGTTGAAGGAAAATAGCTTACTTTTGTCTAACTGAGGGACTGCCGCCATAAATCAAAGGATTTAAATCTTCAGTTTGTGCAAAATGTTGTATTTCATGAAACCAATGAGCACATAAAGTAGATGGACAAATAACTAGGGAGATTGGGGATTTTCCATCTACCTTTGTATCCATCACATTTGACTCATTAGACATATGGTATTTATTGGAGTTATTTATTGCCAAACATTGTTTCAATTCATGGTGACTACCGGCTAGTATACAAATCGTTTGTAACGTTTTACCTAAACCTAAGTCATCACACAATACACCATTGAGACCGTAACGATTAAGAAAGCACAGCCAATTTACTCCTTCCTGTTGACATTGAAGAAAGAGGCGATATGAAAATAATGATAAAGATATTACAAAAAAAGAAAGTTAAATACCAATTAATGATATGAATAAACGACAATTAACTAATGGATGATGAATAGTATTTTTGAAAAGTAGTAGCAAGTGTTATACAAAAGTAAAAACATCTGACATTTTGATAGGGTATCATAATTCATTAGGTGTTCGGTGACGTTGAATTTATCATTATGAAAACTTCAATAAGCCGAAAACAAGTTTAAAAAGCTAATTTTTTTGAAATTCCTTGATCCGTTTTTCTTTAAATGAAAAATAAAATGGACTAGTCAAGACAATATCACGGTTGACATTTAGTTTGTTTCTTGTGAAATCATTGTGCGACGAAATACAATATACTAAGATTGTGATAAGATGGGAAGAAGTTTGAAATGATTATTGAGTTACCTACAAAGTGGATATCATCTAATCTTCCACAACCTCGGAAGTCACGAGGCCGATGACTTTTCTAACCACTAGAGCAACAATTAATATAGGTACACAAAATGTATGCAAAATTTGGGAGACAGGGAGAACCATTAAAATGGCTGTGGAAACGAAAAGGTAAAACTTGGCACCGATTTCATGAAGTGAGACTCATTGGATACAATCTGGATAGAGGAGACAGATACGTTTATCAGTCAAAGACTCACCAACCTGTTTTTTTAATGTAATATTTTGTATCCCTATAAGCATTTCACCTATTGTTCATTGAAATTTCTTTTCTCCATCAATTTTGTGGATATTTACCACGCAAAATCATTAAATGCTATTCAGTTAGCACAGTAAACTGAAATCCAAACTATTCATTCTAATTTTATCTTTGTTTTTTGCTTCACATTGAATTAGATTCAATCAAGATCCATCGATCGATTTGATGTTATTGACAACAGCTGTTGGCGGATTAGGGTTAAATTTGACTGGTGCAGATACTGTAATCTTTGTGGAACATGACTGGAACCCAAGTAAAGATTTACAGGTATGTAGGAGACAAAAAGCTTAACAACCAATTTTTTTCCATATGTTCTTTTTTTCATCACGTAACGCCATCTTTTCACTGACCATGTGGTTGGATGTAAAACTCACTTGGTTCCCATAGCCTACAGAATGCTTCTAAATCAGACTAGCTTCTTGTGTTGCATGACTGACCTTTCTAAAGTTACTGCCCGCATAAAAGAGAAGGGTTTGGATATAGGGTTAGAATCACGTTAAAAAGAACCTTAGTAAAAAGAAACCTAGCCAGAAAAAAATCACTTTGACCACTTAAACCCTGACTTGGAAGTTAAGGAATGTTCATTCAGAAGACCTAGAAGAACCTCATAGTGGAAGACGTGATTCTTCGGAAGTCGCAAAGCCGATGACTTTTCTAACCACTAGAGCAACAATTATTATAGGTACACAAAATGTATGCAAAATTTGGGAGACAGGGAGAACTATTCAAATGGCTGTGGAAACGAAAAGATAAAACTTGGCACCGATTTCATGAAGTGAAACTCATTGGATACAATCTGGATAGAAGAGACTAACTTCAGGAGAGATTTTGTCGTATTCTGGTCATGAAGACAAAACGCTTCACACAGACAAGGAGTTGCACTGATGCTGTGCAAAAAAGCACGGTAAGCACTTATAGGATGGGAATGTCATGGATCCAGAACCGTCGAAGCCTTTTTCAAGACAAAGAAGGAGGGTATTACAAGGAATCTCATCCAGTCCTATGCACCCACGAATGATAGGAGTGGAGACCATAGAGATCAATTTTATGGAGTGTTAGCTGGAGTCGATCGAAGAGAAGTGACCAAGAAATTATAGAAAGTGGGAAAGTTAATGAGAGAATATGTAAAATTGACTGATAGTTAGTCCAAAGCTTGTGAAACACTGGATGAGTGTTCAAACTAACTAAGAAATCGATTTGCATGTTACTGAATTGACGCTGTTTGTAATGAGACCACGGCATTTGCTTGTTACTTACGGATTGATTGGGAAGTGAAATATCAACATGAATATTGTTGTAATTTAACGACTTGTGTCTATTCAGCAAGTACGATGTAACGCACTGGCAGAAAAGGTATAAATGAAAAAATCTAGGAAGAAGCATACTCTTATTTTATTGAAGACAAAACGGATAGCTGACTTATGGATAAAACAATTTAGAAATAGTAGCAAAAAACAACAACACAGTAATTGAGTTCGTTTCTTTTTGTCAAGAGTAATTAATATAATGTTTGTGCGGGTTATGAAATTAGACTGATGAATTATTACAATTTGAAACAAAATTACTTATAACAGACAACGTATTTAATTGTCGTCTATGTATGTGTGCACACGTGCTGGTGTTACAAAAGACGTTTAATTTGTATAGACTTTGTAAGGGGCGGGGTTGGTACAACCTAATAATTACTTCTTTTTAACAACACTTGACTAGATCAAAGCAGCTGGAACTCAGATTGTTTCATTGTCGCGTTGGTTACAATCCTAAAAGAAAAACAAACACTATCAACAGTAACAACAACAACACCACACAAATGTTTACCTGTTGGTATGTTCGTAGTGTACCGTTTATTTTAATTGGTAGATTGTATGATTGAATACGATCAGGATGTAGTAAATTATCAATAAATTCACGTTGTGCAAGACGAATTTGTTTAAATTCTTCCTTCATGTTTTCAGGATTTGGAATGGATGACTAAAAGAAATGAGAATGGTAACAATGTAATGATTAAAGATTGTAAAAATAATAAATTACGCTTTACCCAGAAAAAAATTGGTGCAATTATCCAAATATCAAGTCGTCAATCTTATCTAAATACTTAAGTAATGAGCTACTTAGTGCAGGAAATCGTCTTAAATATGGATATGTAAGACCCATTTCATCATCAATTTCGACTAACATAAAACATTTCAGTTAAACTAATTGGCATGTTAAAACTATTAATTACGTATTATCTGTTTGTAATTTACTCAGAGGAATTACATGTTATGCTTAATAATCAAACCTTTTTTAATAGTTAAGCTTGGAAATAAAAAATCTGGTAAGAAAATTTTTTTATTTTTAATTGGTACGTACGTCCCTCGTGTGTTAAACTGAAAGCCAACTTAAAAAAGAAGGATGCTTGTTAAATATATTTTCATAATAAGATAGTATAAAATAGATCCAGTTTAGAGTGTTATCTATGTTGACAATTTCATTTGGTGACATAAAAAATGTTCTCAACTATCTCAAAACACAGGTACGTTATATACAGATTGTGAGTGATTGAATTTCCCTGAGAAACTATGACAATGTAAAACCTTAATAAATGAATACTTCAATCTTTACAAACATGGATAATAAATTTGAATTCCAAAAAGACAAATAAACACACCTCTAACGGTAGTAAATTCAGTAAAGCTGCAAATAATCTTCCCGCGATAGAACGTATATGCTGATTAGAATTCGATATTAATCTTAATGTTGGAGTTAGTAATAAAACTACATATGGTAAAAACAATTTCAGATTATTAGATAATAATGAACTTGATCCATCTTCATTATTACTAATAACAGTAATGTTATTTGTTTTAGTTGTTAATTCGTTTGGAAGTTTTGACTCAAAATCTGACGTCAATTGTTCATTCACAGGACTCATAAAACATCTACACATTGATAATAACGAGGATGACTTCGAATTCGGTTCAGCAAGTGGATCTTCAAGAATAACTGGTGGTACACTTTGAAGAATATAACTGGATGAATTATGCATGTTGGAGAATTTGTCAACAATTGCTGTAAACAAAACAAGTTAGTGAAAACAAAAATGATAAGTTGAAAACTGTCAAGGTACAAACGAAAGTAATGTACTGATAACAAATTTGTTTATCAATAAACCACGGTTATCACTCGGGAAATTGAATTGAGCATTTGTGACCGAAAGCCATGAGCAAAAAAGTAAATTATCTAATTAGTTCAAAACATATAAACAACCTATTCGTGTATTTCACGTAGTCTATTTCAAACATCACACATTACAAATAAAACTGAAATTGAACTTACTTAAAAATGTCTCCAATGTACCGACACATATTGTTGATGAATCAGTTGGCAAAAAAATGCCGTTACTAGTTAACAATAGTAATGGCAATAAAATATTTAATGTATAAACAGGTTTTAATAAAGTTAAATCAGCAAGAAGACGTGCACCGACCCGACGATAAACAATATTTGGTAAACGAATAACTAATGAAGCTAACCAGATAATTTGTTCAAATGATATATCATCTTTTTGATCACAAGAGCTTTCTTTTTGATCTGGATCAATACAAGGTAGAATAACATTGAGACATGAAGATAATACAATCAATCCACTAAGTAATTCATCTTGACTTGATTTAGGCAAATCTACTGATTTCAGTTTGGACATATTAAATTTGACTTCTGTAATCATAAAACAGTAAGAAAAAAAAACAACAAATTATTAAATAGAGATAACATCCAGGATTACTCTTAATCAAGTCAAGTTGCGTTGAAAATTACCACGTACTTTCCGGTCTAACAATTAACATGAAATGAATAAAAGTTATGAACACAATTTAGTACGAGTTCAAATACTCCTCACTGAACCATATCTTTTGTTGAGTGAAAATTTTAGTAATTACTTGAGGATACCTTTGTCATCTAATAGTTGATAGAATATGTAAATTCAATAAACCTTTTTAAGTATAATAGACAAGCAAATCTAAGAATATCATTTTAATTTGATAATAAAGTTGTAAATCATGATTCAGTAGTGAGAACGAGGTCTAAAAATACCATGACGACTTATTTTACTGGTAAGAATTACGAAGAGCTGTAAGGTATATCATCAAGATAGATTCAATACAAAAAATTATCGTTTATTTGAAACGTTTGTAGGAAACGTATCCTGATACATACACATTCATTCCTTAAAAATATGTAACTACAAAACATCTTATCATGGTTTGTTTTTGTCGTATGGTTGCTGATGTTAAATGATGAATTAATATAAACAATTGTCAATATCCCGAGTAAAACAGCTAAAAGTTCTGAATATATGTTTAATAAATGTCAGTGACTTCATGCCAGTTATATCGTTTTTGGTTGTAATTTCGATATTAATAGAAAAATTAACCACAAGAGAATAAACGAAAGAAAAGCGACAGAGAAATGGACGATGACATACCATCGGTCAATTTCTTCAAAGTCAAGTGAAAATTTCCTCTCCTTTCAGGTATTTCTCCACCTTCTTCTATAAATTTACCGTTTTCTACTGAAATGCCTGATTGGCGATATAAATTAATAACAATTTTCACCGGATTTATCCAAAACAAATGCCATAATGATGGTATGCCTAGGCGAAGACTATTTAATGAGGCATTTGATAAACGATGCAAACAAGGTTTGTGATCGATAGGTTCCATACTCTTACTTGATGATGACCAACAAGTTTCACCCTCTTCATGATGATATAAATTGATAAATGTATAACAAATGCAAGACAAAGAAATGTAAGCCCCACGATGTTGGGAAGATTGTTGTTGTGTTTCAGACGATGACGACGTGGTTGTAACCAAGTCTAATCGGTATGTCTATATATTAATTATAATGTAAATGAAGATATGATCAGTAAGTGAGCAATATATTCAAGATGAAAACCAAAGGAATGAACACTTTGATCAACTAAAGTAATTGTTAACTACATTAGTTGTGATAGAGAACAAAATAAATAGATTAGCAATGTATATTCCCTAGTCTTTACTGAATTTAATCAAGATATGAAATTTTTATAATGATTTATGTTTAAGATACTATTAGCCCAAAGGTTTAATACAAACAATTTTAAATGATATTTCTTTTCTTATAAAATATTTTAAGTTGAAGTGAAATTCCCTGGCTAACGACAAGTACAAAAAAAATACCATGTGAACAATACAATTTAATGATCTGTATTGGAATTTTTTTCTCAGATTGTATACATTGACTAATATTATGAAACCATTGTATACAATTTATGAACTATAAGAATATATGCAATCAATAGTTACCGTGTATAATAAGTTGAATTTCATTACTCTTATAACATTATACATTTTGAATAAATAAAATAATTATAGATATTACAAAAGTATAGTGATACAAACATAAATGTCCCATTGTAGTGAAGGAGAACAGAGAAGAGAACAATCGATTGTATATTTAGCACAAATTACAAAGTTTCTTGATAAAATAGAAAAACCAGACTCTGATACTTCATTTGTAAAATGTTTATTAATTGTCTCAGGCGTCATTATTCCTGGATTTCCACACCAATTGCTTTATGTTTCTGTTCTTTCCTTTTTGAAATTCCCAATCTTCTGCTGCCAGATAATCTATTCCTCACTCACGATATATACTACTTATGTCGATATAAGCAGCCCACACCACACTACCATAGACATAGCCACTTAATTCTGCATTATATCAAAACCATAGCACATTTCCTTAAGTGCTATTTAAAATTAAATGTTCTTTAGTGATATACTTCAAATTGAGACTTTATTATTTTATTTTATTTAAACACATAAATATTGGTACAAGGAAGCACCAGATAAATGTGCGCCTCACAAATCTCATTTGATTTGTGTGAGGGCTGTGATACTGCCCAGGTGCCCAGACTGAAGCAGGTGGTTTTCTTAGGGGGCCACACCCCGAGCCTTTGACCAAAAGGTCTGATCCACAAGGCAGTGGAGCATCGTGAGGAGATGCAGTCCCATGGTAGCCGTTGACCAATGACAGGTTCCTCCGCCATTCGTTTCATCAGGATACTGGAGCCCATGTGCACCATTGGTTTGGAATCAGGGTTTTCCAACTCCCCTAGGTGAACTTTCCGTGTCCACCGACCTGGTTAAAGCGCCAGACATTCGCTTTTCGTCCTCTCATTTTCGTACACAACACCCCCGCCACGAGAAGGCAGTGAGTAGGACTTCCCTGGCAGAGGCTATATATTCGCTGGCCATATGAGAGCATTTCGAAAGGGAGAGGTGACTCTCCCCACTCTCGGCCGTACCAGGGCATTTGGGGGCAAAGCCATCGCACGGCCGGGAGTCGAATCCGGGTCGCAACCGTGGGAGGGTTGCATGATACCGCTACACTACCGGCGCGCTCAAATTGAGACTGAGAATTTACAACATATTTTGGAAGAAAAGTTCAGTTCGTCTACTATCAAAATACTTGGAAGTTGGATAGGTAAAGGTTTGAAAGCAAAAATGGATTGTCATTACTCTAACAAATTATTTCAGTGGAAATCGGATGAATAAAGTGAGATACTCGCATGTACAATGGTCATCGTCTACATAGTTATACAGTTAAATGACTAGTTTCTACATATCATTATCGTTATCATAGATTCACGCAAACAATATGTTGAACATCATTACTGTTAAATTTACGCGTTCAATGATGAATGACGTGGTCTGAAATTCAATAATTCCAGAATTTTCTCAATAAAAACAATTCTTTCAAATAAGTCAACGGAATCAATATGAACCGAGTAGGAAATACTGCAGACAAGGCACCAGGACTTTGGTAAATGAGTTTTAAAGAAACAAGAAATTATCGAAGTACAAAACCAGTTAATTGTGAATGCTGAGAAATCAGTATTCTTTAGGAACTGGACACACGAAATACAATCTTACTGAATTCATTTTATCAGTGATCGGACAAGAAAAAACAAAACAGAGCACACGTTAGAACTTTTCACAACCATGGAAAGGTTGGAGGTTGTTCAGGTTTTAGATCATCCCTAAAATCTTCACAGACTTCACTGAGAAATTTGATTCACTTGAGTGAAAGGTCCTTTCTATGATGCGGTACAGTCATAAACATTCCTCAGATTTGCTCACGGTGATTTTGCGTTTGCGGCAAAATTTGCGTAGTTGGCCTATTTATTGAATTATTGATGATTTACACAATTTCAAGACAAGAAATTATTTTTTTAGCATTAAGAGAATTGGTAAACATTCTATAACAGTTAAAAAAGGATGAAAAAGCAAAAAGTGGATGATAGCTGAAAAAGAATAGAACTTACAGAGAGCGAATTAACACATGCTATTTTAGTATCAAATGATGATTGATCTTCATTGGGCTGATCACTTGCTTCTGATGACGGATTTGAAGTACTTGATAGAGACAACAAGAAGTCTGGATTGTATTGGAGTTCGTTAATACGTGAAAGTGACGCAAAACAATAAACCAATCATATATGTATGGAAAGATAATGATTTTAAAAATTAGCAATACAGAATTGCATACATTGTTGAACATCACTTAAATTTAAAAAAATCGATCAAATTTAAACAACTACTGAGAACCTAGAAGCACTGGATAGCAGTTTCATCCTAGTATGGAACTCCTCAGCAGTTTGTATCCACGACCCTGTAAGCAGAAATCAAAACCAAGAACTTCAGTTTCGCTCGCGAATGACCGACATCTAGACTAACGAGTTGAGGTTCAGTGATGGTAAATTCTAGCTTGAACTAGTCTATGACAGTGCGCGAACATATTTCAAGACCTAATTTCCCAGTTATGGTTCCCGCTTACGGGTTTGTAGATACAAAGTGATGAGGTGTTCTATACTAGGATGAAACGTCTTTCCAGTACTTTCAAGTTCTCATGGGTTGTTTAACTTTGATCGGTTCATGATTTCAATGATATTTTAAAATGTTGCTTCTGAAATAAGGGATATCAAAATGTTTTAGTATACTCATTTATCTAGTAATTCTAAAAGAGAAAAAATAAGTTTTGCAGTAGAAAATGAACTCATTCTATTAGTAGAGTCCATCGGTATCAAGCATTTCCAATCTGACATACACAGGAAAAGTGTAATTAGCCTCGTTTTGACAATGACCGGGTGGTAATCAAATAACCCTTTTATTTTACATTTTTAGATGTTCAAGTAATACTTCTAATCATATTGAGTAATTACGCAATCGCTTGTTAATATCATAACACTTACGCGATTCACTTTTACCTTCAACATGACTACTAGTAACTGGAATACCAAAAATCCTCCTACTTACGAACACACAGATATACATCGATTGTAACTATGTTTATTCGTATGCTTTGTGTCCTATTCTTTTTACTTTTATGATATCGACTATGTTTTGAATAATAATCTGAACTTTACCAACAATTAGATTAGTAATGTTAAATTTGGGTCTTTTACAGATGATGAGAAATCATGAAATAGAATGAATTCATTTTATTTTTTCAAACCTCGTAGTTCATTTTCTGTTCAGTAATCTGGTGACATAAAAGTACTTTGTTCAAAAAGCAACATGAGATTTATGACCGTCATTTAAACAAAACATCAAGAAAGTTGTATGCTTTGACTCTAAAAAAAGGAGTAGGGCGAAAGTGAGGACAATTGGAGTAGAATGAGACTTCTTACAAAAATATAAGACTGTAAATAAGTTAATAAATAAGTGAAACTTGTGACTAACCTGAATCAGATTCTACTAAATAGGAAGTTAGATTTTTGATTACTTTGGTAGCAGCTTTGGAAGTGTTTGGAAGTAAACTTTTATTCGTCAACAATGTTGATGATGATTGTGATGGGAGATTAGTGCTTAACATCTTCCACTCTAACCACAAAAGACGCGCTAAACAACTGGCAGCCAAGCGTTGAAGATGTACACATGTCCCAATTGGTAAAATATCTATGCATGCCCCAACAGCACTGCTATTACTACTACTACCACCGAAAATCGATGACGTAGTTGTAGCAGTAGAAGTAATATTGTGACGGGAATTTATTTGGAAAATACCATCGGTACCTGAATTCAATGATCGCACAGAACTATCGGATTGATTTATACATGGTTTCACACATCGTATAGTGTCCATTAACGGACGAATAAGCAAACTTAAACGACCTGGTAAAATCCAATTCATGTTAGCAAATGCACAGGCTATGCCCAATTCGACACTAAAAAATGTTTTCATAAAAACAGAAAAATTACCTCAAGAATTCTATAAAACCAAGTCAAATGGAATAAGAAAATTAAAGGTTTGCGTATATACGTGTTAGCTACGAAGTAAGACAACCTATAGAATAACTAAATTCCAATAACTCACATACAACCAACTATTAAACAAAAAGTCAATTTAATCTACAAGGCAGTGGAGCAACGTAAGGAAATGCAGTCGGTGATTAATGATTGGTTCATACGCCATTTGTTTCTTCTGGATATTGGAGCCCATGTGGACCATTTATTCTTATTAAGGGTTTTCCAACTCCGCTATGTAAATCCTCCGTACCACCAAACTAGTTAAAGCGCCGGACATTCGCTTTTCGTCCTCTCAGTTTCGTAAACAATACCCCCACCGCGAAAATGTGGTGAGTAGGACTTCCCCGACACTGACTGTATACGCGTGCCCATGTGAGAGCGTTTCGAGAGGAAGGGGCAACTCCCCCCACCCTCGGCCGTACCAGAGCATTTGGGGGGTAGTGATCACCTCGAGGAGAAACATAGTCAAAGTTTGGTACAAACCTTGGAAAAAGATTAACAAATTATTTATTCTAATGATTTCTATTGTGATACAAAGCTGGTTAGTGAATTTATTTTGGTAAAGCTTTGTCCTCTCAAACTGATTGTGAAGCTTTCGTTATTCTTCGGAACAACATAAATAGTACTTCAGATAGAAATGGGTCATTCGAATGTCTCCATAGATGCCTAACAGTTTGTTTATCCGACCTATATAGTAATTACCTGCATATTGGTTTTAATTGTCTACCCTTTGAACTGACTCGGGATCCTATATTTGTTTATGATTTTCCTAATCAGTTGATAATTCAGGTTGATGTCAAAGTATTTATTGATTAATGATTGACCAAAGTAACATACTTTTAAGAAATTCCCTCATATTTTTCTATTCTCTCTGTCCAAAATCTTAATATTTTCCTAATAGAACGTCTGTCCACAATTGCACACATGAACTGATATAAGCAATGATGAATCATGGCGTTTGACTAGTTGGTGTTCATGTAAACGAAGATGGCGCCCGATTTGTTCCAAAATGTCACACCACAAAACACCAGCGATACATACATCTCATATATACAATTTTTTCTATCTCAAGCGGACTTATTATATGATAAGAATGCTATAAATAAATATCGAGACATATACATATAGTAAAACGGCAGAAATTGATGATGGGAATGTATGTTAACTGGGACAATGATAAGATATAATATCGCAGAAAAAGAATAAATAGTACTACACTGAAATAATAAATACCATGAAAAAAATAACTATCCAAACAGATAACTAACCGGTTTCCCAGATATAATTGTAAAGTAAGACAATGGTCAACTGTAGTTCGAGTTCTTTCAAATTGACAATGTAAGCGATCCAATAGAGATGAATCAACAACACAAGATACTTCATTCTCTGAATGCTGTTTTTCAACATGAATTATTTCGGCCACTTTTTGAAGTAGTGTTTTACAATGAACTATTGTTAAGACACCGCTGAATAAAAAGGAAGAATAATAAAAACTGTAAGTTGGCATCATTTACACGAGAAATTCGATAAAATTATATTTATGCAATACTGCACTTGAATTGACAGATAGGAAGAATGAAGAAACTATACGATAATTTTCGAACTCCATTTCAAACGGTTAACTTTTAGAAACAGAAATAATCATATTCTATTCGGTTGAGGCAACGTATAATACGTTATAGTAAGGGTGGACAAGAGTTATAGTAAAATTAACCAGAAATATAGTTGACCAAGATAATGAATTTTAAATGGACATAGATACAAGTAAACATGAACTATATCAAATGGAAGACACGTTTACATACCGGACAATATAGAAATAAATTTGATAACGTCTTGAACAGAAAAAAACATCACAAGTAAAGAAATGTTGATGCGCGGATTTCAATTTCTCGCATATATATATATATATATATATATATATATATATATGTCTGAGTAATACATGATACAAGGTATTATTGCATCTTTATGGCGTTCTGACTAGGGAATTGAGAACGGACAAGAATTATGAGAGCTAACGAACATTTGGTATATACAGTAAATAGTATCAACATACTCCTAGTAAGGACAAGCACAGAAATTCGCAACAGTTGTGTAAAGAGATAACGTGACGGTTCTAGATGTCTGGTAGGGCAATAAGGTGAGCACAGCTTGGGTTACGAACTCAGTAAAGACAGCTGTCTCATCATCTCTGGTATGCCATAACAGTTTCCCAGCTGAAGTCGATCCGTAGCGATAATTATCTTCACAGTGAACTCCAACTAATTTAATGATAATCAACTCAATTTGCTGAGCGAATCGATACGTAATATTCTTAAAAATCTTCAAAAATACCAAGAGCAAGCAGTTATGGTCAATAAAGAGTAATTGATATAAAAAGAAGAGGAAACTGCTGTAAATCTGAAGTTTGACAAACAGAAACTGAAAGCTAACAAACAAACTAATTTAGCTGCTAGGATGGCCTCCAAATCCCTGATGGCGAATACTTTGTCAATCGAAAATGAAACATTTATCATTGATCCTAAGTGGTTCAAGACGGTCTATTAAATTGCATCCATAGGAAGTTAGTTTGAATCAGTAATGCATAAATGGGTGGATATTTTTAAAAAATCAATGTATAAATGATTAATGATGTAGACAAAGTTAAAAATAAATCGGGCGCAAAGATTGAAGTGTTAAAACACACTACTAATATTTTAACAAGAAATTACAGCATGTTATAACTACAATCAAATGGATCAGTAAAGCGAACCAATGGATCATGGAAATGAAATCCATTCCACGTAATGCAATTTAAGTAACCGTGTAGTAAGGTCATTCTTCAAACAACGTATAACTCGGAGTCTTTAGGAGGGACTTATAGTTGATCACTGAGTTACATTAACATTTATCTATTAACCGGACGTAACAGTTACATTCTTCAGTAAACTGAAACAACAATGGCACTGTAGCCGAATAAGTATGGACAGTTGTAAAAAACATGAACCTTACAATGCTGAGAAAATCAACAACATGAGGACATGCAATCCTTCCACCTGTTGAGAAACTGGAGAGAACAACTTTATCTAATATGAATCGCAAATATACACAAGGATGTGTTTTCCTGGGTATTGAATGTAACTGAGGTAAAATCATCGGTTTATGTACTGACTTTTTAAATACATAATTACAAATTTGGAATCGTTCCATACAAGCGAGTAGTATTTAAATTGTTTTAAGACCTTACTTTAATGGAATTTGAGAATCAACAGGAAGGCCACCACTTTTCATCAGTCGAATTAATTCACGACAATCTTCTTGCATTAATTTGAAAGGAGCTAAAAGGGTAATTATTAATAACAGACCAAATATGAGAAACCGGTGTGAAAAAACCTAGTAATTATAAATCAACCTTGTTATTAGATTTGGCACTGAAGATTTTCTAGTTTCAAGCTAGCATGCGGAATAAAACAGTTAATTATTATTAGTTTCCATGGCTCCGCTAGTTGAGATCAAGAAAACTTTTAACAACAAGAGTTTTACATTTATTGCATAAATGTATACAAGATTCAAATGAAGACAGTTATTTAAAATCTCCGGATTATTCCGTTATGATTTGTAGTTGGACTTGCTAATACAGCAGAAGTACTACTGTAGTGAACAAGAACACTAGTTGGGGATAATCAAATATATTTTAGTACAACATTACAGAATATCTCACTAAAATATGAGAACCATATAGTGAATACTTATTTTGCAAAATAACATTCTATTGTCTCAATTTGACTGTTTCTTCTGCAAATATCCGTCCATAGTCTCCGATTATAATTGTTCATGCATTTTCGTACTAATTGCGTGCCGTTCCCATTCTCTCCTTATCGATCTTCTACTGAAATACATTCAATGCCCGACCATCACCATATACAACTTATGTGGATATCAGTAACTCACACCACACTACTACTAATACAAGGATAGGATCTTGTATGTGAAAATTATAACATTGGTGTACAAAGGTAACAACATTACTAATAATAAATGACATCAAGGTAACCTCACACCTCCCCTTTCCAAAGCAATTGAATAGACTAATAACACATCATTGAATTGGTCTAGGTTGTTTTCTGAAAGCAGTTCTGAAACTCATGAGCCTAAATATTTGTTTAATATATCTGTTACGCTGAACTATTGTCGAAATTTATACCCTGAATTCTTCAACCTTGCTAGTATCAAAGACATAAATTACAGCACCTAGAGACATATTAACAATTTATAAGTAACCATAGAACAAAAAATAGAATAATGAAGCGAAAAATTGTTTTCAATAACATTATTATCAAGCTCTTTCGTTATAAGTCTATAATTAATGTGCAAATATATATATTCATTCAATCTATGATGAAAATTATTGTGTACACTAATCGAAAAAGACATCGCTAACAGATGCAACTGAGAAAAGTCTGAACAATTCCTGAAACTTAAAGTGAGGAAAGTATATTTTAAATGTTACAAAAATGCACAAGCATACATGAAGATAGCTTTAATCACAAAATGATATCTGCAAGCGAATTCATAAAAACCCATGCTAAAGACTCGTCATTTTGTTCTACTTCAGCGCTCCTTTAATAACTTCTTCAAACCCTAATCTTTCACATAATGCTTATACTCTTACTACTTCTACCACTATGGGATTTGAATCGACAAATTCTCTGTGCTAATGTGGTATGGCAACTCGAACTGATGTACGTACGTACGAAGTTCTACGTTGTGACTGATTGACTAAGTTCAGAGCTATTCGAGATTTTGTATTCAACATTCAAGAACAACTTCGAAATAAAGTATAATAATTATCCAGAACTTCTTGTTCTTTATTATCTAGATGATGTCATCTGAGTAGAGTTAATTTAAAATCGTATAAATCTTCATAAATGGATTTTTTTTTCAATGCACATAAACCTTGTTAAATTTCGAAAAAAAAATTATACATACATACCTAATATTTCTTCATAATAAATTACTTCAGTTAAACAAGATTCTAATCGTCCACGTAGTTGCTTTGTTATATCATGTAGGTCAACTTTAATATTAGTGAAAACATTCTCTGATAAATTCTGTAGCCGTTCTAAATGATATGTTAATAATGTTGATGAGGAAGTATTCAATAAATTAGCCCATGTGTAAGTTAATTTGTCAATGTAATTTACTTGGTTAAATGGATTTATGGAATTAAACAACCTATTTGATGAATTCATTGAGTTATTATCGTTACTATCACCAGAACCAGTTGGTAAACATGAAATCGGAGGTAATAAAGACCAACAAGACAGTAATAGTCCAGAGATAAAACGTTGCATTGCTAATCTATCCTTTAAATGTAACTGACTTATTAATTTTCCAATTACATAATTTAAAACACTAATTGATTTACTATTAACATGATTATGATCAATGTTGTTTGCTGATGATGATAATGATGAAGTAGATGACTTTGGATTATCTGATATACATGGTAATAAATGAACTGGAATTAACTGGTTGTATTGACAAATACGCGAACACAAATATGCTAAAACACTATCAAAAAAAGAGACAGTAACAAATATCAAATGAAAGGATAATAAAGATGAGACAAATTCAACTGCTATTTACAGTGCGAATACGGCTAATTCAGTTAACAACGTTAAAGGTTTCTTAGTTTATGGGGAACAAATCCATAGTAAATAAGATAATATGAAATATATACTTAGTGATTCTAAGGTTACTGGATGTATATGTATAGTTGAGCCATTCATTTAACCGTACAAACTATAGGTGGTTTCCACCCTTTAATTCATACATAAAATTAGGAATAGACATGTGCTTTATCATTTATGATACTTTGGAGTCATCAACCCACAAAAAAGTTGCTGTACAATGTTGTTTGATAATTAATGGGCTGCATTGAGCTACTGCCAGTCATCCCACAACATGGAAGACTGTGTACGATAAAAATGGGAAGATTATCAGGCTGGTTTGAAAATTCCAGTACTAATCAATTAGATGCTGAAATATGAAAAGGTCCCATCAAAGTGAGAAAGTGGTGTGAGAAACGATATCTTCTTGTACCCTGAGTCTATGGTCCAACAGACGGCAGTTCAGATACATCTAAGCCTGAGTTCTGCAGCCAATTAAATGATAACTTCAATAAATCGCGCTTGAAAGATGTTGTATAGCTAATCCAAGATTTAAATGCTCAGGTCTGATGTTCAGGAACAACAGTCGTTTGAGTGGACAGTTAAAACTCCACGGTCATATGTTAGTTAGTGGTGATGGTCTCCCGAATCTTAACATGAAACGTGTTGTCATGAAGCCGTGAAAATGAAAAGATAAGACGCTAGTGGTTTCACTAGAAGTCACGTTTATGAGAGATAGTTTCCGGTAGACACCTTACAACTTACTGAGGTAGCACAATCCACTCCGCCGAACTGTGCATTTGGTGTTACAATAAGATTCTTATGTCAGGAGATTTCATAAAGCATGGGCAAGGATTAAGGAATCTGGTGGAAATAAAATGCTAACGAGATGGAAGCAGCAGCCGTGCCTGGTGACTCCCGGAAACTCTTTCACCTCATCTAAACCATTAGCAGCAAGAAGCCTGATATTAATTAAACAACCTGAGAAGCCGATGGCATGACAATAAGTAAAATCCTTAATCGTCTGGAACGATGAGAAGAGTTTTTCAATGAACATTTCAGCTAGTCTGTTAACTCAGTGATATCGACTAGACTGTCATATACCTATTGCCCGGAAACTACTTAAACATGCGTTTCGCAAGGCACTCCTGAAGTGCCACAGGTTGCCAGGTCAAGATGACCTAACTAGACTCTTTTTAAGTGTTAGTTATGTCCATAACTAACCAATCAAATCGTTGCTTAAGCTCCCACCACGTCAATCTGATCTGATATGTCTGCAAACTATCCCTGTTGCATGTGACTTACCAATTGAAAGACATTATTATCCTATCATATTAGTGTGACTCATGAATTTTATTCATTTTATTAAGACACACAATACTGGTCGGTATGTTTGTGCGTTTCACTTAATGACTGTAATTCTTTAATTATTGTACTAATCTGATTGTTTTTATGTTTGATTGTTTATGTTTAGTATATCTGTAGGACAAAATAAATCCTACATTAAGAATGAGCGCAAAAGTAGGATCAAGAAACTGGCTGCTCACTTTGAGAAACTTAAGGAAATTTAATTAGTCAGTTATGACCAAATTAGGACCATAGAAATGGACAATGTTCTGATACCTTGGAGTGAAACGCTAATCGTTTCACCTTCGAAAAAGGCCGACGTAATTCCTACAAAAGCTACCGAAGGATAGGTTTACTTCTGACTGCGTCCGAACTATTGACTTCCGTCATATACCAAGTGCTTTACACATTCGAAATCTAAAGTATTTCAGCAAAATTATCAGGAGCCTGTATTACCAACCACTTTTTGCGATAATATTTAAAAGTAATCAGAACGACTGTATCGCTTTTTTTCCGCTAACCTTAACAAGAATCGATGTGTTTTAAATGCAATCATGATAAACTGTGAAATGAGTGAGAAAATCTATGCTTTAGGTTTATCCACAGATGAACAAACTTTAGAAATCAACTATAATTCAAAAGTCATCATACAAGATACATCAAGTGTAAATTTGAACCCGTTAAAAACACTTCAACAAAGATTCAGTATAGTATACTCAAATATATTATTGAAAACTAACCGAACAGCAGAGATCCTGGTTTCTAAAACATAAGATTCCATTTCTGAACGACTAGCGGTTAAGCACTGAAAACCACCAATACAATATGTTGGTTGAGGTATAAATACAGACTGTTGATTACTTGATGGGATGTTCGCAGTTGATGTAACCTTAATCCGAATAGAATGGATATAATATTAGCACGAAAATAATATACCAAATGTTAAAGGAAGTTTTGAAATTATTAGTTAAGTGAAAATAACATAGTAACAGTGTACTACGACACCATAGAGAGATACGAAGCTAAAATGGTATTTTTTTTTAACTTCAAAAAACATCTCATGTTATTTTTAAAATTTGAATAATAGAAGTGTCATGGAATTGAAGTTATTAATTCAAGGTCAAATACTGGTCAATATTTTTGTATGAGCGTTGATACCAAGCTATTAGCATTAATTAGAGAATCGACAAAAAACTATTTGGTCCTCCCATTTCAATCATTGAAAATGACAAATTTCTAGTAATAATTCTCGATTTATATATAATGGTTATGATTTGGTTTGCTAAACATTCATCAAATGCTACTTCAGCACAAAATCAATATCAGAACAAATCCTCAATTTTCAGATTCAAAATAAACATTTAAGAATAGAAAATAGAAAAATTGTACACGTATATTAAACCGCAATGTGATTGAAATAAATGGCATATGAAAAAATTAGCTATTTTAACAAATTCAAATACTTACTCCTAGATTCGTTAATTCAACATTATTCGAACTCAATTCACTAGTTGTTAACTGTATATCTGAGTTAGATCTTAAACAGGGTACTAAAAATTTATTTGGGTAGGGGATACCAGTCGGTTGCATAACTTGACATAGCCATACATCTAAACGTCGAATACTCGCTTCAACAAGGTAATCCACTTCAGCTGCTTGAATAATTTTGATTGTGAGCTAAGGAGATGATAGGTATTGATAAGAAGAGAAACAACAGTAGGATGTGTATTATGAAATAACCTTACTTACATAATTTATCGACAGTAGAAATAAGGTATAAATCAACAACACGCGTTAGTAAAGTTAACAGTCTCTTGAATTAAATCAGCTTGATCACATCTATCAAATCAACCGATCATCAATACTAAAATTTACAGTAGTAAAACTTCAGATGAAAACAAATTTAGTCATCTGACAACACTAGTGTACAAAGCGTACCTTGTAAATATAATGAAATAATGGAGTTTTGCATAGAATCCTATGTCAGATTTTGTAACACAAGATATTTTTGAATGAACGCCTGAAATATGAAAGGACAAACTGATACATGTGTACATCCGTTCAAGTCGTCATAGCCCGTTAGTACACAGATGAGATTGTCAGGTCAAATTCCAGAACAGTTGAGGTAGTAACAGAATCAGTGGTGATTGAAAAGATCAGGAGTTGAAGATATGATTCAAGAAAATATAAATTAGAGAAATAAAAAAGTTAAAAGGAATTCAGAAGCATAGAATCTGAGGGAAAACAAAGAATGAATGCAATTGGGCCAATGCAAATGACAAGATATGTCATTCAATGTTTGCAACAACTGGTTACGATAATCGCGCGGACTCCAACTAGGTAGTCTACATCTGTTAACATGGCTCAGCCCAATTGCCAATGATCTCATGAACTGATGCCATATTTTAACTTGCCCCCCTAGCTTTCTTATATTCTACTCCTACACTAGAAAACATCGTCCGTCGAGATAAGCAGTGTATAGGCATATGGAAAACATGTCCCAACAGCCTCAATTGATAAGATTTGCTACTTCACAAACCGATTTCGCATCCCAACCTAGTACCCTATTCCTAACCAGTTTCTATGGCATCTTTGACTCAACTATTAGTGTTCGAGTAGAGAGACTAGAAGGTTAATGAACTTCTTTGGCACGGCTTTCAATGACAGACACCACCACAGGACTTCATGATCAACAGATTGGAACACCGTCCTAGAGTCAAGAAAAACAACTATTGCCGAGTGTCGGAAAGTACCTCTTTCTTCTAGAGTCCGCCCAAGGGTCAATATTTGGTCCATACATCCACGTCCAAGTCTGAAAACAACATGGTTTTCTTGAGTTCGCTCTTCACGAGCACTAGTTAGACGTAGAAGTATTGTTAGTTAAACTGATTCCCTTGTGATTGTCACAAAAAGATTTTTGTACTTTCTTACAGACTACGACGACCAGAGATGGAGATTAGTCAAATGGAATTACACCCAGTTACCAGATTTTAGCTAAGATTTTAATTAATCTAACTGCTAAAACTGGACCACCATCCCTAAAGATTTCAAGGGTGATGCTCTCTTACCCTATAGATTACTTACAGGCTTTTCAACCTCACTAACAGTTGGATGACTTATACCAATTTCTCATTCAGGTTGCTTGGAGGTAGTGTGTAACTGAAGTATGACTGAAAGCCGGTTTAACTGTTCCTGAAAATATTCTGTTCATCAGTCTAATAGGCCGGATTGAAAATGAATAATGGTTCCGTCATTTTCCGAGATCGTCTCTATAACAACCGGATTTTTCGTACTTATTTTCTTGACAAGTTTGAACAGTTGTGTACTGTTACCTATTGCTGCTGCCTTTTCCATTTCTTCTGCTTTCAGTACCCACCACCGCTCACGATTACTACGTAGGCTTTCTATCAGCCTACGTTTAAATAGCCTCCGCTCTTTATCATGTTCTGAACCAGATGGGATAAGTTTTCCAGTATCTACGTTGTCCTGTGTTTACTAATTGGCCAGGTAATAGCATAAAAAACTAATCAAACTAATACATTGATTTCTTGATTAAATAAAACAGGACAAATTTTCCTTCAATGTGATATGATGAAAGTTACCAGATAAGAACCCCATGAATATTTTAAAACTCGCTAACAACTGAAATCTATAACCACTGAGTCAAACGACCGGATGCTGTTGTACAAAGTGTTTAGCTAATTTCATTAAATAAACAGATGATATCAGCGTAAAGACTACCGGGAAAACACAAGGCTTGTTTATTTCCTGTGACAACCTCCCATTAAGTCCACTTAAAATAATAATATAAAAATTAAGGGCTAGGTGAAACTCATAATTTAATAAAATTGACAATTAGATAACTTACATTCGTAACCAGGGCACGTATTGAGGTACATGGTTCTAAAAGTATCCTCAGGAATAAGTTATCTAATATTATATGTAACGTATCAGTAGATAAGCTTTCTATCTAAATTGTGACAAGAAGGTGAAACACAAGCAATTTAGGCAAATATTAGATACAAGACGTAGTTAAACAATACTACATACAATTTAATATAACGGGCAATGATTAAAGCCGATTGTGAGTGCACAACAAATCCACTGTTCAGTAACCAAGTTGAATGGGAGTGAAACACGACAAGAAAAATAGTACATTCTTAAGTTTACACAAGATTTTAAAGTCTTCTCCAATTATCCACTAGAGCTCACTGGCTAAGAACGAGCTTTAATCTAATCTATGTCCAGCTAACGTTGAGAATAGTTAAGATTCACTCTGTTCCATAGTGAGAGGTTATTAACTCTGAAAACAATAGTTAACTGAATTTAACACATTAATTTTGCCAGAGATCAGTTCCACTATTTTTGCGAAACCTCATCTTCAAGTACTTCAATATAGAGAATACTTAATGCTCATTTAATTGCTTTCATATGTTTTCTAATTAGCTCCAGAAAACGATTTTATATTGTGAATAAAGACTACTGTATGGAGGTTAGCGCTAACAACCTTCAGTAGGTAGAATAAGACTCAAGCCATGAGTGAAACAGTTAAAAGGATTTAAACTAGTCTTTCACAGCTACATGTACTTATGTAATGGTCGCAATTCGAGAAGTTATCTTACAAGAAAATATGTGGTTGGACATTTTCAAGTGATACCGAAGCTTAGCCACTCAGTCAAGGTGACAGCAAGATAACTAGTGAATATAAGGTTAAAACGGCCTAGATCGACTAAATAAATCACAAACCTGATTTTCACAAGATTCTATTACACATTGTAGAGTGTTCAAAGCACTTTGACGAATAGATGAAGAAACATGGTGCAGTAGTTCTGTTATTATCATTATTTTTTCACTTGTATTAATTTGATAAATGCTAAAAGAGGATAAAACAAGAAATAAACTATGTGATAAAGAATAACGATGAGAAGTAAATATTAATGCAAAAGAAAATCAAGTGACAGGAAAGATACCATTGCCTTAATAAAAATTAATATGAAAAACAGCTCTAGTTTTTGTCACGGTAAACAATGGTGATGTTTTGTAGTTTTTATTTCATTTTCTTAGTTCACATAAAATCAGGTACACTTTGACAAAAATATTGTACTTGTATGGGCTAAGACATTGCTTGGGTGCCAAGACCGAATCTTTGACCCAAATGTCTAATCCACTAGGTAATAAAGCAACTTTAGGAGAAGCAAAGTCATGGTAGCTGGTAACCAAATATGGTTTTATAAGCCATGTGTTTAGTCGGAATCCTGGAGCTAAAGTACGATATTGGTTTGGAATCACAGTTGCCTAACTCTCTAGGTAGATCTTCCGTGGTGAGTATGGCTTTCTTGGTAGAGACTACATGTTCACATGAACACTTTGAAGAGAAGGAATTCTTCTCACCTTCAGTTGTACCAGAGCATAAGGGTTTTGTAATGATGGATGGCCTATGTATAGAATGTTATATTTTCTGGGGACTTCAGAAGACAGAAAACATGTCGCAGGCACAAAAAACAAAGTGAGATTGATAGACAGACCACTTTTAATTCGATGGTATGAATAAATAGGACAAATATTTTAAAAAATAGAACTAGTAAATGCTAGTTGAGAACTGATGGTGAAAAGGGCAGATATAAGGTACTATCCATTATCCAGCATTTAGGTTAGACTTTTAATGTCAGGTTTAGCATAACCCATTTGTCAAGCACAGGATTATTTCTTTAGCTTTGAAGCACCATTTGACTGCTGGTGATAAAACCCGGCCGCCCGAACAGGATGAAATTTTACATAACTCACACCTAGGATGTAGTATTTGAAAGCCAAATGTTATCACCTTTCAAATTTATGCCTGCTTTACGAATAAAGTTACAGATTGTTAGCTAAATGCATACAGGAACATGTAAGATTCGCTTCGCTCATCAAAAAAGGAAATGACGTTGTGAAACCTCTCAATATGCTTTTAAATCTAATTAATTATAATCACTAATCATTTCCCAGTGAGTTTGAGAAATCATTGCAATAACCATTAATTCTTTGTTTAACGGACTAACATGATGTGATCGCATTGTTGATAAGCGAAGTAAAACTGCTTCCTCTGTAACTGATACTTAACAATGATATTGTGAGCGATTGAGTTTTTCTTGCATTAGCCGAAAATTATTTCGTTTACATACAGATGCAAACGAATTGATGTAAGTAAAAAGGCAAAGATAGGTATATAAAGGTTAATTTCATATCAAAGATAGAATCCCACATTGATACACTTTTTGCTTTTAACTACAGTTTTAATTAACTACTGTTAATTCAGTTTAACTCCACATTCAGCTCTTCTAGGATTACTACTTATCTGATGTCCGAGTAAAGGAGGAGGATTAGGCATTCAACAAAATGTTTATAGGCATACACAAAGCCATATGGGTCTGACAGAATCACACTACATAGAACCAGATCGATCCTATTTACATCAATAAAAGGTGCATAAGCTTAATGGAAGACGTGAGAACCAAGAGACGAGCTGACATGGCTTCAGCTCAAGGAGTGGATCTCCATGGAAAGCCTGAACAAGATTCAAGAAAGGGGGAACAAGAAGACCGTAATTAACAACAGTCGAACAAGAACAGAGAAAGTCAAGGCACAAACTGAATATACAGAAGCAAAAAAGCAAGTGAAAATGAGCATTACAGCTGACAAGCAGAATTATATGGAAGGGCTAACATTGACAGCGGAAAAGCTTCATGAGAAGGAAATATGAGACAGCTATATGATACAACGAAGAAACTAGAAGGGAAATATAGTAAACCAGAAAGACCAGCCAAGGACAAAAAAGGAAAGACAACCACCGAGGTTCAGGAACAGAGGAACAGATTAGTAGAATACTTCAATGAACTCTCCAGTAGACCAACTCCATTGAATCCACTGGACATCAAAGAAGCACATACAGACCTTCACCTAGATGTCACTCCACCAGCGATCGAAGAAATCAGGATGGCCGTCACTCAAAACAACAGTGGGAAAGCAGTAGGGCCAGACGGCATACCAGTCGAAGCACTCAAGTCAGACAGAATTAATCGCAAACATGATCCACGTTCTGTTCAGAGAGATTTGATAGGAAGAACATGTGCCCACAAACTGGAAAGAAGGATACTTCATCAACATACCAAAGAAAGGAGATCTGAGCAAGTGTAAGAAGTACAGAGGAACCACACTACTATCGGTACAAGGGAAATTTTTCAACAGTGTTGCTGAACCGGATAAACGATTCAGTAGATGTCCAGCTTCGAGATAAACAAGTCGGATTCCGTAAGGATCGGTCGTGAACAGACCGAATCGCGACACTACAGATCATCTTTGAACAATCAATTGAATTGGACTCGTCAATATGCATCAACTTCATTGACTCTGAGAAAGCATTTGACAGTGTGGATAGGAGAACCCAATAGAACCTTCTTCGATACTGTGGTGTGAGTAGCTGGGAAAATCGTCAACATCATTCGGAATCCATACGACGGAGTACAATACAAAGTCGTGAGTGGAGGATAGGACAACTGACAAATGTATTCAAAGAGAAGACCGGAGTCAGATAAGGCTGCTTATTCTTCCTTTTTCTCTTTCTTCTGATCGTTGACTAGATTATGAAGACCTCCACATAAGACGCGAAGCACGGAATAAAATTAACAGGTTAGATGCAACTAGACGATTTTATTTATTTATTTATTTAAACACATATATATTGGTACAAAAGGGCACCAGGTACATATGCGCCACACAAAATAATGAAAGTAGGTAGATAAAGGATGAAAAGATAAGGCGGGCTGAAATGTACAACCAGAAGATTCTTTCAGTTAGGAAAGTTAGAACCATTCTTTATGTAGAAAGTAAAAGAAGGTTGCAGCAGGATCGCCACTGGCTTCTATTCTGAGCCATATCCGATAACGTCTCTAGCCACTGTGTTGCACTATCTCTCGGACCCCAACCAGGGAGTCGTGAAGGACCAACAAAAGCTAGCCCTTTGCAGCTCTCTTTCATGCCACGACACCATGTCATACACTGACCTCCTCTCCGCTTTCTCCAACCAGTCCCAGGGTCGGCAAATAATGCACGACGCGGAAGTCTCTGGGACGACATTCGTAAAACATGTCCGAGCCACCGAAGTCGGTGTTTCAAGATGGTGACACCAATTGAATTATCGTCTCTGCGCCCGAACACACGATGCCGAACCTCTGCATTACTAACATGGTGTTGCCACTGTATGTCAGCAATCCTTCGGAGACAACGATGATCGAACACAAAGAGACGTCTAACATCCTCAACTCGGAGAGGCCAGGTTTCACAAGCATAGAGCAAAACTGCTCTCACCGACGCGTTGTAGATCCGACCTTTTACAGCCAGACTAACATCACGAAGGCGCCAAAGATGGCCCAGATTGGCATAAGCCGCTCTGGCTTTCATTAAACGTGCATCAATCTCATCACTCACGCCACCACCAGCACTTATATAGCTACCTAGATACACGAACTTCTCAACTACTTCGATCTCCTCACCATCCAGGGTGAGTACAGGATTAGAATCCTGCCAGTCTTGTACAAGTACTTTGCACTTGGAGGGTGCAAAGCACATGCCGTACCTGCGGACACTGATTGCCAACTGATTAAGTGCTGATTGCATGCCTTGGGCATTATCGCACAGTAAGACAATATCATCCGCATACTCGAGGTCGAGAAGTCGTTCTCCAGGCAACATATCCACACCGCCATTACTTACATCCATCAGAGCTGTTTCTAGGATGTCGTCGATGGCAAAGTTGAAGAGGAGTGGTGAGATCGGGCAACCCTGCCTAACCCCACTGCTCGAATGGAACAAGGGAGAAAGGTGGTTGTATGCCCTCACTCTGCCTGAGGTGTTCGTATACAGGGCTTTTAAGATGTTAATGAACTTCTCAGGCACACCCTTCTTCAATAGACAATCCCAGAGAACAGTCCTGTCCAACGAATCGAAGGCAGCCCTGATATCAAGAAACACTACGATTGTTGGCCTGCGATAAGTATGACGGTGTTCTAACATTTGGCGGAGGGTGAAGATGTGATCAATGCATCCTCGACCAGAACGAAAACCAGCCTGCTCCTCGCGAGTCAATCGTTCTCGGGTTTTAAACAACCTACGAAGAATGATAGAAGCCAATAGTTTGGACGCGATCGAAAGTAGACTTATCCCCCGATAGTTGCTACAGGAACAACGTGAACCCTTTTTAAAGATAGGGACGACTATTGACTCATTCCAAAATGTTGGAACACTTTCTTGCTCCCAAACCTTTCCAAACAACGCAGTCAGTTCCTTAGCCAGAAAGTCACCACCATCTTTAAAAAGAGCCGGAGGTAAGTCATCTGGGCCAGGTGATTTATAACGTTTCAAGAGTTGGAGTTCCTTGCGGACTTCCGCCTCGTTTGGTGGAACAGTCGTCACCGGCCATGGGGAGCAGGACAAGCTGGTTGATGTTGCCGGAGCAGCAGGCCAGTTGAACTGCCCTTCGAAAAATTCCGCCCATCGTCCAAGACGTCGACAGATGTTAGTGATTGGCATCCCGTCATCCTCGTAGATTGTTTCACTCACACCAGACTTCTTGCTGCCAGTGGCTCGGATGAGTTGGAAGAGCTTCCGGCAGTTACCAGATGCAGCTGCTGCTTCCATCTCATTAGCACGCTCCGACCACCAGGCTTCCCGGTCCTTACACAAGCTTTGCCCGATTTCATTACGTAACAGCCTTCGTTTGTGGTCAAACTCACGGTCACCTGGAATAGACCGACGGGCTTCCATCAGTTGTAAGGAGCCAGAAGAAACCCAGTGCTTGTAAGCGGGACGTTTCGCGAAGCCGCAAGCGGCTTTACTCGCCATTTTCATGGCGTCATGAAGATGCAACCAATGCTTACCTATACTTTTCGGTGGGGTGGTAGCTAGCCTAGAGGCTAGCTCCGCTCGATACTTACTTGCAACAGGAGTTGCAGCCAGTTTACTAATATCAATCCGTTGGTGGTGGTCAATCCTTCGGCCACTGAAAAGTAAGGTGAGATTGGCGCAGACCAGGGCATGATCAGACTCCAGATAGGTACTCCAAAAGGAGCGGCAGTCTTGTACACAACCACGCCAGCGGTAGCTGATCGCGATGTGATCAATCTGAGTCCAGGCTTGGGATGCAGAGGGAGGACGCCAGGTGGCACACCGGCGATGACTGTGCCGGAAGTTAGTGCTGGCCAGAAACAGGTTGTGGTCTGTGCACAGTTGCAGCAAACGGTCCCCGTTATCTGTCCTGCGACCAACAAGTCCCCATCGGCCACCTAGACGACTCTCTTCTGTGCCTAGACGCCCGACCTGTGCATTCAAGTCTCCGGATAGTACTACAATATCTGTCGAACGCGCTTTCTGGAGAAGAACTGTTAACTGATGGTAAAACTCATCCTTGATTGCATCCGGGCTGCAATCTGTCGGGGCATAGGCGGAGATGACGAAAAGACACCGTTTCTCACGCCGATTTCTTCTCACTTTGATGGAACTTTCTAATCTAACAGCACATAACCGACTGTTAATGGGGATCCAATCGATTAGTGCTGCCTCAGCTCTAGCGCTTAGTGCGACACCAACGCCAGCAAGACCAGACGAAGATGCCACAGGGTCCCCGGATAAGCGCACGTGGAACAAGCTTTTCGAGGCGACAGATGGAGAGCGGATTTGTAGTACTTCACTAGAGTCTTGAATACGGGTCTCGGATAGACAACAAACGTCAACATTAAGACCTTCCAAAGACATAGCCAGCCCTATCTGTTGTCTGATCTGCATTAGTGTGCGAACGTTGAAGGAAGCCAGCTTGAACGGTGTACGTGGTTTCAGAAAGACTGCCTCAGTATTCATAATCGGTGGAAGCATTCACTTTCAACCAGACAGTGACTGGAGATCGTTTAGATAGGACAGATTTTCCACCAAGAGCGAGCTGCTGCATAAGTTGAAGAGTAAGGTTACACAAATTGGGGATAAAAGAGGGTGAATTAGCGATATGGTAAGTAATAATAATAATAATAATAATAATAATAATAATAATAATAATAATAAAGGTAATAATAATAATAATGTTAATTGTTTTGCTTTTAGTATGACCAGGGATATCGTCAATAAAGTTCATAATTTCATTCATTTGTTTGTGTGTGGGCTGTGATACTGCCCGGGTGCCCAAATCGAAGCAGGTGGTTTTCTTAGGGGACCACACCCCGAGCCTTTGACCTAAAGGTCTGATCCACAAGGCAGTGGAGCATCGTGAGGAGATGCAGTCCCATGGTTGCCGTTGACCAACAGCAGGTTCTTCCGCCATTCGTTCCATCAGGATACTGGAGCCCATGTGCACCATTGGTTTGGAATCAGGGTTTTCCAACTCCCCTAGGTGGACCTTGCGTGTCCACCAATCCGGTTATAGCGCCGAACATTCGCTTTTCGTCCTCTCACTTTCGTAAACACATACTAGACGATTTGGACTTCGCAGATGAGCTATCCCTTCTATACCATGTACACCAACAAATGTAGCAGAAGCCTCTGAATCAGTACGCCTCAACATACACAAAGTAAAAAGCAAAATCCTGAAATACAACACGAAGAACACCAACACAATCACACTTGATGGAGAAGCTCTGGAAGAGGTGGAATCTTTCACGTTACTGGAAAGCATCATCAATGAACAAGGAGTATCCCATACAGACGTAAAGGCAAGGATTGGCGAAACAAGGCCTGCATTCCTACAATTGAAGAACATATGCAACTCAAGACAACTCTAAACCAATATCAAAGTGGGAATCTTCAATAAGAACGTCAAGACAGTCCTACTGTACGGAGCTGAAATCTGGAGAACTACTATAACCATCATCAATAAAGAACAAAGATTTATAAACAATTGTCTATGCAAGATACTCAATTTCCGTTGGCCAGAAATTATCAGCAACAACCTACTGTAAGAGAACAAACCAGCTTCCATATGAAGAAGAAATTGGGAAAAGATGTTGGATGTGGATAGGAGCCATATTACGGAAATCATCAAACTGCATCACGAGGCAAGTGCTAACTTAGAACCCTCAAAGGAAAAGGGAAAGAGGAAGATCAAAGAACACAATGCGTCGAGAATCGGAAGCAGATATCAAAAGGATGAGTAACAACTGGAAAGGATTGCCCAGGACAGAGTTCGATGGAGAATGCTAATGGGCAGTCTCTGTTCCTCCATGAGGGGTAAAAGACATAAGTAATTCGGCTTGCAACTGATTGATGAATAATTTGCTGTGGCAAACTAATCTATTAGTGTTGCAGAAATAAAAACGAAACAATTATCGTACTCTCCTTCCTAGCCTCCAACGGGACCTTTGTACGCAGGGTTTGTTTTTAAATCACAACACTTTCTAAACGAAACTGTGACTCCACAGCTTAAGGACACGTGACTAAGTGACATCATAATTCAAATCTTCACTTCTCAGAATGTCTGACAAAAATAAAATGCAAATCCTGAAAAATATTTTCCTTACGTGACATTAATTGGAATCTTTACTTAAATCACACACACAAATGATATAAAACATTATGAAAAGTATGTGATAGTTTTTTTTGAAAATATATATTCCCATGATGTGATAGAAACTCAATATTAACAATCATACCTAATATCCTCTTCTGATTTGATTGTACTGTTATGCTGTTCGCTAGACTGCCTCTTTCCCACTTCAGCTTTAGTAAGTGCACAGACTAAACTAAGTACAGGTCCAGTGGATGGTGATAAATCTGATGGTGTATTACGGATCAATGACCAAACATGGTTTACAAATAAATTATATTCATACTGACTAAGTGATTCGACCCACATTGTATCAATCATTGGCAGTAATGCTGAAGCGGCAGCAGCACGTATATCTTCATCGTCGGCAAGAGCATTAGCACTAAATGAAGATGGACGACCACTTTGTTGAGAGACGATTTGATTATCAGCTATAATTGGTATCCCAAACAATCGGCTAATTAAGCACGGTGTAACATGTGGTAATAATGTATCTTTTAAATCCTGAATATAAAAAATTCCAAAACTAACTTAGAAAGTATATTTGCCAACACAAATAAAAACAAATGATAAGATCTTGAGCCCCTTTTTATGACACAAACCCTAAGCACAATAGTGTAATTGGGGCTAAGCAAAAACTTCGTTTCCTTACCCCAGAGACTTCAGTTAGGAAGAACAGAACTAGTAGCTTCCGTAGAAATGTGATACAGATTTTAAAAAAGTCCACTTCGAAGTACATGAAACACATGGATAAAAATCTTTTAGGGTTAATAGTGTAACTACTTTTAAATGGATTTTTCTAGAGAATGGAGAGGCATTATGATTTATTGAAACAACATTCAACAGAAGTAGACCGAATGCATAGTTACGAAGCAAAGATTATTTATAAACCTTCAGTATAAAAGATATTATCGAAAATACTTCCAAAAACATTCGGGAAAGCTCAGCCCGAAAGGGATGGACAGCAACCAATTAGAAGTAAGATTATCGATTAATTCAATGCGTAAATTGTTCACTTCAACATCAGAATGAATTTTCCCGAACTCAATCAACAATTGAATTAGTATGATATTATGTATTTCATTCAGTTTTGATATGTTCCATACGAAAATAAATTAAAGTTACGACTATTTGTACATTATTACTAATTAGTGAAAAGAAAATCTGTATGTAAAAGTGCTATTACTCTGTGAGATGTGTATTCTTTCCATGTCGATTCTGTCTTCTTAACAGTCGGAGTCAGGATGGAAATATTAGGAGCACAGTGTCAAGGTAAAATCGCTGATGTTAACGTTTCTCAACCAAGTTGTAGCAGTGGGAGCAAAGTCTTTTTCAGATCCAAGGTATAGTTGAACTTATGCAGCGAATCATGACAGAGCTTATTGTATTTGCCCTCTTGTACGCTTCCAAGTGAAGCGATAGTTGGCATGGATGACTGACACAATATGTAAATGCCAGTCACCTACTACAGTGATGTAAGGCAAGTAGATCTCTATTCTATACATAGTTTTAGGATGTTCAGTCTGACTCCTTGTTTGACACAATTTACAAGTCAAACATTGAGAGTTGCATGGTTTAACCGATCATTATACACTGCAGATGCTTGAGGCAATCACAGGTGAAAATTTCGACTAAATGAACAGAGTTTGCTAGGCCCTCTCACTATATTTATTGCTATATGCTGGAAGTAAGCAGTGATTGGCCAGTGAGCAAAGATACATATTAGGTTGTATCCAAGATAAGAGACTATTTTATACACAAAACTGATTTAAATTTGTTCTACTATGATCCTATTTATTGACTGCATTGTGTAGTATGACAGTACACTATTGGTATGCCTCATATATGGTTTTTGATTGGACATTTGAATTGAGTGAAAAAGTATCGAGATCCACCAAGTTAATTGATATGGTGACTAGTGTATTGAACTATGATTTAGACCAAATGATCTAATTATCCTTTATAGGATGATCCAGTGTTCAGAAGGTTCACAATCGCAAACCTGCTTATTTTCTGTTATACTATTTGTCATACTTCGCGTTCCTTTACAAAGTTGCTTCTATTTCTCCTTCTTAGTATAAAAGAATTTTGCCACTTATAATTCTCGCTTTTTATTCCATACTACTTGTCTTTCATCTAAATCTTCAAACTGATAGCACTGCCGATTACTGTTATACAAAAGATCATATATCTTCTACATATAACTGTTTAAATAGAAATACGTAGTCAATTTTCAGATCATAAATGGTGCGCAAACTTATATGATGTAAATGTACTGTCTATTAAAAAAAGAATCTGCTTGACATGTTGCAACACAATCAAAAACATGATATCGAGATTATAAAAACTTATCTCAATAGACAAGTGTTTTAGAGTACTCTGTTTATTCAAACACCCTTCTATCTATATTTTTAGGTTTAAATACCTAACCTAATGACTGAGAGACGATTGATTAGGTTAGTGCTAAATGCTCTCACAAAACTCGTCAACAAGATAGGAGATTATGTACCACACTGTTAGGCTAGTGTTACTCCCATGTAACTATAAACTACTATTCGATCCAGCAGTTAAATCTATTCATAATTATCTGATTCATTTAAATCAACGCCATAAAATTAAAAGAAGTAGAAACGTACAAACCTTTCTTGAAGCAAGCAAATATTTGATGCCTAATAATCCACCATGTGCTATCATCCAACTGTTTTTGGAAGCATTTGTATTGTCCTTTTGACAAGGTATATTAGTGCACAGTTTAGTTACTGTTTCATCGTTTAAAGATACAAGAAATATTAAGTGTTTTGCTACTAATAGTACTTGTTCAGTTGTTAAATGCAAAGATAATACACCTAATAATTGTGCAGCGGTTTCACGTACTGGAGCTACAACCTATAAAAAAAGTTCCAAGAAAACGGGTATAAGTTGATTAACACAGAACATTAGGAAGGTTTAAATAGAAAGAATATATCTGTAAAAGGAAGGTTTATTACATTCTTTCTAATTTTCAATACATGATAATGAATGCATCACATGTTCATTGCCAGGAAGAATGCTCTCAGAACCAGAGAATTTCTTATCAGCCACTCATAAGATTATCTCTCTACAGTGGTCATTTGCGACTTGAATAAAACAAACTGATTGTTTCCTTGACTGCAGAAACGAGAACTTCACTTTTTAACTTTGTTGGAGGACTGAATTTACTCTAAAATTGTATCCCATTTGCTATCGAATATACTATTTACTTAGTTCATTATTGGAAAGTTTTTAGTATAATCAAAATGTTTAGAAAATTAAGATATGATTTTCGATGAAAGTTTCGACGCGTGACTGTCTTTTTTTTAAACTGATTCCTGTAAAGCAAGTTATACTAAAAAATTAGTATATGTATGAGAAAAATGATAACCTGATCGGTGTGAAACCCTTATAGTGTGATTTATTGAATTTTTAAAATTTATTTAATCACATATATATTGGTACAAAGGGCACCGGATACATATGCGCCACACAAAATAATGAGAATGGGAGAAGGAAGAAGATGCGTATATATAAAAGAAGGAAAAAAAGAAAAGGAGAAGAGTGATGATGGGGGGAACTGAATGTACAACCAGAAGAGCTCTCTCAGTTAGGAAAGTTATAGCCACTCTTTATGAAGAAAGTAGAAGAAGGTTACAGCAGGATCGCCACTGGCTTCTATTCTGAGCCATATCTAATAACGTCTCTAGCCACTGTGTTGCACCATCTCTCGGACCCCAGCCAGGGAGTCGTGAAGGACCAACAAAAGCTAGCCCTTTGCAGCTCTCTTTCATGCCACGACACCATGTCATACACTGACCTCCTCTACGCTTTTTCCAACCAGTCCCAGAGTCGGTAAATAATGCACGACGTGGAAGCCTCTGGGACGACATTCGCAAAACATGTCCAAGCCACCGAAGTCGGTGTTTCAAGATGGTGACACCAATTGAATTATCGTCTCTGCGCCCGAACACACGATGCCGAACCTCTGCATTACTAACATGGTGTTGCCACTGAATGTCAGCAATCCTTCGGAGAAAACGATGATCGAACACAGAGAGACGTCTAACATCCTCAACTTGGAGAGGCCAGGTTTCACAAGCATAGAGCGAAACTGCTCTCACCGACGCGTTGTAGATCCGACCTTTTACAGCCAGACTAACATCACGAAGGCGCCAAAGATGGCCCAGATTGGCATAAGCCGCTCTGGCTTTCATTATACGTGCATCAATCTCATCACTCACGCCACCACCAGCACTTATGTAGCTACCTAGATACACGAACTTCTCAACTACTTCAATCTGCTCACCATCCAGGGTGGGTAAAGGATGAGAATCCTGCCAGTCTTGTAGGAGTACCTTGCACTTGGGGGTGCAAAGCACATGCCGTACCTGAGGACACTGATTGCTAACTGATTAAGTGCGGATTGCATGCCTTGGGCATTATCGCACAGTAAGACAATATCATCCGCATACTCGAGGTCGAGAAGTCGTTTTCCAGGCAACATATCCACACCGCCATTACTTACATCCATCAGAGCTGTTTCCAGGATGTCGTCGATGGCAAAGTTGAAGAGGAGTGGTGAGATCGGGCAACACTGCCTAACCCCACTGCTCGAATGAAACAAGGGAGAAAGGTGGTTGTATGCCCTCACTCTGCCTGAGGTGTTCGTATACAGGGCCTTTAAGATGTTAATGAACTTCTCAGGCACACCCTTCTTCAATAAATAATCCCAGAGAATAGTCCTGTCCAACGAATCGAAGGTAGCCCTGATATCAAGAAACACTACAATTGTTGGCCTGCGATAAGTATGACGGTGTTCTAACATTTGGCGGAGGGTGAAGATGTGTTCAATACGTCCTTGGCCAGAACGAAAACCAGCCTGCTCCCCGCGAGTCAATCGTTCTCGGGTTTTTAACAACCTACGAAGAATGACAGAAGCCAATAGTTTGGACGCAATCGGAACTAGACGTTTCCTCAGATAGTTGTTACGGGAACAACGTGAACCCTTGATAAAGATAGGGACGACTATCTACTCATTCCATGATGTTGGAACACTTTCTTGCTCCCAAACCTTTCCAAACAACACAGTCAGTTCCTTAGCCAGAAAGTCACCATCGTCTTTAAAAAGAGGCAGAGGTAAGTCATCTAAGCCCGGTGTTTTGTAGCGTTTCAAGAGTTGGAGTTCCTTGCGGACTTCTGCCTCGTTTGGTGGATCAGTCGTCACCGGCCATGGGGGGCAGGACAAACTGGTCGATGTTGCCGGGGAAGCAGGCCAGTTGAACTGCCCTTCGAAAAATTCAGCCCATCGTCCAAGACGTCGAGAGATGTTAGTGATTGGCATCCCATCATCCTCGTAGATTGTTTCACTCACACCAGACTTCTTGCTGCCAGTGGCTCGGATGAGTTGGAAGAGCTTCCGGCAGTTACCAGATGCAGCTGCTGCTTCCATCTCATTAGCACGCTCCGACCACCAGGCTTCTCGGTCCTTACGCAAGCTTTGCCAAATTTCATTACGTAACAGCCTTCGTTTGTGGTCATACTCACGGTCACCCGGAGTAGACCGACGGGCTTCCATCAGATGTAAGGAGCCAGAAGAAACCCAGTGCTTGTAAGCGGGACGTTTCGCGAAGCCGCAAGCGGCTTTACTCGCCATTTTCATGGCGTCGTGAAGATGCAACCAATGCTCATCTACACTTTTCGGTGGGATGGTAGCTAGCCTAGAAGCTAGCTCCGCTCGATACTTACTTACAACAGATGTTGCAGCCAGTTTACTAACATCGATCCGTTGGTGGTGGTCAATCTTTCGGCCACTGAAAAGTAAGGTGAGATTGGCGCAGACCAGGGCATGATCAGACTCCAGATAGGTACTCCAGAAGGAGCGGCAGTCTTGTACACAACAACGCCAGCGGCAGCTGATCGCGATGTGATCAATCTGAGTCCAGGCTTGGGATGCAGAGGGAGGACGCCAGGTAGCACACCGGCGATGACTGTGCCGGAAGTTAGTGCTGGCCAGAAACAGGTTGTGGTCTGTGCACAGTTGCAGCAAACGGTCCCCGTTATCTGTCCTGCGACCAATAAGTCCCCATCAGCCACCTAAACGACTATCTTCTGTGCCTAGACGCCCGACCTGTGCATTCAAGTCTCCGGATAGTACTACAATATCTGTCGAACGCGCTTTCTGGAGAAGAACTGTTAACTGATGGTAAAACTCATCCTTGATTGCATCCGGGCTGCAATCTGTCGGGGCATAGGCGGAGATGACGAAAAGACACCGTTTCTCACGCCGATTTCTTCTCACTTTGATGGAACTTTCTAATCTAACAGCACATAACCGACTGTTAGTGGGGATCCAGTCGATTAGTGCTGCCTCAGCTCTAGCGCTTAGTGCGACACCAACGCTTGCAAGATCAGACGAAGATGCCACAGGGTCCCCGGATAAGCGCACGTGAAACAAGCTTTTCGAGGCGACAGATGGAGAGCGGATTTGTAGTACTTCACTAGAGTCTTGAATGCGGGTCTCGGATAGACAACAAACGTCAACATTAAGACTTTCTAAAGACATAGCCAGCCCTATCTGTTGTCTGATATGCATTAGTGTGCGAACGTTGAAGGAAGCCAGCTTGAACGGCGTACGTGGTTTCAGAAAGACTGCTTCAGTATTCATAATCGGTGGAAGCATTCACTTTCAACCAGACAGTGACTGGAGATCGTTTAGATAGGACAGATTTTCCACCAAGAGCGAGCTGCTGCATAAGATGAAAAGCAAGGTTACACAAATTGGGAATAAAAGGGGGTGAATTAGCGATATGGTAAATAATAATAATAATAATAATAATAATAATAATAATAATAATAATAATAATAATAATAATAATAATAATAATAATAATGCAAATTGAATTGTTTCTTGTATGAACGAGAATATAATTGTCAGCTGAATGTCCCATTTCATTTATTTGCGAGAGGGCTGTGATACTGCCCGGGTGCCCAAACCGAAGCAGGTGGTTTTCTTAGGGGGCCACACCCCGAGCATTTGACCTAGAGGTCTAATCCACAAGGCAGTGGAGCATCGTGAGGAGATGCAGTCCCATGGTTGCCGTTGACCAACAGCAGGTTCTTCCGCCATTCGTTCCATCAGGATACTGGAGCCCATGTGCACCATTGGTTTGGAATCAGGGTTTTCCAACTCCCCTAGGTGGATCCTCCACATCCACCAACCCGGTTATAGCGCCGGACATTCGCTTTTCGTCCTCTCACTTTCGTAAGCAACACCCCCGCCACGAGAAGGCAGTGAGTAGGACTTCCCTGGCAGAGGCTATATATTCGCGTGGCCATGTGAGAGCATTTCGAGAGGGAGAGGTGACTCCCCCCACTCTCGGCCGTACCAGGGCATTACTTTATATGGATAGATTAATCATACATAATTACCTGTCTTTAGATTGGTTCAAGAAAGAAATAATGAAGATGAGAACATACTTTTGACTGATACCCTATGCCTAACATCAACATCGCTCCTTGGAAAGAAAGCAATGCTTCGAAGATATCTACGACCAAAAACCGACGACCTAAACATGTCTTTAAGTTTAGTCGACCATGTTTCACAGTCACAAAGTATATACGCCCTTTGGTTGGGAAATGAACATCTAGCCTACGACACAAGTGATGCAGGTTAATAAAGGCTACCCGAGCTTTTTGAATCCGTGCCTAGATTTCGTTCGAAACCAATCCAGCAGGGCTGAGACTTCTAAGATAAGTGAATTGGTCAACACGATAAACTACTTCACTTTTCATCATTAGTTCAGCTGTTAATTCAGATCAGTCTTAGAACAACATTTTGCATTTTGAGAGGGAAAAACGCATTACAAACATGCTAACATTGTTGACTGAGGAGATCAAAATACTGCGTTCTTTCAACAACTTCGTCAAAAATGATTATGTTATATGCGTATCCTAAATCGATAAGTGAACCTCTTAATATAAGATCAAATCCTAGAACGTTACGTAAAGAAAGTGCTATTTCTAGAACATAGACAAAGTTAAATGGAAAGGGGAACAACTAGGGAATCCTGATGAACATCTCTTGGTATTGACAATTACCTATAAGCTTTGACTCAACCAACAGCGTCTGAGCAGAGAGACTCAAAAAAGTTTATGTACTTCTTTGATAAACCTTTCAATGATGAACATCGCCAATAAAACCCCTCGGTCAATGGAATCAATCTAAAGGTTAGAAAATTCTACTTTAGTCGTATGCCGTTATCCATTCCTTTTATTCATTAATATTCAATTTGTTTGAATAACAGTTCTTCGATAAGCTGTTTGTAAAATGCGGTCACTTGAGCAGAAATTCTTTCGTTTGTGGTACTATATCGTTTTGGTTGCTGATCAGTGAATCTCATGATGGAAAATTTAAGTAAAAAAGCAAAGCTCAGTGACTAAGTACAGACATTACACAACTACCCAAGCCTAAATATATCTTAAAGAAACATAGATTTAATAACCAAGCTATCACTAACAAATCTGTTTTGCGGACTTAGACACTACATTTCGTGATAATAATGGAAGTTGTATAGAAAACCCTATCTGCTAACTCGATTCTCAGTCCTACTTAAGTCATTAAATAAAAATGAGCTGAAAACCTGGTTGGTGGTTAAGTTCGGAAGCTGAGTTAGCAAAACACTTGCTAATTCGCTTAATAGTTTGCGGTATAAACTGTAATTCAATCAGCATTATAATATATTGTATGCTGTTGAGCGATTAACAAGGTTCCGGGAATATTTTATACGATACCGAGAAACATCTTATACATAGATGAATAGCATGAACTATTGAGAATAACTAATGGGCATTGACAACAAGTAAATTAAAATTACATACAAAGTAGTACACCAATTTTATATTATCAACAGATATGATAGGATATGAAGGACAAAAACAATAAGAGGAGAGTAATGTGTAATCATGAGAAACAGATGAACTATTAAAACAGAATAAACAACGTAACTTACTTCATCGGAAATAAAATCAGACAACTGGTCCAGAGCTAAGGTACAAAGTACACGAACTACAATATCTTCCAAATATTGGTAATGGCTATTATACATCTGGAAAATAAATTAACGTGAAAACCATTCCAACAAGCATTGTTTTATTCAAGAAAAACAAATACCTGTAAACTGCTAGATTATACTTAACTGTATTACCTTCACTATAAACTACGGATCAAACTTTCATATTAGTTTATGTTTAAAATAAACAAATCGATTAATACGTTGATCTTAAGAATTAAATGCCAACATTGCTTTATAGCAATCAGTAGATAGCAATAAAGTCTAAGATGAATATGTTATATCCCCCGGTGATGATTCATAATGATTCATATTACCGAGGCTGTTATTTGTGTTCTGGACTCAACTGGCGGGGTTAGGCAGATCGCAGGATCGGTTAGCACTCTAGTCTGCTCGTTCGGGTTTCGAGTCACTGCTCCAGTCGATAATTCGCTGCTCTCTAATTGACGGTCTCATCACCTCACCCATCAACAAATAATCCACTCGGCCACAGATATAACAGAATATGATAACATAAGAACCAAGCTTGGTCATATTGACTGTATGACCGAAAAACATACCACCCAACTATCAAAGGTACAGGTTTTATAACCTACAATGGCTCAGTAAAAACAAAAGCAGGATTTGATGTTTACGATATTACTAATGGAAGAAATTATGTTTACAAACCTCTATTTCGGATTGACCAATATATTTTCCTGCTTGTTTAGTATGTCTTGGCTCTGACAGTAATTCTCGTAGACCAGAGGCTGCGCCATGACGTGTCTCCCAACGCAATGCCCACAAATCACCTAAAAGTGTAGTACACATTCTATCTAATGGCCAATGTCCCAAAGGCTGGTTTAATACAGAAGCAGTAGCTTGAACATTCAATCCAGATTTATCAATGGTGACGTCACTTGATGAGTCTAGTTTGATACGTTTTGTATCATACTGAACAGGGGACTGACAGAATCTGAAAGAGATTGAAATGTCGGAGTATAAAAAAGTATATACCGAATCTAAAAACTTACCAAGTCTCAAAAGTTTAGACGTCTCGTATATTGTTCAGATGAACCGACCCTTTTAAAAAAGACATTCCTTTTTGAAGAGGAAAAATCCAAACTTTTATCAGTTTTGAAGGTAGTGATAATGATCACTAATTTACTTGTTGACAACAGCAACAAATTCGGGGTCCGAGAGCTAATTCCTACCATTGACCTAAATAGGGTGTGGTGACAGTAAGAAGTCACCATCTCTAATGATAACAGTTCCCACAACGGTATGAGGTGAGAAGACATCGAACGTAAATGAATCCAAACCGTCCTATATAGAGCATATTTATGATCCAATAATCTAGTCTAAATTTCATAAAATCCTTGAATTTCACTTAAAAACAGACGCCCTATGTCGTATATTCCAATGACAGAGAAACACGTTCATTCCTCACTTTGACAGATATCATGGATTTAAATGTAACCAGCTTTTAGCTTACAAGGTAGTAATAAAAAACGCTGCACTCCAACAACCACAATACTCCAGCTAGTCCTGGAAAAATGTTATAGACGACACATTATGACTACATTGGAAAGTAGAAACTAAAATTCATTGTCACTTCGGGTCATGAAGCTTCAAAAGCCTGCAGGATAATATCCATATGTCATTATCACAAATACTAAAATTCCATCGAATCTTTTATTTGTAAGTACAGTTAAAAGCAGATGTGTTTACGGCCTAATCCAATTCAAAAGAATACAACTTATCTCACATCAGAGTTAGTACTTTTATACACCAATTCAAATTTGTCACCAATGACATTCTGGAAAAGGCTGTAATGGGATATGATGGTGGTGTGGATCTGTTATAATGAGAAAGACTTTTCGACTTTGCGTATGCGGATAATACTGTCTTACTATGTGCCTAAACTCATTCTTAGTGGTAAGCCATCAGAAGTAGCCGAAGCGTTAATGTATCTAAGTAGTTGTGTGAGTTATGAGACTACTCCATGTATAATTATTATGTACAATTATATTTTATTCTGATTCATTTATTTTTATTTATTAATTCACCTTTTTGACTGCGATCACCGCTCCTTATCCGTATCTTCACAATTTCACTCACTCCTTTGTGTCACTCATATTTATTTTGGTCCCTATTTGCACCAATATTTGTGTTTGAATAAATAAATGAATCATACACTAACGAATTCTGAGCTAAATTATCCAACGTTTCCATTCATTTTGCGGTGTGGTCAAAATAACTTAGTTCAGAGAGAATAATGGTTCATGTTTTCCCAATAGAATTTACAACTCAGACAGTATGTTAAACCCCGTTGATTGATTTACCAATCACTTTATTCAGTGACTCACATTTAACACTACCTATAATATGGGTAAAATAACCAACTAAATGAAATTAGATTTGTATTTGATTTTATGCAGGTGTATAAGACTCAGGAGTGTCAGGATAGCCAAATGGAGAATCACACTAACTCAACGTTTATTCAAAACGTTCAACATGATTGCAAATGGAAATTGAATCAAGCCAGGTTCTAACCCTGTTGACTAGCTAAAAATAACTTACTAGGTGTATTATTCTACAATAAGGTAACGTTTTGGATAACGTTGGGTTATATTTCCTGGGTATGCAAACTAGTGTTATTTTATCTTAAAAAAGTGTTCTACTCCCCAGCTTTCTGTTACCCATTCACTTTGACGACTCGATATAAGTAGAGGATCGTCATTTGGTGATTTACATTAGCGATTACTGATTCACCTATTAGGGATGGACAAGGGGATTTGATAAACAACATGGTCTTGAGTACCGTTAGCGGTATGACTTCCAGTTGTTCGCACCATGGAAGGATATTTCTCTTTAAGGTGCTTGAAAAGGAAATTGGATTGGTGGTTTTAGTTACCTAATTAGTGAGTAATCAGAACCATAATCTTTATTTATTTGTTTATCCGTTTTAAAAGTATTGAAAACTCATACTCACGAGTTTTAATTGCGTATTTATGGTTTACTATAAATGTAAATCATGAAAACTCATTGACAAATAATAAGATGCTTTATACAATACTGATTGAGAACTAAAATAACTAACGATTTCTAGTTCAAATAAATAAATTCCATTCTTAATATTATGGATTAATTGGGTATATCCAGATAAATAGCAAAAGTAATCAACAACAAACAATAAAGAATCATGGATACCTTTTCTCATCTGTGTCGATATGAGCAATGTAAGCACTCCGTACACAACTCTGTAGATAATAAAGTGAACAAAAATGCTTTTATGGGAAGGAATTCAATTAAATCAACAGCATTAGTGATAATATTTACACTTTAAAAGTTAAAAGAGAATTTCAAGAGTAAATAACTATTTAATATATTAGCCCTCGGATTTATGTAGTTGGTGAATACTTTTTGGAAGAATACCTGATGAAAAATTTAAAGTAATTAACACATGTCAAAACGGAGCTGAAACCTGAAGGACTACTACTACCATCATCAAAAGGGTAAAGGTGTTCATAAATAGCTGTTTACCCAAGATACCCCAGATCTATTAACCAGACACCATCAGCAGTAACTTACTGTGGTAGAGTGCAAACCAGCTTCCAGATGAAGAGGGAATTAGGAAAATATGCTGTACGTAGATAGGTCACACTTAGCAGAAATCAGGAAACTACATTACAAGTCAAGCACCCCAACTTGGGGTGCTCAAATCAAAAGAGAAAACAGCAGATAAATAACACATGGGGCCGGGAATCGGATATACATTAAGACTGAGGGTGAAACTCGGCAACAACTAAAGAGTTCAAGACAGTTACTTGGTGACTAGGCCTGGCGATTATTGCATCAAAGTATTTGCGACACCAGAGTGCACCAAATGAGAACAACAGAAATGATAAATTGGTTTGCTATTTATCTTCAGAAACAATTTTCTGTAAAATCATCGGTATTTTTGATTTGTTAAAAGGATAATGATTGATGTCAATACACAACTTACGCGAGATGACGGGGGATGTAAGTTCATTTTTACACAGTGTATTACTGAAGTTTATCATGACAGAGAGACAAAACCGAATGTAAGAATATTTATACTATTCTGCCTAACAAACTAAGCCACGAGGACGGATGATACCACCAGGTTAGCTAAAGCGAGTTTTGAGCAAATGATCCCATAGCTGAAAGTTGGATTTCTAGAATAAAGTAGATGTCATGAAATAGAATACGTAAATAGATGACAGAAAGCGAAATTCTTACTGTTTATTAACCAACTAGCTTTAGGTTCTAAAGCTGATTTTAAAGTGGATAAGAGCTGAACACCCAAATATTTATATTCGCACATCATTTAATAACTGTGTAGTCCATCCATTCTGTATTAGTAGTGCCAAGTTTAACTTGACAGTAGATCTAAGAGCCTCGAAATCACCCCTACTATTAGTAATTGGCTTGACAGTAGACAGATATATCTACTAACTGAAAGATTACAGCTGGAAATCAACTCACTTATGAGTGAATACCTAGCAAATTCTACCTATATGAGTAAAACAAATGCACACACTACGCCACATGCTCAGGTCGTAACATACCTCAACATCTACTTGAGTGAATCCAGGTTGTGTTTCATCATTAAAATCGTCTGTTGTTATCCATTTATCAATTGATACATCAGCATGACTCTCCAAAACTTCAGTTAATAGATTATCATTTTCCAGGCCTAGACGACTGTTGATTTCTTGGCGTTGTACTTGATGACATAAAAATTAAATTAAGTGTGAACAATATGTTATTTTTATGTAACACTGAAAGATTTAGTCAATCTAGTGCTAGAAAAACTTTTAAAAATCCGGGTTATCTTTAGTGTCATAGTGATATTATTCTAGCTGTAATAGGTCGAGTCTACAACTCACGAGTGAGAGCAGTTTTGCTATGCTTGTTAAACCAGGCTCCTTCCTCATACAATTGAAAGGAACTTCATTAACCGAAAGAATTAATTGTATTTCCTTAAATGAACTATATTTCTTGTTGTGTACTATTCTTGTTCACTTGTTTTTTTTATTAAACTTCCCTTACCTCCTCTATTTCTTTATTTGTGTAGTATATGCATTTTTCGTGCTGATATGTACAAGAATCTATGTGTATTAAATAATAAAAGATGTTTCGAAGATGGGAACTACCTCGATGATATTACTGAGGATTTTTATGTATGATTTTAACCAGTTGTGGTAGTGAAGAGACATTTTGATATCTGTCAAGCAACGTGGATACTTAAGAGTAATAAGTTGCGTAGGACTTTGATATTTAAAGTATGCCAATTAGAAGATCTAAAGACTTGATGGCAAATTTTCTTAATACCTACGGGGAATACTACTGAAGGACTAAATGAGGGTTGTGGTTTATACTAAAGTTATAGAGAGGACACCTGGTGAGTTGATGAGACTATGAACTTGCATAGACAAAGTTATATGAAGCCATGACTTTCGAGTTACAAACCACCACTATTCACATGAAACGGAGCCTAGGAACAGTCTGGAAACACCATTGGTTATACAAAAAGATTACAACTCCAAAAGTCACTGGCTGTTTGTTGGGAACTGCAAATCATTGGCTCATTGAGTCTGAGACAGTATGCAGTATGACCTGCAAATGTCGTGATACGACCAAGGGCGGAGGAGTCTGCTCTCATATGATCATGCGTATTTAGCAACCGCCACGAAAGTCCTACTCAGCCTCCTCGTAGTGGGGTTTTTATTTACGAAACTGAAACGAGGGAAAGTGAATGTCCGGCGCTTAAACTGTGTTGGTGAAGAGTTGGTAAACATTGATTTCAAACCAATGGAGTACAAGCCTATTCTTCGTCATCGGCTACCATGGGACCGCATTTCCTGACGTCGCTCTACTGCCTTGTGGATTAATCCTCTTGATCAAAGGCTCAGGAAGTGGCCCAGAAAACTGCTTGCTTTGATTTGAGCACGCAAATAGCATCCTAGCGCACACGATAACAGTGATCTGTGTGACGCACTGTAACATTTTGTGTTCGTTGTCAGTTTTGTTTTATGACCTTGAGAAATCCCGGGAAATGAACCCAGAAGCTAAAATGATGAATCTAACATTGCTTTTATTATATGCTTGAGTAAATAGTGATTTGTGTTTCAATAGGTTACGATCCTTATGATGGTAGAAATTTTCACATTCATCAATCCCTTGGGCCACTAAAATCGAAGAATTTTATTAATGAGTTGTATTTCCACCGTTATGAATACCTAATAAGATCGTCCTTAATATGTTGAAGGTATTAATATGGTTGTGCAGTAAGTATGCTCCTTTCGAATTAAAATTAATCTTTATAGTATAGTTATCCAAGATGGTGGCTTCGAGTTAGTCCTTTCCTGACAGCTCTGACACAGATATTTAACCCTTACCTAAACTCAGGAAAGAAAGCTATTAATGTAGTGATGCCAACTGATTAAGTGTTAACTAGTCTATAACTCAGTTTACAGTTTATATCCCTAGGAAATGTCTAGGTTGACTGCTATGACCTAGTATGGACTCCATTTATAGATGAATGTATTTTCAATTATCCATTTACGTACGGATTTTTTTAAGGTAATGATGGTAATAAATTGATCTTAGATATACCCAATAACCATAGAAAAAGCTAACATTTTTAATTACCTGGTGGTAAGATTTGAGAAGGGTGAATGACTGTTTGTGGATCACATGTATCACATTCCATTGCATTTTCATTATTCTTTTTACACCGCTCAAAATAACCCCGACAGTTATTTCTGTCCAGCTCTCGCGCATCCATACTATAAAGTCGAGCACCCTGAGCTAGAACATAGTCGATCCGAAGTCCACTTAGGCTGAGGAAGCCATTAGTTGAAACGTCCTTCTGATCTATGTAGCTTTGACAATTCACAGTTGGTTCCCAATCAGGCAAGTGACGAACAATGTGACGAATAGCTTCTGATGCAGCAACACGAGAAACCCAGTTTTTATGTCGCAGGAGAGGGATAAGCTTCAGGTTTAGTGGGAGATATAAATATGATAGTTAGTAACTAAACGTACATTAGAAGTTAAAACATAAAGTCCAAAAAAATCCTTGCCAAGTCTAAAGACCGCTTGATGTTTCTTTAGAAATATGAGAATGCTGACCAAAAAATTCCAGATGACAGAAGGACAAATAATAGTGAAATTCAAAGAATTGTGGTCACGATTTACAGTAGGGATGAAATTAAATGAAGGGACACAGGATCGAATTTACTGTAAAGTCAACTAAATCTATAACTGTGGACATTGTAGGTTCTTCCATTGAATGTCATTTTAAAATGCTTTTACTACTATATGGCAGTAAAATTTTGAGACAAAATTCAATGTGATATTCGAAAGATTAAAAGAGTGATTCGAAAAAACACCGAATTCAATGGTCAAAAACAACATTCTGATGCATACGGAAATTAATCAGATAAAGCTGAACGAAACTTGGTTCTTACCAGATACCGGGCTATGGTAATTGACCAGACTTAGAGTTTAAATATGAAAAATCTTTAAAAAGAGTAAAATGACTCACCGGATGCTTGGGGATTAGTTACACTCTTTTACATCTGGTGATACTACCCGGTTAAAGAAACTGAAGTAGGTGGAGAGGGTTTGAACGCAAGACTTAGTGATTGAGTCGAACCCTTTGGCCACAAAGCTACTGAGTCAACGATAAAACATACTTTTCATCAACTAATTCACGATGACATAAAAAACAAGTTCCAAAACGTAATGAATAGGAGTCGATGAATTTCTAAAAGTGCTTTACACTTCTTTTATAATCATGAACGAAAAAAACAAATAGACCACATGATAATTCCGATATACCCTCAAAATCAGTGGTTAAATAAATGCTTTATATATATATATGTAATGATCAGACAATTAGAAAGTGTTTTAAAGACAAATAAATTCCTTACACATGTGAAGACATAATCAATGCTTGATGGACTACTTTTTGCGATCTCTCCAAGTTGTTCTGCAGCTGCAGTTCGTAAAGACGCGTTGGGACAACTTTCCAGTAACACAAAAAGACGGTCAAGGCTAAAAAACAAAGTACATATTTATTAGATTTTAACGAATGGAATATGAAGACGGTAGTGTATATATTAGGACATGTTCTGATTATATTTGTTAAGGATATAACAGACTTTTGATGTAAAAACGAAAATGAAATCCACAACCACTGGTTGTCCAGATCACACAGTTATTTGTCTATATGAAGTCGCTGTGTGAATTCAGTGATAAGTGATCATGAATATTCATAAGATGCTGTAAAAAGCTATAGTTTAACGACTGGTCACACATATATTTGCCCGTAAAAATAAATGTACCCACAAAGATGTGGTCAGTAGTGAACGCCAATTTTTGTGGTAGCTTGGACCAAAACTGTGAAGGTAGGATATGGAATGCATTTGCTATGGTATCCTAAGCACTGTGATCTGAAGACTACACTAAAACTGACGTCTTCAATATCAAGCTGAGCTTATAAAAGGATACTTGCTCATGTTATTCCCACTAAAGTCATTAGTTAACTTACTTATAACTTGCTAGAGCCTTGAAAAAACCAACTGCCAGCTTCCCATCGGAAACAAGGTATAAGATTTCGCAGTCTCAAATAATAACGTAGACCTAGGAAAACGACTTGGTCAGGCTGACGATATACGCGAATAACAAGTGTCTACAGTACTGTTATAACCTGTAACAATCATAACTCACGAACAATAGGAAGTCTTTCAACATTGCATATCGGGGAATCTTCATTCAAGAAAAAGGCACTACCAGGAATATTCAGCTGTGCTTAGCCGAAGTCCCGAAATTTTGGCAAGGTTTTAAAGTATTTTTTTCAGAAAACTTGAGTAGTCGGCCAAAATGATTGTTATCAAAGTTGATCATGATTTATAAGGACCATTTGTTAATGTGTTAACAACCAACTTATTCCCAGAAAACGTCGCCCGTTTCGGGGAAGCTTCATTAGAAACTTCCGGGAAAATGGAACTTGAGCTAACGACAGATGCACTGACAATGATATTCATGCAAATGTCTTATCTGCGAGCTTTGTAAAAATACAGCAACAAAGATTTTCCTGAGGACACATTACATCAAATGATGTATAAACAGATATATAATTTAAAAACAACAATTAGAAAAGAACTACGAGTCAAAAGTAGTACCGGCTGGTCATTAGACTCCTGATAATCTCTACTGATAGGTGTCCAGGAAATGAATGTACGAGTGCACAATGGGACAAAGAGGCATACGCCGTCCGCCATCGCACTGAATATATTTATAGTGAGCACCATTTAGATATGTTGCGCATTTTATTGGGATATTAAGTACGCTATTGGTCCACTGTTTCCAACGTCCTTCAATGAAGTATTTTAGTGTATTTAAAAAACCGAGAAAGAATTCTTCGAATCAAAACCTTTTCCGAATTCGCATCAGTTCTTTTTAATCAAACTCAAAAAGCATTTCCCTGACACAATGTTTGTTATCTAAGACTTGATAACCAAATAATTGCAATCTATCCAATGTATACAACATCCAATATCTTTTCGAAGAGGTTGTATAGACTGACTGATCTATTTATCCTCCATATTACTCCGGTGCTAGGCCAGTGAGTGGTTGACTAGCCATTTCACTTGACTAGTCCTAGTCAGTTTGATAGTTATATAGTGATCTACTTTTATGAAGAGAATGTGGTTGGTGTAATGGAAACAATTATTATTATAACCAACTGTATCAGTAACTTTTTTACAGTACCTTTTTGTTTAATTGTACCAAAAACACACGTTTTTCGTTGTTTGTGATCTTACACGTACACACGGCAGTCTCACCTGTAAATTTAGGCACTATCTCGGTTTTATTTCGATACTACGAGATCACCAACAAATATATCTTAACTACAACCTACAACTGTCTTTCTAATATTTATTCTACTGAGGTGTCCAATATCGTAGTTGGCACGTAATTGGTCTGTAGTGGTGATGATAGTCAACTGCGACTCGACATATCCACAGTTGATTGTGGGTTTTGTGGAGAGAGTTAACACGAATTTATGTTGTTAGTTATTGTTGGTGAACTATCCCTCCTGCATTTTGTGAAGCGTCAGTGGATAAAATAAGGTGGGTTGTAAACGACTTGGTTCCTTTGCTCGCTAGTAAACCAGAAGGCTGTAATTATTCCAGATAAAGTATATTTATTGGCGATCGAAAGAATACCGAGATATGCCAACGAGTACAGACAATAAGAACAGAGCGTAAGAAAGTTCGAGCGAACACGGCGGACGAACGAACGAAAAATCATTTTGATACAGTTAAAAACAACGAGTACATTAAAAAAAATCACTGGTACAATTGATTATAATGATTGTTTCCATTATACCAATCGCATTCTCGTCGAGACGAGCAGGTCACTACAACATGATGATAGTTAGAGGTTGCAGTATTGCTGCACAATTAAGGAAGAAACGGTGACAGAAATCACACATTCTGAGAAGTCGTCATATTATTTTGTAGCGGTAAATAGACCTCCGAAAGTAATAGCTCTGTAAGTCTTCGAGATTGGGTGCTGACCATATTAGTTTTAATGAACTCACCTAGCTGAAGACGCTCGGTCATGAATTTGCACCATATCACGAATAGGAACGTCGTGCTCAACATTCCATCTCATCGGCAGTCAGTCTGGATCAGTCAATCTGCGATATATTGATAACATATTAGATATATCTTAGAACCTCCTCGCTTATAGGACGAAGAGGTTGGCAGAACGGGGGAGATCATTGATCCTGGAGATGCTCCCGAAGGTCTTTTACGTAGAACGGTACCAGGAGAGACGTGCTGTATTTGTTGCTCTAGTTATTGCACCACACCAGAGTGGTTTGTATCCAGGATCTGAGGATTGAGTTCGTAGGGATCCGGATCAGAAAAGACGTAGGACGGAACCACATTGGGTCAAGAAATCAGAAACGACCATAATAACCAAGTTCAAGACCAAACGTATGCTAACTGAATTTAGCCAAACATGAACCGACATTTGTGGTCGAACAAAAATAGGTTACAGACATGTGATGAGTAATATAAGAAGTGCGCACGCATAGGCTTATATAAAAACATTCAAGGTTGATAATCAGATGAGTGACAGGGTGAAATTGAGGGCTTGAGAAGAATGAACAGATTGATTTGTCCATAGTCTAGAATAATCAATGTGGGTTTGACATAATCCTAGTCCCGACAACATCTACTTCTAATTTGGACTTCATTGTGTGATCAAAATAATGTAAATGATCCGAAATTCTCATATCTTGTCCACAAGTAATGAGATTATCATCCATATATCTCTCTCATGTAAATTAAATTACTGGTTGCAGTGCCGTATTTTCCAGATTAGCCATGACACAATCAGACAAACTTAGTCTGGTGGTGGAACAACCACCGCTTTATCGGTTCGTCCATAGAAATTGTTATTGAACATGATTTGCACACTAACAATACATTGTAGAGGTAGCTCTTTAAGATGGTGTTTTGTGATACAAATATCGATGTTGTTGCCTTTGATATGGATTATGTTGACGCGATCCCAGTATATCTTCCAAATAATTTGATATGGCATATGTGAGGGCATATGTTAGTTCACTATGTCTCAGTGAATCATCAAGTTCGTTGATAATTGCTGGCCTATAGAAAATGTGGGATGGTGTTAGATCTGGGACAGAAGATAAACCTATAGAAAGAGCCATTTAGAATTTCTACTCATTAGAATATTACATGCACGCCATTACACTAATGTCATTAATAAATGTTGTCATACAAAAGTCTCTTTTTTCTTTGCTTTTGTCTCAGCTGTTAGCACCCTAATCTTGGCATAGAGTTCTAGTTTTGTTTGTAAAAATGTATCGTTAACAAATCTTAAATCACCTTGAAGTTATATATGTAAATTAAAAATCCCCCACTTTTTTCTTGAGCTCATATCAATTGTTCAAAGTCTCACTACCATGCAAAGCCGTTTTAGTGGTCAGAAGCAATTAAACTGTCTAACTCGTAATCAAGTAGTCATGAAAAAGTCAGTAATAAGGTAGTGGAGAACTGCATAAGCTGAATCGCAAGTATTGTGTTTAAGACTTGAGCCAGGCGAGTGTTTATTTATAGAGGAATAGTGAATTCACACTAACGCCACACAAGTATCCCAGTAAAAAAGTCAACATCATTAATAAGTTGTCTAGATCTACCCATAATATTTTCAGTACGCACCCTGATAATGCACGATTTCCATAGGAATTATGTTATAAGCAAATCAAACTGCCAGAATTTATGGGCTACCGATGAGACAACTGTATAACACTTCACATTGGTCAGAAGTAAATAAGAGGATATATTATGAGATGTAACTACGCCTGTAGCTCCTCCGGGTGTTACTCGCGGTCTGAAGCTCGAATAAAGGAAGTAGGGTTGGGCATGGGGTTAGCGACCCCATCCAGTAGAAAACTAACTAGCTTAACAAACGCTAACCAGAAAAAAATTTAAAATATTTAAACTCTACCCCGGGAGTTGAAGGAAGAATTATGACGCCTCATGATGTGTGCCGAGATTCTTCGGAAGCCACAAGGCCGATGTCATTCCTAACAACCAAGGCAACAATTTTTATGGGTACATTGAACGTCCGGACAATGTGGGAGACCGGGAGGGTCTTCCAATTCGCTGCACAAATGAGGAAATACAACCTGGGGTGCTTGAGATCAGTGAAACACATTTAACGCAGGTTGGACAACAACGACTGGATTCAGGAGAGCTTCTGTTATACTCTGGCCATCAAGAAGAAAATGCTATACACGCTAGGAGTAGCATTGACGCTGTTCAAACAAGCACTTATTGGATGGGAATTTCATGGACTCAAGATCATCAAAGCCTCCTTCAAAAGAAAGAGAGAGGGCATTAAAATGAACGTCATCGAATGCTATGCGCCTACTAACGATCGTCGAGAAATGCCCAACCAAGGACCTGACCATTCTGATGGGAGATTTCAATGCCAAGGTTGAAATGAACAACACTGGATACCGAGACATCATAGAACAAAATGGACGGTGAGAAAGGGATGAAAATTGTGAGAGATTTTCAAACCTGTGTGCCTTGAACACTGGTCATAGACGGCACCAAATTCCATCACAAACGCATAGACAAAGCCACATGGTTTTCATTGGATCACACCACACAGAACCAAATCGGCCATATCTGCATCAACAGAAGGTTTGAGTGAACGATGGAGGGTGTGAAAAACAAGAGGGAAGGTGATATAACGTCAGATCATCATTTGCTGGTCGCCAAAATGAAATTAAATCTTGAGAAGCACTAGACAACGGCGCGGATAACATCACAAAAGTTTAGTAAGGCTTTTCTTCGGGATACTGAAAAACTTAACAAATTCAAGATGGCCTTCGACAACAGGTTCCAGGCCTTTCATGATCTACTCAATGGAGAGGGAACTACCGTGGAGAACAACTGGAAAGGTATCAAGGAGGCAATCACTTCAACATGTCAGGAGGCTCTGGAACACAAGAAGCACCATCGAAAGGAATGGATCACTGTTGGTACACTGGGTAAAAAAGAAGAACAAGAAGGCAGAAATAAACATCAGCCGAACAAGAGCAGAAAAAGCCAAGACACAAGCTGAATACACAGAAGTAAACAAGCCGGTGAAGAGGAGCATCAAAGCCGACAAACGTAAATATGTGAAAGATTTAGCAATGAAAGCGGAAAAGGCTGCACGAGAAGGAAACATGAGACAATTATATGATACAACAAAGAAACTCGCTGGAAATTACCGTAAACTAGAACGACCGGTGAAGAGCAAGGAAGGCAAGGTAATCGCCAACATTCAAGAACAACGAAACAGGTAAGTAGAACACATGGTGCAACTCTCAAATCTAATAGCTCCACTGAACCCACCCAACATCGAAGCAGCACACGCAGACTTCCCAATCGATGTTGACCTACCAACAATTGAAGAGACGAGCATGACCATCAGACAAATCAAAAGCGGCAAAGCAGCGGCACCAGACAACATTCTGGCAGAGGCACTGAAAGCAGATGCAGTAGTAACTGCAAAGATACTCAACATTCTCTTCAATAAGATTTGGAATGAAGAACAAGTACCAACAGACTGGAAAAAAGGACTTCTGATCAAAATACCAAAGAAAGGCTATCTCAACAGGTGTGAGAATTACAGAGGCATCAGTCTTCTCTCAATACCAGGAAAAGTCTTCAACACAGTATTGTTACCCAGAATGAAGGACTCCGTAGACGTCCAACTTAGAGATCAACAGGCTGGATTCCCTAAGGCTCAATCGTGTACAGACCAAATTGCAACTCTAAGGATCATTGTGAAACAATCAATCGAATGGAATTCATCACTCTACATCAACTTTATTGACTACGGGAAAGCATTTGACAGCGTAGACAAGACAACACTATGGAGGCTTCTTTGACACTACGGCGTTCCCGAGAAGATAGTCAATATCATACTGAATTCCTGTGATAAATTAAACGTCCATGGAGGACAGCTGACTGACTCATTCGAAGTAAAGACCAGTGTCAGGCTAGGTTGCTTACTCTCACCCTTTGTCTTTCTCCCGGTGACCGACTGGATCATGAAGACGTCAACATCTGGAGTGGAGCTCGCGATACAATGGACAGCTAGGATGCAGCTGCACAAGTTGGATCTCACAGATGACCTGACTCTTCTACCGCACGGACAACAACAAATGCAGAATACGACCAGTGTAGCAACAGCCTCAACAGCAGTAGGTCTCAATGTAATCAAAGGGAAAAGTAGGACTCTGCGATACAATTAGACATGCGCCAATCGAATTACACTTGACGAAGAAGCTTTGGATGTGAATACCTTTACATAACTGGGCAGCATAATTGAAGAGCACGGTGGATCTGATGCAGATGTGAAGACACGGAGTGGCAAATCAAGAGCAACATATTTACGACTGAAGAACATCTGGAACTCAAAACAATTGTCAATCAACACCGAGGTCAGAATTTTCAGTACAAATGTCAAGACAGTTCTACTGTATGGGGCGGAAACCTGGAAAACTACGGAAGCAATTATTCAAAAGATACAAGTGTTTAGCTCATTCCGAGTCGATTTTTATGGCATTTTGGGAAAAACCTAAGTTGAGACAGAGTTTTAATCGATCAGGTGTTTGACGATGATCATTTTCAGAGATATGTAAAGCATGGTATGTACAAAGATGACTTTGGTTTTCTACTTCTAAGGTTTAACCTTCTAAATTTTGGGCACACCTTATAGCATCACACATTGCTGTAGTTACGTCATGTAAAATTTTGTGATGTAGGGTATTTGTTCTTAACCATCCGGTCTTTGAAACCGAACATGTAATTACACCCCATATGTAACACGAAGAAAGGTCAAGAATGGTGAACGCGGTAATAATTGTTCGGTATGGCATGGCTCAACCTGGCAGGCGTGATTATTCTGTGTTTTTGGTTTATCCCCAGCATAAGTGCGTTCTTCAAAAGTACTAAACATCGTATTGCTGATTGTCACGATAGGACGAGTCGGTGTGTGCAGTGATGTGTCTTCCACGTAGGATTTTGTAGAGTAGGTAGTCACATCACGAAAAACCTACAGTTTTCCTGTCACTTCTATTACTATGGTATCAAAGATAAATGTACTATTGCCGAATCAGACCATAGTTGTACAGTCTGATTAGATTTAACTAATTTAAGCCATAAGCTATCTTATTCTCACTAATGGTATCATTCTTTCCCATGCAATCCAGAAGTATGAAGTGGAACACATCACCATTGTGTTTAATTAGTTTTCTATTGGTCTTGATAGTGCATGTAAATGATAATGATACAGTAGTAATCTAGTAGGCGTTGAACACATGGTTTATAACGAATCAATTTAAATGTCAAGTGAAAGTCAGGATAACCGGGCCCGAAATGTTTGCTAGCTCCACGGATTTGTAAATAATTTAACTCAGCAAACATAAGGCTGTTTGAATATTTCCTCTCTAAATATCAAATGCTACTTGGTTGCCTATCTTCTAACTCGTTGAGACGTGAGATAATCTTCTGGCCTTATTCTCTAAAACCATGCACCCAAATGTTTGTGTATTAAAAAGGTGAAAGCATGTGTCACACCAATAATGATATTTATCGAAATCTTAGTGTACTACTTAGTTGATATTTGTATTGTCACTTTCTTGGAGTTTGTACAATGCTTCAGGATCACTGATAAACAGAAGGGGTTTTCGTGATGTTTAAGAGTATTTGAATTATAGTGTAAACTGGTAATCCTAGGAATAACGCAATTTAATCAAGACGTATTAAATGAGTACGAACGAATATACTGTATTTGGAATTCACAACCAAAACAGTCATCAATACAAGGGAATCATTGGTTTATTCAAACACCACAGTTTTGTACTTACAAAACAACGGGACGTGTCGTTGATGCACGTGGTGCGTGTGCGATGACTGGGTCTTGAGAGATAGAACTGGTGATATTCTAAGAGTATGAGTAATGTTGCTTTATTTTTATGACTTTAATTAGACCGTCTAAAAATGGCGTGACTCATTTATATACTATATATGCTGTCTCAAAAAGTTTTAATTTATATGAAGAGCCGAGTGTTAGACCACATAAAATGATTAAGCGAAGTAAAAGTGAGACGAGAAGTCACACATTATGTAACCTTTATATTTTACGGTAAATCATAACCTTGCAAATTAACTTCGTTTAGGTTTACACTTGTGTTTAATCTGTCTATCCGTTATTTTTACTCTAACTAGCTATTAGAAACCTACTAAATGCTCGTATCATAGAAAGAGTAGCCAGACTTCCTTAAAATAATAACAGTAGTTTATACGAAGAAACTTTTATTAATTTTATTATCTAAAGACATAAATATTAGAAAAAAAGACAACAAACATACATGCGCTACACAGTAACAATCAGAATGTGAAGAAATAGAAAATGCAATGTGAGTAGAAGAAAAAGGATAACAATAACGAACAGAAATCAGTGTATGATAGTGAAACAATAATGATAATGAGCGAGGCAGTTCAGTTAGTAAAGAGACAACCAGAAAGAATTCTTCCATCTAAAGGAGTTACATCCACTTTCAATGAAGAAAGTAAAAGGTTACAGCAGAATCTTCACTGGCTTCTATTCTGAGCCAAATCCGATAACGTCTCCAGCCATCGTGTCGCACCATCTCTAGGACCCTAACCAAGGAGTCATGAAAGACCAACAGAAGTCGGTCCTGTAAAGCCTTTTTTCATACCACGACACCATCTCATACACTGACCACCTCTCAGCTTTCTCCAACCAGTCTCAGAGTCGGCAAATTATGCACGGCGTGGAATTCTCTGAAAGGCATTCGTAGAACATGTCCAAGCTATCAAAGTCGATGCTTCAAGATAGAAAGAACAGGTGAGAATCAATAGACGTCTATATTTCATTCATCATTGACATTTTCATGTAGCCAGTGGCAGGTCCCATAATTCCAGTTTCACTTGTTTGAACAGATAATGTGAGATTCACAAGGAAATCAGGCCAAGCTTGTTTTTGGAAATAACCATCTTAGATGATATATATATATATATATATATATATATATCTTTGTCACAAGCTTGTGTACACTGACTGACTTCTTTGTCCTTGCTTATTATTCCACATGGTTCCAAGTATTTTGTAGTGTTCACTGGGTGGTAATCTAGTCACTCAACTGTATTAATTCTACTCTCTTTTTACGGTTATTTTATAGGTTTGTATATGATACAGTTCGAGTGACTACGTGTGGTTGATATTTGTACTAACTGATGGTTCCTTTGTACTAGTCCAAAGTCATGCTTTGAGGTTTCAGTCAGAATAGAATTTCGTAGAGGACTTACGTTCATTCAGCATATATATTGCTAATAAAAATAAATCATACTGTAAATAACTGGTTATGGGGTCACTGAAATATCAATGAACACTTTCCCAACCGTTCATCTAGCTGAACCACTTATACGTTAAATGGCAAATCATTAGGCCTTTGACTGTTCACCAAACCTCATCAAATTCAAATTGATTGCATACCGCATTCCGGTTCATGTGAAGGTGTCTTTACCTCGTGTCTTTCTAACTTGGTTTCTTTAGTAAACTGTGATTTTCGGTAGGGTCCGAAAATATCTGATTACCACTATAGAAGAAGCCAGGTTAGGTATATCTCTCGAGGTAAGACCTCGACTTAAGCTAAGATTTCAAACCATTCCCGTTGAACTGGGTTAGGTACACTGCCAATATTTGTGACCAGTATTATATTTACGCTTTCTATGAACTCTTATTACGATACTTTTTAAACTTGTGATGGAGTTATGGAATACCTATCCCACCCCCCACATAGATGACACGTATGGTGAAATACCATCCATGTTCATCATCGTCGGTAATCTGATAAGAATTATTTTATTCCAGAAATCAGTATTGTACCGAACCGTTTACATTATTTGATGTATTTGGAAATGGAACACTAAAGTTTTATTTTTTAAGTGTTCGATGACAGACTTGATTGGTGTACTCAGCTTTGCTTTACAAGTGATCACCTTTCAACTCAACCATGTAGTGACATTTACTATTGGTTATCTGGTTGACAATCTAGACATCGTCGATGCCGTCCAACAAGAAGGAAATTTGATTTTGACTTCTTTTGGAGTTAACTGTGTGTGACTAGCCAGTTCTAGACTAGGAAGCACTAAATTGTTTTACTACAGAATTTAGTCATTATCATGTGCAGATAACTCAAAAGTGTAATTAAATAGTACAGTGTACCACTGGAAAGATGTTATTGGTTAGATTGCGCGATACTTACTCCGTTTATTAGTTTCTACTGAATGGTTTTCATGTTGGTACAGTACTGAGTTGATTAAAAGTAGACCTTCCGTTGAAAAAACCTCCCCTTTGTGAATATATACTATTATTCACCATGTTAAATAACATACTGTTGTTTCGATTGACATGTTTGACAGTTGTCGAAGTCTTAAGTGATTAGTGAGAAAATTTTGACTTACGGAATAATGAAAACTTAAATTAAAAAATAGAATTTTTTTAAAAAATAAACCAAACACATGCAAATAGAGTACCATATTACCAAAAACGTTCCGCTATCTGACCCTGAGAACTCATCTCTTATTGGTTTGTATATATCTTTCAGTGGTATAAAATGACAGGTGTATTAAAAGGAGGAAAACGAACCAACAGAATATGAATATTCTAATGTACTATAAGGATTTATGTTAACTTTTCTGCATTTTCAGGAATCATAAATTCTTTTGGTAATTCTGCAGCAAGCTTTTTAGTAACTTCTTCTTCATCAGCATCATTTTCGTGTTCTTCAAAATCATCAAATCCTTTTTCTGTTAACTCATAAGTATTATCAACCAGATGACTAGAGCACAATGTATTTTCATAGTGAAGTGAATTCAAACATCCAAGCATATAATCAACAATATTTGGATGTGGTAAATGTTGAGTTGGATGATTTAATACAAGCCAGTCACGAACATAAATTTGATCACCTCTAGGATCGTGTTTATCATCGGGATCTTTTGGAGGTAACCAAAATGGTCGGTATTTGTTTGTTGTCTGTCTCGATCTATTGAATTTTACTTCAGTCATTAACCAGTTGCATGTTTCTGGAGGAAAGTATTGTTCAAATGTTGAAAATATTTTTGATTTACTTCTAATAAAACAAACTTTCGATACTGTTGTCTGTGGTAAAAATGGTTTAATGGCTTGCCAAGCAACTTTGAATGCTGGTCCTGGATTAACACACATTGCTAAACCAAGGCGCTCTGGATAATGATCAGCCATTATTTTGGCACATTCGTAACCAAGACGAGGATGACAGCTGGTTGTAGTCATGCCTAAAAATTAAAATGCTTAAATTAATTATAGTGATATATGAAATGTATGCTTTTTGATTGTGTCATGAACAAACATAGAATTTCGTGATTTTTACAAAGGTATAAATTCAGTCAAAAAGTAGTTAGACATTTGATGATGTATACATTTAATTGATTACTTCATTAATTTCCCTTCTTTCTTATTTTTTTATATTCCAAAACATCGAGGAATTCTATGAATGTTATAATATTTGGTAAAGCTAATTGGTTAAGTATATACTCTCTTCTCTAGATTTCAGTCATAACTTTCTCTATATAAAACCCAGGGATAATGTTTAACTGAGCAATAGTCTGGGTAATGTACACTTCTCAAGTGAAATTTTGTTAAAACTTTATGGTTAAAAGATGATCCTTTACATTGGAAAGTAAATTTATATATGAAGTAGACTCTGATAGTATTGTCCAAAAAACAATCAAGGTTTTAAAATTAAATCATCTAATTAGGGGAACAACACCAAAATCACTCGTTTGAGATACAAAAGAATGCACCCCAGTAACTAATTTGAAACGACATCTTAAAAGAAGAAAGAGAGAATTTTCTGACAACAGATTTTAGCACTCATGAAATTTTATCTGGAACACATACATTGAATAGATCTATGATAAAGCGTTAAACTTGAAGTCATATGATGTTAAAGTGGATTTGTAATTCAGCTATCTTGGTTAAATGATTTATATGCCGGCTATCAAAAACAAACAAACAAAAATACAAATGTACCCAAGTTTCAGCTAATCAAAATAACATGCCCTGACTGACCTTCATCATCTAATAGTTGATAAAAGTACCGAAAAGTATGTATATGCAACGCTAATCACTTTGTATTCTTTCTTCCATTCATTATTGATTAGTTATTTATGGTAGAAACACCCACGTATTTTTCTACACCTATGGTGCATGTTCTATTTTTTTCGGTCATAACTGTATTTTTACATTTAAGGATAAATTCATCTGAAATTAAGATTGTAGTTCGAGCGAATAGTCTACTGAATATGCTTAGTATTCAATGGAGTTCTATTTTATATTTCCTTATATTTAATAACTGTGCCAATAAACTTGATGGTTTCAAATTATCAAAATTATGTACAACTCTCACAGTCAATCTACAAAGTCAAATAAGCATGAATCGAAATGTAAGCTTGATGGCATCATTGTCATCAGATATGCAACCCGACTTAGAACAATTTAAGTATCAAGATAAAGTAATGATGAATGATAATGGATTTGAATTACGTCTTCGAAGAGTAAATGATGGTGTTATGATTGATCAATGGTATGAACCTGGAAGAAAATATTATGTAATACTGACAAATCGATTTCACTCAGTAGGATTCCTTGATGGATTAATATGGATTGAACCTAGTATGAATAAGGAAAAAATGATGATGAATATAAAAATGGATTCACCAATTCCCGTGGATAGTAAATCAATTAATGGACGACTCAATCCAAACACGGTACGTCTAAAGTTTCGTAAATATATTTATTTGCTTAAATTCATTCAGATGATCCGAGTTGACTGACTCGATTATCGATAATGGTGTTGATGACTGAGATTTATAAATATGTAGATCGCAACAGGAATCAAATTAACGACCTTCAATTACTGCTGTGATAAAGATTTGGTTTAATCATCAATCATAATGTCAGTATAAATTTATTTTACATATTAATAAAATGTGAGAAACGTTTTACTGATATAGCTGTTAAACAAGAGTTTTCAAAGTGTTAAGCTATCTAACAGCGAAACGAACTATAAAAAGCTTTATATTGTTGAATATACTTCTGGTCGGTACACATGGATTCAGTGAGTGTTGATTTTGCAATGATGGAGAATATCTGTAGTTCAGGATAAAATAAAACACTCACGGAAAATCTGTGTTCATGTTCATGCTTTAACCAGACTCACAGCTTCAAATAATAGTAAGTTATATACCGTATTACATCCCTAAAATATCTAGACTACATCCAAACATGTGTGAAATGACTTCTCAAAAGTAAATCCTGTTAGAGTTGCCTATTCCAGAAACTTAAATATTACCAAATTTATGTAGCTCGAAAAACTAAAGAATTATACAAACCAGTCATAATAAGTGTTTAAATGTTGTGTAAATGTAGAGGAAAATAGTTATTACATTGAAGATGAGTGTTCCGCAGTTACTTTTTAATACGGGCTTCATACACATACGATTGAAGTAGAATATTTTATTCGGGGGCAGTACTAATCAAAACTATGCTCAATCTATTCACAGAACGTAATCAGAAGTCTTCCTTTTGTTAAAAACAAAACCTTTTTATTTGGCACAAAAGTAGACACCTACCATCGCCTCTTAAAAGTTCCCATGTAATGGATCCCAAACGGGTATCACATATGTTCGATGGCTGGGAGACAATTATTTATTTCCTGTTTCCGAAAGTTTAGCAAGTTAACAATTTTTCATTTAAATTTCCTTCGTTACCTAATATCTTAATACGGCAAATTTCATTGCCAACGGATCTATTATTACTTCTGCAATGACCTTTATCTAAATAGTTTTATCAATCATTGTTTTAGGTTCCATTATTTAACAATGTTTGTAAAATAAGTTACTTACAAATCAATCATTTTGTTAAACTTTCGTTAGTTAACAGATAACATGAACAATTGCTCTTCTAAAGAGTTAGGTGAATGGATTCATTTAACTAATCGAGATTCAAATGAAAATATTTTATCAGATTTGTGGACAACAGAGACAGCAGTCACTCAAACAAGATTAGGTTGTGAAGGTCTCACAGCTGAGAAGATCACACGTACTCAAAGACTTGTCACAAAAATGATTGTTATATGGAAAGCACCATTAAAAGATAAATGTGGTTGTATCAATATCAACGCAGCTGTACAAACGCATAATGAACAAAGAGAAATATTTTCCGCTACAGGTAAGTAGTGATTTTTATTTGCTTTTGAGTATTGAGAATGCATTAAATGGTTGCTTCTTATTTGTTTCTTTAGATAAAGATTACAAGTACCATGTCAATAAAATTTGTAAGATCCAGATTGAAGTGATTTAGAAATATACCGGCAATTTTAAACACAAAGATAAATACAATTAATAGGGGGATAATGAATAAATGAACTTGAAACATTTTCATTACATCTGAAAAATAATGAAAAGACACACTAATGGTTGAATTCTGAAATCCTATCCAATTTTAGAGGGTTTACTAAATTTACAAGCATAGTAAGCAAAGATGGATAGTGGCTAGCAGTGGAATCCAGGACGCGCGTTTCGTCCTCTTTGGGACTCGTCAGCTGAATGTACCTGCATCTCAGAGTTGACGTTCACTCCGGGACTCGAACCCAGTACCTTTCGCTTCAAACTCCATAGCGTTATCCACTCGGCCACTGATTCCTGATAGCCACTTGCTTGTGCGTTGAGGTGAAGTTTAAATTCATTTAGTATTGTTTGTTTGAATCTTCACATCGATGTGTTAGGACTGCACAGTATGCGCATATGCCAATTAGAGACTGACCAGTTGCAGTCCTCACACATCGATGGGAAGATTCAAACAAACAATACTAAATGAGCTTTCTAAATTTCTCTAATTATTTCAAACAAGGATTCTGTTAATAATATTATGATAGTCTGTGTAAACTATTTCGTAATTATGTTTATTCCATAGAATACTTTAAATTTCTCAACATAGTCACTGGGATATAAAAATAAGTAGAAAGCATGAGTCAATTGAAGCTAGACCACCATGGAAAACCTGGAAACACTGGACGGCCGTTTCGTCATATTATGGGACTCCTCAGCAGTGCGCATCCACGATGTATGTAACCCCTTCTGATAAAAATAAGTACTTTGTGAAGAAGTAAATCCCTGACATCTTATTAATTCAACTGACTGAGAAATACCATTTACTTAACGTGTTTGGGGAGTTCCATAAGCCCTTATGGTCACTGAATAAGTACTGTCATAGTCATTAAAAGCTCATGTGGCTACGACCAACACACTTCAAATACATATCGCTACAGAAATATCCTACCACCTAAAGGTCCATGCTCCTTAACTCTGAGAAATGGTCACTGAACCTAGAACCAAATGTTTCAAACACATGAACATAGATCTTATAAAAGCACTGTTCGAACGTGGTAGAATTAGACTTACTATTCTTAAGCTTACGAAAACTATTTTGGTGTTTTCCTTAGTTAATTATTAACTAATGATCATGGACCTGACAGATAAGAGTGTGAAGTGATGGTCATTCGAATAATTCACTAAATTTCATTGAGCACATGGGTGTCAGCAAATATGACTTATTTTCATTTGATGATCAAATGGTTTTTATTCAATGCTTTATATTTCTATTCCACATATTATGAAGGTGGTTTGACAAAAACACTGTGTCCAAGTTATACACGACCACCAAGTCCTGTTCTTCCAGCTTACATGTTACCTGCGAATGATAGAAATGTCGAAAATTCTACAAAAGAAAGAACGATAAAGTTACCACATGATGAATTTATGCATTTGGATAGTATGCAACCCCAAGATTGTTGTGCATGTGGTTCAGCATCTTATAAGCTCACCTTTACTGGCGTGTGGACTAAAATAACTCATCCAAAAGACTGGCCTGTTCACAATCCTGGAGCGCTTCACTGGACTAACCTTATTGGTGCTAGTCACTCGCCAAGTTTCCAAATTTACCGTATGGGAGAACCAGCAAGTGCTGGAGTTCAAGCTGTTTGTACGTACGGTGACACAACTGTGATGAAACAGTCACTCGGGATCGCTGCTACAAACACAGGTTCTTTAGGAGGAGTTCCATCCGGAACTCAAAGAGGTTCTGCTGGCGTTGGACCGTTACTCAGTCTAGTATCTGCTCCAGGCATGTGGGGAGAAGAAGCTCTTGAAGAGACGAGAATAACTTATGTCAGTGTAAATAGAACACACCCTTTAATATCATTTTTAACTATGCTTGGACCCAGCCCTAATTGGTGTACAGGTATTTCCAGTCAATCAGTTTGTCAAGCAGATTGCACTTGGGCAAAAAACATTGAAATCGACTTATTTCCTTGGGATGCTGGAGCCCGTAATGGTGATACATATCTTCCTAAAAATTCAGATAACAAGGTAATTAACTTATGGTATGATATTTTATCTGTTAAAACCTACTGACATACTATGAATAGTAATGACTCCGGGATCCTGTTAAAGAATGCAAAGTTCAATTTAAAACCCAAAATTTAATACCTAAACCACTTTTCAGTAGGACAAGATCCTGCTTACTAGTTATTTATTAGATAGTAGTTAACATGATCGTTTTATAAGATACATACTAACTCAATATAATTTCTTGAGTTTTGTTAAGACGCTTGAGTAAATATCAGGAAAATTTGATCAATTTATTTTTATTTTTGTACAACTTATTGGAGAAATACATCAATTTCAAGAATGTTGACTATTGACCCTGGACGTTAGTCAGTAGAGAGTTCAGGGATTTCATTTCTAAACACTACATAGTCTAGAACAACCAGGGTTTCGATTGACTCTGAAATTATTGTTTTTTTTAAATACCTTGTGAATATCAACTTACGAAAACAAAAAAAATATCTCGACCATTCAAATAAGCTTTGAAGCCTAATTAAGAAATTTCGTAGGATTGATTTTTTAAACGAATGCACCGTTGAAATAATAAAACAAGTTAGACTGCAATAAATCATACATATAGATTGTAGGTTTTCTTGAGTGTGTTAATATTCCTTGATTGGTATTATTTGGACTTTTTCAGTAAACAGGAAACTCAGTAGTCTATTGGTTAAGTGCTCTGGCGCGAGACTGGTAGGTCCTGAGTTCGAATCTCGCTCGCAAGGCGGGATCGTGGATGCGCACTGCTGAGGAGTCCCATAATAAGACGAGACGGCCGTCCAGTGCTTCCAGGCTTTTCATGATGGTCTAGCTTCAATTGACTCACGCTTCCAACTATGAAAATACTAATTCTCCACAAAACCCCTTCTGATGATAATAGGAAACGTTTTGTTTGGATTGATTTAAAATTCACTCCATAGATATGTAATTTTTTTAGTTTACCGTTTATTGATAACTGTGCCTTACATCTTGCGATTCAAAATAATAAAGATTGCTCTATCGTATACATAACCTTGGATAAGAATTCGGATATACCATCATTTCTACAGAGATCAAATTGTCATTTACCTTTCTGTATCTATGTCATATAAAATCGGGTTAGGGTAAGAAGTAATGCAAACACTCCCTGTTTTTTAAAGCCTCATTCAAAAACGATTTACATTATTTAAGTAGTATATAGACAGAGCAAATAAGTATAAGATTTATATACCTTTGAAATATTTGTAGTGTTAAAGTACATTTTGAATTTTGATCTGGGTGTGTAAGTTGAAGAGTGATAAATACCATGTTTATAAATCGTTTAACCCATAAAATATCCCGAATAACTTTTATATATATACAGGATGTTCCAGAGCCTATTCGTTTTATCACCAGAGACTGGATGCCGAATAGTCCATTCACGCCAGGCGTCCCAGTTGCAAAATTAACCTTAGAAAGAGTTTTACCTATTGAATCATGGGAATGTACGTCGAAGGTGTATAATGGGGTGGAGCTATTCAACGCCGACGGAAGTACAGAAACAGTAGGTTCAAGACCAGGAAATCAATCTAATAAACATTCTCCTATAGTTCAGTCAGTTGTAGGGGATTTAACAGGTGCACTACCGAAAAAATCTCGAAACAAAGTTGGTGGTGGTGGAGCAGGAGGAACAAGAATTACAAGTGGAGGACTAGGTGGGGATAATCCTCTGTCAGATCCAACTTTGGCACAGATGGCTTTATTTCTATGTATTACAAATTCTTGGTCAGACTGGGGGTCGTGTTCAGTTACTTGTGGTGTTGGTCGTCGAACTAGACAACGTGCCATGCTGATCAATAGGAAGACAGAGCTTTGTCAACATGTTCCATTGGTTGAAGAAGAGGTGAGAAATAGAAGATCCTTGAAATAAATAAAGAAACTGTAGGTACTGTACAATAATATTGTATCCATTTTACTTTATCAATTTGTAGGTTGGGTATTTTCCACCAAATAAGACGAATGATTTACCATAATTCCTCATTCATTAATTATGGGTTCAGGTGGTATGCATACTAATAATTTCAACATGACTTTATGGAATGCCATACTGCAAAAAATATGGTTTATTATATCGTACATTTCCTAAACTAATAATCATAAATAATAACTCAAATACTTGTGCCTAAGTGGACCGATTTTAATTTAGACACTGTGAAATATTAATGTAAAAAGAAACGTAAGAAATGAAAACTATCAGGACAATAATCAAAACTCATCGAGTTATTAAGATTACTGAAGATGTTTCTTGCCGATGATATCATTTTCTTCAGTTTTACTATTGTATTTTTAAGTAATATTTTACACATGTAATAGTCTATACTGTTATCAGGAATGTCATGTTATTAAATAAAATTATCAAAGATAATCCAATATTTTCAAGTATAAAGTGTAGAAAAGTTTAAAAACTGAAGTGCTGTTATGTCATCTAATAAAACAATCAAGAATCGTCAAGAGATTTAAAGTATGGAATAAACTAAGTATTACATCTGTTCTATCTAAAGCTTAAATACTTGATATATCGCGTGCAACTTGAGCACTCGAACGCTAGAACCCTCCAAGTAGCAAATGAGAAGACAGAAGACGAGTGAGAAGGAATGTTATTCCAAACGGTGTCAAATATGGTACAAAACTCTCAGGTATTTATAGTTTCTAGTAAAAGCGAAATTATGATTATAATCATGCAATCCTTATACAATGGTTTGTAGCATTTGTCGAATAGGGAAGCTACACGTCGAAATTCTGTAATGTTCCTCCAGAAGATAATTGGATAGAATGTCTTCGGCTCTTTCTGAGCGCTTCTTAGAGCTTCCTTGAGTTCACCCATCGGTCATCCTCACAAGATCATTTAGTGAAGTGATCAAAACTGATCAAGAAATAATTTCAAAGGCAGTGGGACAGAATAATTTAGACAACAAGTACGAAAGCCGACTGCCTACTTTACAAAGAAATCTAAAGCGAGGATGAATATGATAAAAATTAATGTTTACGATTTATGAAAAAGAGATTCGCGGTAAGACCATGAGAGAATAAGAGGTCGAAAATGACTCTCTTGTGCATGGAAGTAAGATGGGAACTCGTGGATTTCTATAGCTTCAGCTGTGGACAAATTCCTAATTCAAACACTACTTAAGTTTTTGTGATCTTTTACACTCTATACTTGAAAGCTTTTGACTATTTTTGATAGTTTCGTTTAGTGATATGACATTCCTGTATATAATGAAATTAACCATAAATAAGATTGTACAACTGAAGAAAATGCCTTCATCCGATAAATATTTTCTACACAATAAAATAGTATAGTAATGACTAAATAATTATAGAGTGTCAGTGTATCCATAATTTGCAATAACGAATAAACGGGTAATCTGGTCGAGCCAATAGGGTTGCACATGAACCAGTATAAACTCAAATGATCGATCATTTACAGTTAAACGGAAATATTTAAACTTTCATGAATAAGTCAGATCAGCAGTCAGTAATCTAACGAACATTCACAATAAGCTTAATTTTTTATTCTTCCTAATAGATAAAGTACTTATAACAATGAAATCTTTATAACTTGGTAGATGAATCAACGAATCTTTATGGACTTTTTTTTCACATGGATGGAATATATGTATATTGGTCGAAACGGACCAATACTTGAAGTTTGTGGTGAGAATGTCGTTCAGAAGAAAGATGAAAGCTCCAAGACCAAACCATCCAGCTCAGAGAACAAAATTTCACCAAATTCAAAACGGTCATTTGTACAGGTTCTCAAAGATTAATACAATAAACGTTGGTAGGATCTTGAAAATGCAAACTAGCCAGTAATTACTCAGTTGAATCCATACTTCATACTAAATCAAAATAAGGATTGTCTGTCTTGAGGGAATATTGTTCAAAAGATTACTGAAATTAGAGAAGTACTCGACAGTTGGCTTGACTACAGATAAATTATTTCTGTGAGCAACTAATTGAAGCACGGGTTTGAGTTATTGGATCCTTTCACTGTCGTCACAATTAAGGTTTACTACTTTTTGATTACCACGAAAGTGAATTTAAGTGATATCATACAAGTTTACGTATTCTTGTACTATTAAACACATAAATTTTATAATAATTGACTAATTTCAACCTGTTATTCAAATCCTAAATGGTTTAAGTAGATATTAGGAAAACCTTCATGGCCCTAAAACTGTAATATCAATACATTTCACACAGTCAATGATTTTTGGTAGGAAAATTAAGTGAATATTGAACTTAAAACGTCGGAATTTTGAAATTGTTGTTAATAATAACTGAAAACCCTTCATCACTGGTCTAAAGTTGTTCGCCACTATGAATAACAACTGAAAAGGGATTGATTTTGAAAACCGAGAAGGTGACAGACCCCAGAAGGTACAAGCATAAAGAGTGAATTCCAACTGATATCCTGCAGAACCCTTCAAGGAAGCAAGAACAATGGAATAATCATTCAATAACGGCCAAACAGGAACAGAGAAGGTCAAGACACAGGCCAAATACACAGAAGCAAACAAGCGAACGAAGAAAAAAAATTAGAACTGAAAGCTGGAAGTATGTGGGCGACCCACCAGAGACAGCAACAATCTAATGCAGTAGAAAGCAAACCAACTTCCAGAGGGAATTAGCAAAATATTCTGGAGATGGAAAAGTTACATCTAGAGGAAATCGCAAAACTGCATCACAAGGCAAGCCCTAACTTGGGATCTTCAATTAAAGAAGAAAAGAGGCAGACAAAGAATAAATGTCGTCGGAAATCTGGCACAGACATCAAAAGAACGAATAGAACTTGGCAGAAATTGGAAAGGAGAGATTAGGATGGAGTTGATTGGAGAATAGTGGTGGGCGGCCTATACTACTCCAAGAGGGGTAAAAGGAGTGAGTTAGTAAGTAATCAATTTTAGTTCATTTTAGAAATTTTACCGTTTGTTTCAATAAGGCAAAGATGTCGTTATGTGCCAACGTAGTCCGAAATACCATATAAACCATATTATAAGGAACATCATTTAAAAGTACACTACTTAAGTATGTCACTTTCTTTTGCTGATCACACCAGAAAAATGAAATAACCATGAAGGTTTTAATTTTTAAAAATATAGGGAGCCAAAAAATGTGTACATGTGGGATACATATAACTTTGATAGATGTTAAAATCGAACCTGTTTATTACAGCGTAACCAATTCTGAAAAATACCATATAGTGTTAAATCACTAAACTTTAGCTTCTAATGTATTTATTGATTGCATTGCTTAAAATTATTAAAGTGAAAGCAATGCTAGTGGAAATCTATGAACTTTATAAATTTTTAATAACTTCTTTTCTCCTAAACTATATAGTCATGTGATGGTATAAAACGCACATGTGATTTCAGTGCTATGTGCAGCTTATTACCATGGACTGCTTGGACCCCATGTAATGCTACTTGCGATCAACCGCATGGCTGGCAAACACGTACACGTTATTTAGCCCGCTCATCAGAAAAGAATTATTGTGAGCACATATTTCAAAGTGAAACTGAGTCAAATAATGGCATGTTACGGGAAATGAGGGAATGTCAGCCAAAAGAAACAGATTGTGATCCGGCTACAATTTGTTCAGAGGGTAGAAAAGATGGTATAGAATGTGGTGCAGTTTCAGCATACTACTATAGTGCTGTTGAACATGCATGTTTACCATTCAAATATTTAGGATGTAAAGGTGGTCTTAATCGATTTCCTACAAAAGAAGCTTGCGAAAGTTTATGCATTCCAGCTGTTGAAGCATTACCTAATTGGCGAAGAGAACGGATAGCCTTATTACAATATCAAACAGCCCAATTAGCTTCAGACAGTAATGATTTAAAAAGTCAACAGATTTCTCCAGCTAAACACTGTTCTCAGTTAATGGATCCTGGTTATACTTGCATGGATGGTAAACCACCACAGAGTAGATGGTAAGTTATAGCTTTATTTATTCTTTAGCCAAGGTTTAAGCTTTAAAATTAAGCATTAAATAATTGTTCTATTTCAATCTATATCTTCTCAATTCATGTAAACAGCCTAAGAAGGTTTTCATTTTTGTGAGCTTTTTTTATCAAGCTTAATCGATCTGAGTTTACAAAAACGATGTTTTAATAGGACTGTGAAACTTTTACCTTAAGAATAAATTATTGTCGTTTAGACTGATATATGAAAAGAGCAAACTAAGAGGGTCTTTATTAAAGTTTTCGATGCTTTTTCAACTGATGTTAACACGTAATAATACATCAACAAGGTTAAATAACTAAACGACAGTAAATTCAGTAAAATTCAGGGTTATTAGGTAACAATATTTTTGGTCTAAGTCTACTTTTCCCTATTGCCTGGGGAATCTTAGTGATGTAACCCGGGAACTTGTTTTATTTTGTAAAGCTATGAAACATTAAAACATCCATAAATAAAATCATGCTTCATAGTGAAAGATTATGACTCACATTACATGCAGTATTTTTGACGAAGTTTAGTAATTTTACTACACAACTTGTATTATGACTAAGAATAAGGCTTGATAATCAAAGGTATTCAGTGTAAACCTGATTTGTGTAGTATGTAATCACCGATTATACTAGTCCCTTGCTGAATACAGTCAATTAAAAGACGGGAATATATCAAAATGACACAGAACGTACATCTGCCTTCAGAAAGTGAAATATAAATAAATCTTTTTAATTCGAACTTAAGGTGACAGTCAAGATTACCTATTTTTAGTTTATTGTAGTTGGACTGGAAAGGATTTCGAATAAGTTATTCTTACAAAGAACAAGTTTGTTATTTTTATATTCTTATCAGTCATATGTAATTTTAAATGAGATCCCTGTTATCATAACTGAATGAATAGTATCATGTGAATTTAAGCAAATGATCGGTTGTATTGTGCCTTGAGTCAGTCCAGCCTTGACCGAATGTTTTTATTCCTCTACTAATCAGTGAAAGTAATCACAACTTAACTCTTACCAGATAACAACATCATTAGTCCTGGATACTTTAATTTAAAAACCTTAGGGTAATTTGTTCACTACACTTCATCACTCTGTTAACCAGACATCACCTCTTCAAATTTCTTTTGGTTGCTCAAATGATCTGGTTACACAAGAGAGTGTGTAGATGGAGAAGAATGAAACAACATATTAGTTAAAAAGCCTGGTTTCAAAAGACTTTTAGGGATGTTTGGAATAATAAAATGGGAGTTTGAACAGACGTATTATTACACGTTAGGAGTATTTTGCGATGAATAAAATTTATATGCTCTAAAATATAGTCTTTAGGATTTCAGTTAGCATTTTCTTCATGCGAATATTTCATTGAACTACTATAAATATGTGAAGTGATTTCACTAAAAATTAAAGTACGTAGAGTCAGTTTGTGATTTGATGCATTCAATATCGTTTTCGGTATAGTTTAGTTTCTAGGCTCAAATATAAATGATTTTAAAGTTGGTCAATTCTGGTATTCCAGTGCATATATTACCAATGCGTTATTGGGTCAAGATTCTGTACTCCATATTTTCCTACTCAAGTCAATGCATTGAATTTTATAACAAACATCTGCATCTGTTTCTGATCATGTTTATTACTAAAGTAAAGTATGTTAATTATCAGTGGTACTTTGAAATAAATCAAAAATGTCGGTCAACACCTGGAGAATAACTCCTAATCCCAATACTAACGATTATCTACTGATTTCTTCCTAGGTATTTTTGTCCACGTCTACGAAGATGTCGTGATTTTGAATACCGTGGTTGTGGTGGAAATGAAAACAACTTTGAAACATATTATGGATGCTTATCTGATTGTCTCCCGTTAGAAATGGAGAAGCTACGACAAATCAATAAGGCACGTATGGCCAGCATGCGTAAATACACCAATAACACTTCTATGATTAAAAATAATGCATCAAATAATCATACCGTTATCTCCATAACAAAATCAATGGATGATAAAAATGATGTTGATTCATTAGGTGTAATCGAACTTCAAAAATTAGATGATATATCAGGTCCTAAACAAGACTGCATAATGACTACATGGAGTGGCTGGAGTCCATGTTCAGTATCATGTCCTCATCAAAAGGGTACGCAAAGTCGTTGGAGATATATTGAAAAACCTTCAATGCATGGTGGAAACTCATGTGGTGCACTTTTTGAAAAACGTGAATGTCATGGGACCTCGTGTTAATAATAAAGAATATACCAAGAAAATTCATTCTTACTGTAAATTCAACAATTGAACATGCTTCTTGAAGCATCGATTATTTTATTCTATCATCAATTGAACACAAAAAAAATCTTTCTAAATACTCAGAAGTCGGCAAATGATTAGTAATATTCTCCAGAATACGTTTACTCAGAAATTTATTTGAGCAATCAAGTTCAAACAAACAATACTTATTTTCATTCAATTCAATGTCTTTATTTACACCTTATATATTGCCATTTTTAATAAATAAATTAATATTCTTTTATTTCACTTTTATGCGATTCTGCTATTTACAATTAGCCTATCACTTTGATAACTCTTAATTTATCTCCGTAATACAATGTGAACTCAGTAAACAATCATAACACTAAACATTTGAATAATCAAGTCATTTAGAAAGCTATTGATGAGTAACCATCCAACATGGTGAATATCTAACATGAGAACAAAATGATTTCACTGTTTAAGATTACGAGTGAAGTCAAAAGTATTTCAGTGGTTGAAAATGAATCACAATGATTACTAGTAACAATGCAGATAATTAAAAAAAAATCTTACTTTTCTCATAAGTAAACGAAGACATTCAATGCTTGATAGTTAAGTCTTTTGAAAACAATATAGAATTTAAAGTTGGAGTAACTAATAGAAAACCTTATGAATGATGAAGACAATCAATATTTGATTAAAAGGACAATTTGGCGTTATGTATAAAATTCTATATCTTTTTGACGAATAAAACTTTTGATTTAAAAGAAAATAGAGACAATGTTTATGAATAGGGTTTGTTAAGTAAATCAATTTCTGTAATTAAATGAATTCTAGTGAGAATCATCGATAAATCTTTCAGAATGTTCTATAGTTTCAATATGTTTACATAGATACTATCCTTTAATCAAAGTTTGATTTCGAAAACTAAGTTAAATAGCATTTTTATATTTATAGTTGAAAGTTTTTAAACCAATGAATTAATCGTTATAATATACCCTTATGGGCCAGGGTAATCTTGCACTTATTTTCAGGAGAATCAGATACCATCCAGACTTTCACGCGGCAACCCAAACAGTACAGCTCAATCGAGTCTAACAGGCGAGCCAGACACTGCCCAGGCTTAACCCAAGCAGTACAGCTCAATCCCGCTCTATAGGAGAACCAGACACTATATAGGCTTCAACGCTACAATCTGAACAGCACAGCCCAATCCTGTGGCGCAACCACTCAGGTACCAAACACCCTGGTGGACCACCAATTAATCGTACATACAATAAATTAACCTAGAAACTCTTGAGAATCCAAGTAAATGAATTCAAAAATTCGATAAACCCGCTTGAATAAAACATGATTATTTTAATTTAGAGTGTAGTTGATAATCAAATTAACGATATTGCTATATCTTTTATTTACTTAATAATAAATATGATTTCAAGTGATTACTGACAGATGCGTTGTCACCAGATGATTATAAAACAACTATTCAGCCACTGCTGATTAACATTAAGAACTGAAATCCAACTCTTATTAATTTTTTAATAAATAATTTACTAAAAAGTAGTCAATTCTAAATGTAGATATGGTCTGAGAATAGTTGATTAAAATACCGTTTGAAGCAAGCAAATATTCACTAAATTACGATATTTATTGCTTAATATTCTATCTGTGAAGACAGTTACGAAGGATGGAGACTATAATCATTGAAAGAATATGAATGTTATGAAGCTTGGAAATGAGCGTGATAATGTCAATAGCTAAGTAAGCATTTGAAACTATAACTTATGATCCGAGTTTAACTGTAACTAATATCAATATAATAATAATATGAGTACATTATTTAGAGTAATGTTTCATCGATCCAAAATTTTATACAAAAAATAGTAAGTTTTTCACCAACTCACCAGTGCAATCGATTACAAAAACCCATTGTGTAACCCCAGATTTCATACTTTTGATTGCATTTTCAATTGTATATATCAAATGAGTTATTGCATCGTTTGACATATTTCTATTTGAAATAGCTTGAGAAAATGATGCATATATAATTGGACGCCCAGCTTCATCAAATCCTATCTGTCTCTATAAAAAGCATGAATGTACATAGAATTATATATTTAAACGTGGTATATGAAGAACTCAAATTTCTCTGTTTATCAACGTTTCCAGGACCATAACTGTTAGTGTATTTCGGCGTAAGCCATACATGTTTTTGATCATTTAACCTAGGAATACTTACTAAGAGTCTTTCTTAAAAGTTATCCCCATTGAAATACAAAGTCATTAAGCTTACGAACTGTAGTCAGAACAAAATATACAACATGGATTTTAAATTCAGCTGCCATAAAGTATAATGAAGATACAAAAGCAGATTAAAATTAATATTTCACCATAACCATCGATAGCATTCGATCAGTACTAAAAAGGACTTAATACGCATGACATTGATCACCACCCAGTAATCAATCAATTGTGATTACATCTCAGCCCTACAGGAAGTTGGTCGCGGCCCGAATGGCTCAGTGGTAACGTCTCTGAATGTGAAGCTGGGTGACACGGGATCGAATCCGTCAGGGAGCACCAATTTCCTCAAGATTACAGGTACACGATTGATGTTCTTCACTTAACAGACAGGAGAATGGACCAATTAGGACTCTAATTCGTTCATTCAAGTGTATACGTCATTTGATGGTCGTATAAGTTCGGGTATCTTCATTTCGCAACTGTATTCTGAGTAATCGTATAGACTAAATACATGTCAAATATTATTTCAGTCAATTAACAATCACCATCCCACTGTTATTAACTTACTTTCATTTATACTCTTGTCTTTTATGTTCTTATCCACTCTTAAATTATACAAAACCTTATTCCCATTAAATCAATGAATTTGAACGATCTTAACTGAAACAAGTAAAGAAATTTACATATCTTTGTTGTTGTTATTATTATCTTATTGTCTTTGATTAAACTCTATTTCATTTACAACAATCGACATTTATCAAGTTGTAAATTTTCAATTTAATTTTACAGCAAGTGACTGATTCCTTGACTTGAATCTCCAATACTTACATATTTAATAGATCTGCTGAATGATTTAGGTGGTTTGTTGTATCCATGCACATTGACTAAACTACGATATTTCCATGAGTTGATTTTCTCAAATAATAAAAAGTACTTCACAACTACACTAAACTATCTAAACCATGTAATAATCATTTGAAATAATAAAATAACTCCTTGATGAGTAAACTACATTAAACTAATAAGTGATTTTTTTAAAGAAGTGAATTTATTTCCATGATAGGCGCTAAGGAAGAAGTAAATGATGAAACTTACTAAACTGTGAGTTCCTGGTTGATTATGACAATTTTTACAGTCTGTTAAATCTGGTCGAAATTCCTGGCGCCATTGTATATCTTTACGTATCATTTTTTCTGAAGATTGCAAATCCCAACTACGAGCTTTAAGGAATCTTATAATACTATGGAAAAGGTAAAAAGAAAACATACGAACAATACATGATTCTTTCAATAATATGGTTTAAACCATGAATATATTTGGGAAAATTGAGTATATATAAGCTGAATGTTCAATAACTCTAATAACACAACTTTTGAAAAGCACACTTATTTCATAAGTCATACATATAATTTGTGAAACTGATCAAAATTAAAGTAAAAAAGCAGGTTTACATTTGTGGCAAGAGGGACAACTTTCGAATCTCATTCCACTGAATAAATGATATGATCGTTTTAAATGATTATAGAAGACTTAATCATACTTGATTTTAGCTTTATTGTAATTAACTTTATCCATCTGTTATACGTAATTGTCACAAAAGTGATCATTTCATATTATTTAGTAGAACAAAAGTGCCATTTAAGTTTACATTTATACCTATATCTATGCGTGTACATGTACATACATACTAACATACTGTTGGATGCTACTGAAAGAAAATAAGCAGATCACACTGTCATTATTAGTTAAGTACGTTTGTTCATCTCAATGTTATATTGTAGTTTAGGCATTGTGGTATGCCGACAAATAATTTAGTTACAGTAAGAATTACATGGACTACATTCTGGACATTCTCGTTTAGATGTTTGTTATCTAAAACTATGTTTTCAATCAAGTTGTTTTATTTTGGCAAGTGCTTTCAACAAAACTATTAAAAGGTGTTGTCTTTCAAAGTATATCATAGAGATAAAACAATCAGAAGTGAGAAAACGTAAAATATCTTTGTGTGGTATTGAAAATGTATCAATTGAAAACGAAAAGTTACTTTTAATCACCATAGGGTAACAAAGATAGTGTTAAACATCGAACTATCTAATTTTCACGCTTAACAGGTAAATAAAATCTATGATTGAATTCTAGCTCTTAATCCTGAGATAAACATTATCCCAGTGGCACTATAATTTATGAACAAATTAGTGAAACTTAAAATAGCGCCTTTTGGAGTTTTACCCGATTTTCATCCCAATATATGTCCACAAAGCATTCTCGCATTACAGTTGGTGTCAGTTCGTAATGAAAACCCTAAGCCTAGATACCTAGCACTAACTCTAGACAGGAATAATTTGTTGAAAACCTGGAAGAACTGGAAGGCCATTTCATCCTACTTAGGGACGCATCAGCAGTGCACATCCACTATCCCGTGGGATTCAAACTCAGGACCTTCCGTCTCGCTCACGAACGCTTGACCTCTAAACCACTGAGTCGGTAAATCCAACGGTGCTAATGTCTAACTTCAATCAATCCACGAAACTGCGCGACCGTCTCCCACTCTCTGAGGTGAATGTCCGTCTCTATCTGGCACGAATTAGTTCTGCTAGTCACAACTTCACACCCGAACTCCAAGAATTTCCTCACGAACCTAGTCACCACTGAGCCCATGTTAATAATCAGTATGTCTACGGTGCAATCAAACTGTCGTAGATTTTTCCATTTAAAAACAGAGCAGCTTGTAAAAGATTTTAATAGTTACATCAAATTCATGAAATCTGTTTACAGTTAGCAACATTATTGTTTTCTTTTCCATTTACAAAAACTATTTTCCGACGGGTTAAAAACTATATGAAAATATATCTTTATGGCTTTAAGATTGTCCCTATATTTATACTTTTACTGAATTTGGAAGAAAAATGATAGTAAAAAAGATGGCTAAATCGGTAATAAAAAGACAAAATCTGAGCATAATGAAGTGATTCAATTAAGATTATCACAATCTATCACGGTGATATAATTGGTAGTTTATTAAATTAAGTTTTTTATATTTCAAAAAAGCAACACGGTGATACCGATCTAATTAAAGACAAGAAGGATATTTAAATATGTGCTTTACCTACACTGTGAAACTGAACCAAACTGAATCAAATATGAATAATCACGGAGATAAAGAGATAGGGAAATTTTCCTCATTTTTCGATTAGGATTCCTCCCCATACTTTGACTCTCCTTCCTTCTACATTACTATCACTTAGTAAGGATGTTAACTTTGAAATGGGTTATAAATTTCTAACATCAAAATTCTATTATATAAGAAATATGATGTAAACATCACTATAAATCATTGATGGCTACTAATGGCCACTTCTAATTTGCTTTTAACAACTAAATTCTTTTCAGTCACAAGAATAAGAGATAAGTTGAATTTTATAATCTCCTGACTTCATAACTGTAAGTTTACTTGATATGGAGATAAACACACTGTTTGTGATAGAGAAGATTAATCTGCTTCACAACGTTGGTAATTGCAAAGGATCAAGACAAAGGTGCATTATTATAGAAATTACAGGATGAAATTATAACATTTTGCCACATGACTATTCAGCAGGGAACTCTTGTAAGACCAACCTCGTAGAATAATCGAAGTTGATGTTGAACAGAAATCACCTCAATATTCCTGAATGCTGAGAAATGACTAGCTTAAATGAAATTTCAAATCTTTTTCTGGCTCCATCACAAAGTGAACAGCTCTTTGATGTTGAACAGACTGTTAACCTGTTAAATAAGTCGGCTAGCCTCAGAATTCATCACTTCTCAACATAGAGATCTATGAACTAGGTTTTTCTAGCCCTTAAAGCATCCTAGTATATTGATCAAGGATTTCTGAATAAAAGTAATCTTGATCACTCAACATATACCTAGCATAAATTAATGACTAAATATTATTCAAATACTATTCTGTCTTTGAAAGAGTTCCTCAACAGAGCTCGATTTCAACCCTATATAATTCATCAGCTTTCTTAAAACAATAAACAAATATTCGACTATTTATTTAAAATCTAGCATCCACTATTTTCCAATTGTAATTAGTTCGTTACGATGGATAATAGTCAAACATTATCTATGTTTGCTATCTAACCAGACTAGCTACAATCCTAGCCGTACAAGTTATTTATTGGCATTAAAATGTTTAAAAAACTGATCCTCATAAAAAGCTGTCTCTTTAAAAGCCTCCTAAATAAAGAAGTTAATTTGCGTATAAACTCTTCTGTGTGATTGTGTATAGTATGCTTTATATGACAGTAAAATTCAATTCAATCACTATCATAGAGTTAAAATCATTACTCAATTGAAGCTAGATCACCATCAAAAACTTGGAAGCACTGGACGGCCGTTTCGTCTTATTATGTGACTCCTTAGCAGTGCGCATTCACGATCACTATCAGTTTTAAATTGAAATTTTAGTAAGTTTACAAATAGGCATTAAAATTACTTATCTTTTATTTCCTAGATTGATCGATTATTATGAAAAATGATCTTTAAAAAGAATAAATTTACACGTACCAATTTATTAAATATGAGACATAAATACTTTAGCAAATAAAGGCAACTTTATTATATCTGATAAATGATTTCACTCCATACAATTATTGTACTAGTAGACTTAACTACCCTTATGTACTAAAACGTTAATGACTTCCATGTTTGTGAATGGAATTAAACTAAAAATGAATTGCTTCAACCGTTCGTTATACATAATGGGTGTGCCTAGTAATTCAATGCAAATATTTATAATTTGAAAAATTATCTATAATTACGTCAATTAACGAATCAGTATAACTGGAATCGTGATACTATAAACTATCATTATTTATAATAGAAGCTCTGAAATTAATATTGGAATTGATTTGTAAAATGCAGGTTTGAATAATTTTTTCTGGTTAGCGGTTTTTTAGCGAGTTTGTTTTTGACGGGATGGGGTCGCTAACCCTATGCCTATCCCTCCTCCTTTACCCGGGCTTGGGACCAGGAGTAGCCCTCGGAGGAGCTACAGGCGGAGAAGACGAACAGTGTAGCAGCAGCCTCAGCAACAGTAGGTCTCAATATAAACAAAAAGGAAAAGTAAGACTCTGTGATACAATACAATATGCACCAATCGAATTACACCTGACGGAGAAGCTTTGGAAAACGAGGAAACCTTTACATAACTGGGCAGCATCATTGATGAACACGGTGGATCTGATGCAGATGTGAAGACGTGGATTGGCAAGTCAAGAGCAGCATGTTTAGTACTGAAGAACATCTTGAACTCAAAAACAATTGTCAATCAACACCAAGATCAGTATTTTCAATACAAATGTCAAGACGGTTCTACTGTATGGGGCGGAGATGTGGAGAACTACGAAAGCTATCATCCAAAAGATACAGGTGTTTAAATTAAAAGATCTAACTTGAAGTTGTCAGGATAGTATTCAACAGTTTGTTCAGAACGCTTCAACGGAATATAATTATTTTCTCTCTTGTATAATAAGCATTTTATGCAAATTTCTTACAAGTAAAAATAGTACGTTAGGGTTTAGGATTTAGATAATAAAAAATGAAATTCTTTTAATCAATTACTAGCATTACTGAATAAGCTTTAGAAACCGAGGCGAAATGAACATCTATTTCAATCTATGTTGAAACATCTTGAGAACTTGAATGACCATCTCTAAAAATTGAAAGCCTAAATTCGATAAGCTTTTAGCTAGTGAAATACAGTTCCACAACTTAATAACAACAATATTACTTACATTCATCTCAAAAAAAGCTGCGTACTAATGAATTCTTATCAATACGTTAAATTATTCATTCGAAAACATCGATTTCGGTCATTTATGAAATAGTTGAAAGCGTGAGTCAATTGAAGCTATACCACTAGGGAAAACTTGGAAGCACTGGGGCAACCGTTCACTAAATACTAAATGTTAAATACTAAATCTCCACAAAATTCCTTCTGTTCATAAATAATAATCATATACTCATTAGTGACTGACTTGGAAAGATATTTCATTGAGTTCTAGTGAGAAGCAGTTTCTGGTGGAGTTGAAACCACGTCTGTTGTGAGATATCTACTGACTGAAGACAATTGGTGAACGGTTGGTGAAGTTGGTGGATTGGTTGGAATTAGACATAAACACGATGGGATGCGGGCTCAGTGGTGTATGTGTTAAGTGTTCTTGTGCGAAACTTGTAGGTAGTGGGTTCGAATCTCGCTCGCGAGGAGGGATCGTGCATTCGCACTGCTGAGGAGTCACATAATAGAACGAAACGGCCTTCCAGTGCTTCCAGGTTTTCGATGGTGGTCTAGCTTCAATTGACTCACGCTTCCAACTATGAAAATACTAATTCTCCACAAAACCCGTTCATTTATGAAATATCTACATCATATAATGCTGTGTAATAAAATCGGTTGAAAAAATGTTGAAGTCAAGATTACGTTAATTATATTCGGTTAGTCAGTTTTGCGGTCATAAAATTAATTCAAATTATGCGAATCTTAAGAAGCACTAGAAGTTTCGATCGTGGATTAAAAAGACGAAGATTATCAGAACTATGTGATATATTTGTGCAACACATTTCGAACAATCTGATCACACATATACATTTATATATAAAAATAAATGGTCAACTAGACTGGAAATAGGGGTAAAAGCAGACAACGATAATAATAATAATAATAATAATAATAATGTGAAAACAATTTTAAACCTAATTACTCTGGATAATCAGTTAATATTACCAGGGTAGGATCAAGGTGACAACAAACTGTTTTTGAATACACAAAGGGGGTTTGAATTTTTGTATGGCTAAGGCTTCAATAAACCTTAGTATACGCCCTTTTGCACTTTTAAGCAACACTAAAAAAACGCCGATTTAGGATCAGTCTTGTGGCCTGTTTCGATATGTTTGACAATAGAGGATAATGGATGTTTATCTTCCA